CTGCGTTCATTTCTCCAAACGTATAAGTCCCCTGTTAACGGCGGAAGGTATGCTGAAATATGCCACTAGTACTTTCTTGTTTGTTGATATGGCTTTGCGTTTCGCTAAATTGCGGCAGCGTTCATTTCTCCAAACGTATAAGTCCCCTGTTAACGGCGGAAGGTATGCTGAAATATGCCACTAGTACTTTCTTGTTTGTTGATATGGCTTTGCGTTTCGCTAAATTGCGGCAGCGTTCATTTCTCCAAACGTATAAGTCCCCTGTTAACGGCGGAAGGTATGCTGAAATATGCCACTAGTACTTTCTTGTTTGTTGATATGGCTTTGCGTTTCGCTAAATTGCGGCAGCGTTCATTTCTCCAAACGTATAAGTCCCCTGTTAACGGCGGAAGGTATGCTGAAATATGCCACTAGTACTTTCTTGTTTGTTGATATGGCTTTTCGTTTCGCTAAATTGCGACAGCGTCCGTTTTTTCGGTTGCGTTCATCAGTTCTCAAACTTAGGTTCCCCTGTTAACGGCGGAGGGTAAGGGGTAAGTTTTCGCTAATTTTTGTTATGTTTTAACAGCTTAACCGTTATACTGCTGAAAGAAGGAAAACAGTAAGAAGTCTTATGAGCGATTGTGGATGATACAATAACAAAGAAGATCTGTACAGATTGGCAAATGTCGAAGGAAGCGTTGAACAGAAAGTGCATTTGACCAGAAGATTATACACTAGCATTCGCTCTTAATCAAGCCCGCTGAAAGGCCACGGGAGTGAAGGGAACAGCATCTTCATAAAAATGCTGACATAATATTGTGCAGCATTGGACGTAACTATACAGTGGGTCCCAAATAACGTCACCGTGAAGAAAGGGAGAATTAAACAACTTTTGATGAAAATATGGTGGCAATTATCGATGAAATAAGAAGTTAACAATGCTGACTACTCCACAGAATTTCGTTCCAATTTAACTGGTATCCACGTATTTATGAACGACGGTGTAATAAACTTTTAACAATTGGAATAAATGGTCAAATCTCCAGTGTATTAAAACGAAATGACTGTAAAGTAAGTTCTCCGTGGCAAACATTAATTCGATATTACTGAAATGTAGATTTGAATTTATGCTTTATCATGGTTGCTGGGCGGTTCACAGCTGAACAACCTAGCCTCGTGGTGCTGGAGTCCTAGACGATAAGAATTAAGTCCACGGCGAGTCGTCGAACGTTGCTAAATACATGACACAAGCTACTAGCTTAAATCAGAATGCTGGACTTTCTGTATGAGAGCAAACATTGTAAAAACATCACCAATGTACGACAAGATTAACTCATTTGCTTTTCAACAAAATCCAAGAGTCAGTGCTCTGGCGTAATCGAACAAAAATATCAAAGTCCCACGTGATCCAGAACGAGGTGGAGCATTTTGCACATGGCTCAGTTGTGCAAGAAGATGCTCACTTCTGATCAACACAAATCACCCTTGGCAAATATCGAAAGAAACAATGGAAAGATAAGTGCATTTACAATATTTCATGCAATATGGTCCATTCTTTAATTTTCGTTTTGCTTTCCGGTAGCGTCCATTTTTTCGGCAGCGTCCATTTTTCCGGCAGCGTCCGTTTTTTCGGCAGCGTTCATTTTTTTGGCAGCGTCCATTTTTTCGGCAGCCTCCATTTTTTCGGCAGCGTCTATTTTTCCGGCAGCGTTCATTTCTCCAAACGTATAAGTCCCCTGTTAACGGCGGAAGGTATGCTGAAATATGCCACTAGTACTTTCTTGTTTGTTGATATGGCTTTGCGTTTCGCTAAATTGCGGCTGCGTTCATTTCTCCAAACGTATAAGTCCCCTGTTAACGGCGGAAGGTATGCTGAAATATGCCACTAGTACTTTCTTGTTTGTTGATATGGCTTTGCGTTTCGCTAAATTGCGGCTGCGTTCATTTCTCCAAACGTATAAGTCCCCTGTTAACGGCGGAAGGTATGCTGAAATATGCCACTAGTACTTTCTTGTTTGTTGATATGGCTTTGCGTTTCGCTAAATTGCGGCAGCGTTCATTTATCCAAACGTATAAGTCCCCTGTTAACGGCGGAAGGTATGCTGAAATATGCCACTAGTACTTTCTTGTTTGTTGATATGGCTTTGCGTTTCGCTAAATTGCGGCAGCGTTCATTTCTCCAAACGTATAAGTCCCCTGTTAACGGCGGAAGGTATGCTGAAATATGCCACTAGTACTTTCTTGTTTGTTGATATGGCTTTGCGTTTCGCTAAATTGCGGCAGCGTTCATTTCTCCAAACGTATTAGTCCCCTGTTAACGGCGGAAGGTATGCTGAAATATGCCACTAGTACTTTCTTGTTTGTTGATATGGCTTTGCGTTTCGCTAAATTGCGGCAGCGTTCATTTCTCCAAACGTATAGTCCCCTGTTAACGGCGGAAGGTATGCTGAAATATGCCACTAGTACTTTCTTGTTTGTTGATATGGCTTTGCGTTTCGCTAAATTGCGGCAGCGTTCATTTCTCCAAACGTATAAGTCCCCTGTTAACGGCGGAAGGTATGCTGAAATATGCCACTAGTACTTTCTTGTTTGTTGATATGGCTTTGCGTTTCGCTAAATTGCGGCAGCGTTCATTTCTCCAAACGTATAAGTCCCCTGTTAACGGCGGAAGGTATGCTGAAATATGCCACTAGTACTTTCTTGTTTGTTGATATGGCTTTGCGTTTCGCTAAATTGCGGCAGCGTTCATTTCTCCAAACGTATAAGTCCCCTGTTAACGGCGGAAGGTATGCTGAAATATGCCACTAGTACTTTCTTGTTTGTTGATATGGCTTTGCGTTTCGCTAAATTGCGGCAGCGTTCATTTCTCCAAACGTATAAGTCCCCTGTTAACGGCGGAAGGTATGCTGAAATATGCCACTAGTACTTTCTTGTTTGTTGATATGGCTTTGCGTTTCGCTAAATTGCGGCAGCGTTCATTTCTCCAAACGTATAAGTCCCCTGTTGACGGCGGAATGTATGCTGAAATATGCCACTAGTACTTTCTTGTTTGTTGATATGGCTTTTCGTTTCGCTAAATTGCGGCAGCGTTCATTTCTTCAAACGTATAAGTCCCCTGTTAACGGCGGAAGGTATGCTGAAATATGCCACTAGTACTTTCTTGTTTGTTGATATGGCTTCTCGTTTCGCTAAATTGCGGTAGCGTTCATTTTTTCGGTAGCGTTCTTTTTTTCGGTAGTGTTCATTTTTTTGGTAGCGTCCATTTTTCAATTAGACGAATAATTTCTTGTTTAAGTGCCGTTGTACGTTTTCGCTAGTTACTGTTGTGTTTTAACAGATTATAACGAAAACAGTAAGAAATCTTATGATGAGCGATCGTGGATCAGGGCATCACAAAGAAGAGCTGTAGAGATTGGCAAATCGTCGAGAGAAGTCGAAAGAAGCATTGAACAGGAAGTGCATTTGACCAGAAGACTGCACTAACATTCGCTCTAAATCAAGATTGCTGAAAGGCCACGTGAGATAAAGGAAGATCATCTTCATAAAATGATGATATTTCATCTGATACATAATTAATATCGTGCAGCATTGGACGTATATACAGAGCGTCCCAAATAATGTCACCGCGTGAGGAAAGTGAGAATTAAACAACTTTTTATGGAAATACAGCGGATATTACAGATGAAATAAGAAGTTAACAATGCTGGCTATAGCATTTCGCTCCAATTTAGCTGCTATCCACTTATATGAATGACGGTGTAATCAAACTTTTAACAATTGGAAATGGTCAAATCTTGATCAAGTGTATTAAAACGAAATGACTGTAAAGTAAGTTCTCCGTGGCAAACATTCATTCGATATTACTGAAATGTGGATTTGAATTTATGATTTATCATGATTGCCGGGCAGTTCGCACCTCAAACAACCTAGCCTCGTGGTGCTGGAATCTTAGAAGTTAAGAATTAAGTCCACTGTGGCTTGTCGAACGTTGTCAAAACAGTTGCTATACTTGACACAAGCTACTAGCTTTAATCGGAATGCTGGACTTTCTGTATGAGAGCAAGCATCGTAAAAAAACATCACCTAAGTAGGACAATCCCTTCTACAAAATCCAAGAGTCCGTGCTCTGACGTAATCAAACAAAAATGTCAAAGTCTCACGAGATCCAGCACGACGTGTAGCATTTTGCACATGGCTCAGTTCAGTTGTGCAAGGAGATGCTCACTTCTGGCCTAATGTTGTCATCGGCGATGAAGCATCAATAAAGCTTGATTCTCATATGTCACCGACGTTCGGCGATGTGTTGTTGTGTAGTCATTGACGAAGAAGATTTATACAAAATAACAAAGATACAATATGAGAATCAGGCTTAACGAATGAACGTGTGTTATCGCAACATCGCGTGGAAATCCGAATCAACTGATGGTAAAAGTAAGTTATATAATTGCTTTACTAACAGGTAATCAGATATTTATGTAGTTGAAAGCAGGGATTCGTGTGTCATGCATGTCCCATAATAATTTCAGCCGGGGTGAATTTTATCCATGAATGTACAGCTGTTCGATTTGTCTCAGTCTCGTCGATGTTCTTTTACGAACAATGATAGTTGATATTCCAATGTACGATTGTACTTTTCCACCATGTCCATGCCATCTGATTCAGGGTGTAATGGAGTTGTCCTAGTTTTTACGATCTCCAATGTACTTACACATTTCTTTAAACAAGAGCAGTTTCAAAATTAGTTTCCTGGTCGGAATTTAGGTATAGCATTAAATCTACAGAAGAGTGAGAAGACGTTGACTTTTCAAACAGAAACACAATCAATATCGCAGGGTTTATGGACACTGAAACTGTATTCCTGACTGTCAGAACTGTCCTCATCATGGCAAGGAAAACACCTGAAAGACCATGAGTACGAGGTAAAAAGACCCTGGGTACGAGTTTGATAACCACATAACCCCACATAACCACATAACCACATAACCCTGATGATGGTGTATATTTTTTATATAATTTATGCTAATATATGTAATGCTATTTCGAACACTGAAATCCAATATGGCCGCCAATGTGGAAGTCATGGAAGTCCAAAATAATCTAGATGAATTTACAGAAGACATTAATAATGGAGTGAAATGGCTTGTAGAAAAATTCAAGAAACGCGAGAAAGAGCTTGAAGTAGCTGCAAAAGAACTAGAGGTTTCCAAAAAGAAATTTGAAGAAAAAATGAACATGGAATGGAAAAAATTCAAACAAGAGACACAAGAACAAAGACGTGTCATTCAAGAAGAAAGATCAAAACTAGAAGCAGAAAAGAAATATATGCAAAAGATTTATGATGAACAGTGCTCACATATGAAACTAGATGTTGGGGGGATTATTTATTCCACATCATTAAGCACGCTAACTCGTGATAAATCCTCTATGTTGGCAGTGATGTTCTCAGGAAGACATAAACTCGTATTGAGTAAAGAAAACACATATTTTATTGATAGAGATGGTACGCATTTTAGATATATATTGAATTACCTTCGTGGTGATCTACATTTGGATACATTACCTGATGATGTGACAATTTTAAAAGAGATTCAAAGAGAAGCAGATTATTTTCAACTTTCAGGCTTATTTGAAATTATTCAATCAATTCTAACACCAACGCCCCAGCCTTGTGATTATACTCAAGAAGATATTGATTCTCTGTTAAACACTGCAACAATGGAGTCCACTGGCACTGACCATAAAAGTTCTCGAAATATGACAAAATCTAACCTTAACTTTGAGAAACAAAATTTGTCAGGCTTGTCATTTAATCATACAACATTTGTACATAATGTTAGTTTTACAGAAGCAAACTTAAGAGAGAATTCGTTCTATGGTTGTGAATTCAGCAGCAATGTTAAAATAGATTTCACTCATGCAGATCTGACTGGGGCAGATTTTCGTCAGTGCCGGGCTCTCAATGTGGGACCACATATGACAAATGGACAGACACATCAGCCACCACTTTATGGAACAAGTTGTTCTAGCTTTCTTAATCTCATTCAAGAAAGGAAAATATTATTTCAGGGTACAAAGGTAAAAGGAGCAAAGTTTGATCCAGGAGTTCTAGAATGTATTCTTCAAATGATGTAAAATTTAAATTATTTTAATCATGCATATTGGCTATTGGAAGGTTCAAAGTACCCTCTAAAATCTAAGATGTAGGTAATATACAATAGATCATTTTTGATGTGCGTGTCATGCTGTTTACAAAATGATGAAAAAATATTGATATCAATATTTAAAATACACTGATAAAAATATTGATATCAATATCAGTACATGCATACCAGATGTTCAACTATACTAAAATACCAAATTAGCCGGCGAGCAACATGGCAGCGTCTTCAAATAACTTAGCAACAAATGTGGTATAACAACTGTCAACTGCCTAAAATAGATTAAAACACTTCTTGACGATCTTCCATTTTCACCTATAACCCCCTAGTCTCTTTTTGGCACAACAAAAATATCCAGGGCACACTGGTTCACAGCTCTCTACAGCAAAACTCAGGCACTTTTATTTTTTCACTTAAATTTTCAGCCCCAGCATTGAATTCAGCCCCGGGGTTGAAATTTTGAAACGTGGTTAAGACGTTCGTCTCTCACTCCGGGGAGTGACAATGCAACAAGATTAGCTGAAAATTTTCGGTGTGATTTGGAAGCTTTTAAACAGTTTAAAGATTTCTCGGTCTTTGCGAAAGACTGTAAATTGAAAAAATTTGAAATCAAAAACCCACAAAAAATTATCGCGTTCAAAAGTAATTGAAATTTGGAAGAAAAGCACAAGTAAAAAGAGTTTTAAAAACATGTGTCTTCTTCAAAGCCTGAAAACGAAGAAAGTCAAACGGGAAATAAATTGAAAAATTTCCCGCTTTTAAAAAACTCATGTTTACTTACATGAATTTTTTTTCACGAAAATTTGACAGGGTGATTTTCTCGAGACTGAAAAAATTTACTTTTTTTCACTTTTTTGAAATTCTCTTAGATTTTTTTTTGACGAAGAAGTATTTTATCTTGGGCCACCTGTGTCTGTCTTGGGCTACCTGTGTCTGGCTTCACACAGGTAGCCCAAGACAAAATACTTCTTCGTCAAAAAAAATCTAAGAGAATTTCAAAAAAGTGAGAAAAATTAAATTTTTTCAGTCTCGAGAAAATCACCCTGTCAAATTTTCGTGAAAAAAAATTAAGTTAGTAAAGATGGTTTTTTTAAAAGCGGGAAATTTTCAATTTTTTTTCCGTCTGACTTTCTTCATTTTCAGGCTTTTTTGAAGACACATGTTTTTAAAATTTTTTTTACTTGTACTTTTCTTTTAATTTTCAGGTACTTTTGAACGCGATAATTTGTCTTCAGTTTTTTTTATTTCAAATTTTTTGTCAATTTACAGTCTTTTGCAAAGGCTGAGAATTGTAAATCTTCAGTAAATCCCACCGAAATTTTTCATCCTAATTTTGTTGCATTGCCAGGAGTTGAAACGTTTGTCTTCGGATTGAGAGACGAACGTCTTAACCACTAGACCACCAGGTCATTTGTCGAAAGCTATTGTTCTCTATTTGACCTGATCCTTTTCGATGAATTCTAAATTAAATAGTAATTTCGGTGGGAAAAATCGAACTTTCCTCATGCAGGATTCGAACCTAGGCTTACAACCTGGTAGGCCGTGGCCTTAACCACTGGGTTACCGCATTGACATATATATTAAGAAGGTTGCTATCAATATACAATCCGATGGCCCAGTGGTTAAGGCTACGGCCTACCAGGTTGTAAGGGTAGGTTCGATTCCTGCATGGGAAAGGTTCGATTTTTCCAACCGAAATTACTATTTAATTTAAAATTCTTCGAAAAGGATTAGGTCAAATAAAGAACAATAGCTTTCGACAAATGACCTGGTGGTCTAGTGGTTAAGACGTTCGTTTCTCACTCCGGGGATAAACGTTTCAACTCCCGGCAATGCAACAAAACTAGCTGAAAATTTGCGGTGTGATTTGGAAGCTTTTAAACAGTTTAAAGATTTCTCGGCCTTTGCGAAAGACTGTAAATTGAGAAAATTTGAAACCAAAAAGCCAAAAAAAATTATCGCGTTCAAAAGTACTTGAAATTTGGAAGAAAAGCACAAGTAAAAAAAGTTTTAAAAACATGTGTCCTCTAAAAAGCCTGAAAATGAAGAAAGTCAGACGGGAAATAAATTGAAAAATTTCCCGCTTTTAAAAAACTCATGTTTACTTACATGAATTTTTTTTCACGAAAATTTGACAGGGTGATTTTCTCGAGACTGAAAAAATTTAGTTTTTTTCACTTTTTTGAAATTCTCTTAGATTTTTTTTTGACGAAGAAGTATTTTATCTTGGGCTACCTGTGTCTGTCTTGGGCTACCTGTGTCTGGCTTGACACAGGTAGCCCAAGACAAAATACTTCTTCGTCAAAAAAAAATCTAAGAGAATTTCAAAAAAGTGAGAAAAAGTAAATTTTTTCAGTCTCGAGAAAATCACCCTGTCAAATTTTCGTGAAAAAAAATTAAGTTAAGTAAAGTTAGTAAACATGATTTTTTTAAAAGCGAGAAATTTTCAATTTTTTTTCCGTCTGACCTTCTTCATTTTCAGGCTTTTTTGAAGACACATGTTTTTAAAACTTTTTTACTTGTGCTTTTCTTTTAATTTTCAGGTACTTTTGAACGCGATAATTTGTCTTCAGTTTTTTTTATTTCAAATTTTTTGTCAATCTACAGTCTTTTGCAAAGGCTGAGAATTGTAAATCTTCAGTAAATCACACCGAAATTTTTCATCCTAGTTTAGTTGCATTGCTAGGATTGAAACGTTTGTCTTCGGATTGAGAGACGAACGTCTTAACCACTAGACCACCAGGTCATTTGTCGAAAGCTATTGTTCTCTATTTGACCTGATCCTTTTCGATGAATTCTAAATTAAATAGTAAATTCGGTTGGAAAAATCGAACCTTTCCCATGCAGGATTTGAACCTACCCTTAAAACCTGGTAGGCCGTAGCCTTAACCACTGGGCCATCGGATTGTATATTGATAGCAACCTTCTTAATATATATGTCAATGCGGTAACCCAGTGGTTAAGGCCACGGCCTACCAGGTTGTAAACCTAGGTTCGAATCCTGCATGAGGAAAGTTCGATTTTTCCCACCGAAATTACTATTTAATTTAGAATTCATCGAAAAGGATCAGGTCAAATAGAGAACAATAGCTTTCGACAAATGACCTGGTGGTCTAGTGGTTAAGACGTTCGTCTCTCAATCCGAAGACAAACGTTCAACTCCTGGCAATGCAACAAAATTAGGATGAAAATTTCGGTGGGATTTACTGAAGATTTACAATTCTCAGCCTTTGCAAAAGACTGTAAATTGACAAAAAATTTGAAATAAAAAAAACTGAAGACAAATTATCGCGTTCAAAAGTACCTGAAAATTAAAAGAAAAGCACAAGTAAAAAAAGTTTTAAAAACATGTGTCTTCAATAAAGCCTGAAAATGAAGAAAGTCAGACGGAAAAAAAATTGAAAATTTCCCGCTTTTAAAAAAATCATGTTTACTAACTTTACTTAACTTAATTTTTTTTCACGAAAATTTGACAGGGTGATTTTCTCGAGACTGAAAAAATTTACTTTTTTTCACTTTTTTGAAATTCTCTTAGATTTTTTTTTGACGAAGAAGTATCTTGTCTTGGGCTACCTGTGTCAAGCCAGACACAGGTAGCCCAAGACAGACACAGTAGCCCAAGATAAAATACTTTCGTCAAAAAAAAATCTAAGAGAATTCAAAAAGTGAAAAAAACTAAATTTTTCAGTCTCGAGAAAAATCACCCTGTCAAATTTCGTGAAAAAAAATTCATGTAAGTAAACAGTTTTAAAAGCGGGAAATTTTCAATTTATTTCCGCTGACTTTCTTCATTTCAGCTTTTTAGAGGACACATGTTTTTAAAACTTTTTTACTTGTGCTTTCTTCCAAATTTCAAAGTACTTTTGAACGCGATAATTTTTTTGGCTTTTGGTTTCAAATTTTCTCAATTTACAGTCTTTCGCAAAGGCCGAGAAATCTTTAAACTGTTTAAAAGCTTCCAAATCACACCGAAAATTTTCAGTTAGTTTTGTTGCATTGCCAGGAGTTGAAACGTTTATCCCCGGAGTGAGAGACGAACGTCTTAACCACAGACACTCATCATTTGTCGAAAGCTATGTCTTATGACCTATCCTTTCGAAGAATGAATTAAATAGTAATTCGGTGGAAAAATCGAACCTTTCCATGCAGGAATCGAACCTACCTTACAACCTGGTAGGCCGTAGCCTTAACCACTGGGCCATCGGATTGTAATAAGCAACTCTTAATATATAGTCAATGCGGTAAACCCAGTGGTTAAGGCACGGCCACCAGGTGTAAGCCTAGGTCGAATCCTGCATGAGGAAAGTTCGATTTTTCCCACCGAAATACTATTTAATTAGAATTCATCGAAAGGATCAGGTCAAATAGAGAACAAGCTTTCGACAAATGACCTGGTGGTCTAGTGGTTAAGACGTCGTCCTCACCGAAGACAAACGTTCAACTCCTGGCAATGCAACAAAATTAGGAGAAAAATTTCGGTGTATTTACTGAAGATTTACAATTCTCAGCCTTTGCAAAAGACTGTAATTGAAAAAATTTGAAATAAAAAAAACTGAAGACAAATTATCGCGTTCAAAAGTACCTGAAAATTAAAAGAAAGCACAAGTAAAAAAATTTTAAAAATGTGTCTTCAATAAAGCCTGAAAATGAAGAAAGTCAGACGGAAAAAAAATGAAAATTTCCCGCTTTAAAAAAATCATGTTTACTACTAACTTAATTTTTTTCACGAAAATTTGACAGGGTGATTTTCTCGAGACTGAAAAAATTTACTTTTTTTCACTTTTGAAATTCTTAGATTTTTTTTGACGAAGAAGTACTTGTCTTGGGCTACTGTGTCAAGCCAGACACAGGTAGCCCAAGACAGACACAGAGCCCAAGATAAAATACTTCCGTCAAAAAAAAATCTAAGAGAATTCAAAAAGTGAAAAAACTAAATTTTTCAGTCTCGAGAAAACACCGTCAAATTTCGTGAAAAAAATTCATGTAAGTAAACATGAGTTTTAAAAGCGGGAAATTTTTCAATTTATTCCGTCTGACTTCTCATTTTCAGGCTTTTAGAGGACACATGTTTAAACTTTTACTTGTCTTCTTCCAAATGCAAGTACTTTTGAACGCGATAATTTTTTGGCTTTTTGGTTTAAATTCTCAATTACAGTCTTCGCAAAGGCCGAGAAATCTTTAACTGTTAAAAGCTCCAAATCACACCGAAAATTCAGTTAGTTGTTGCATTGCCAGGAGTTGAAACGTTTCCCGGAGTGAGAGACGAACGCTTAACCACTAGACCACCTCATCATTGTCGAAAGCTAGTTCTTATTGACCTAATCCTTCGAAGAATTTGAATAAAGTAATTCGGTGGAAAAATCGAACCTTCCAGCAGGAATCGAACCTACCTTACAACCTGGTAGGCCGTAGCCTTAACCACTGGGCCATCGGATGTATAGATAGCAACCTTCTTAATAGTAGTCAATGCGGCAACCCAGTGGTTAAGGCCAGGCCTACCAGGTTGTAAGCCTAGGTTCGAATCCTGCATGAGGAAAGTTCGATTTTTCCCACCGAAATTACTATTTAATTTAGAATTCATCGAAAAGGATCAGGTCAAATAGAGAACAATCGCTTTCGACAAATGACCTGGTGGTCTAGTGGTTAAGACGTTCGTCTCTCAATCCGAAGACAAACGTTTCAACACCTGGCAATGCAACAAAATTAGGATGAAAAATTTCGGTGTGATTTACTGAAGATTTACAATTCTCAGCCTTTGCAAAAGACTGTAAATTGACAAAAAATTTGAAATAAAAAAAACTGAAGACAAATTATCGCGTTCAAAAGTACCTGAAAATTAAAAGAAAAGCACAAGTAAAAAATGTTTTAAAAACATGTGTCTTCAAAAAAGCCTGAAAATGAAGAAAGTCAGACGGAAAAAAAATTGAAAATTTCCCGCTTTTAAAAAAATCATGTTTACTAACTTTACTTAACTTAATTTTTTTTCACGAAAATTTGACAGGGTGATTTTCTCGAGACTGAAAAAATTTACTTTTTTTCACTTTTTTGAAATTCTCTTAGATTTTTTTTTGACGAAGAAGTATCTTGTCTTGGGCTACCTGTGTCAAGCCAGACACAGGTAGCCCAAGACAGACACAGGTGGCCCAAGATAAAATACTTCTTCGTCAAAAAAAAATCTAAGAGAATTTCAAAAAAGTGAAAAAAACTAAATTTTTTCAGTCTCGAGAAAATCACCCTGTCAAATTTTCGTGAAAAAAAATTCATGTAAGTAAACATGAGTTTTTTAAAAGCGGGAAATTTTTCAATTTATTTCCCGTCTGACTTTCTTCATTTTCAGGCTTTTTAGAAGACACATGTTTTTAAAACTTTTTTTACTTGTGCTTTTCTTCCAAATTTCAAGTACTTTTGAACGCGATAATTTTTTTTGGTTTTTTGATTTCAAATTTTTTCAATTTACAGTCTTTCGCAAAGACCGAGAAATCTTTAAACTGTTTAAAAGCTTCCAAATCACACCGAAAATTTTCAGCTAATCTTGTTGCATTGCCAGGAGTTGAAACGTTTATCCCCGGAGTGAGAGACGAACGTCTTAACCACTAGATCACCGCATCATTTGTCGAAAGCTATTGTTCTTTATTTGACCTAATCCTTTTCGAAGAATTTTAAATTAAATAGTAATTTCGGTTGGAAAAATCGAACCTTTCCCATGCAGGAATCGAACCTACCCTTACAACCTGGAAGGCCGTAGCCTTATCCACTGGGCCACGGGAGCATATGTTCATACCAACCTTACAATATATATATCAATCCGGTAGACACAATGGCTCAAGATAAAATACTCCAGCGTTAAAAAAGAGAATTTCAAAAACGTGAAAAAATTTTTTTTCATTTTTTCTGTTTGAAGGCGACCAAAAAACGCAGCGGGTATAACTCCAAGAGTCGTAGGTTCGGTATATATGACATTGCTGAATGTGGTGATTGTGGGTTTATTACACGTGCTCGGCGACAGGAAGGGTTTTTTAAGACTTAATCAGGCAAAATTGATGATTTTTTCAGACTTTGATAAATTTCAAAATTTCAGGCAAATCGGTAACGGGGAACCAAAGGAAAAATTCTAATTTGCGTCAATTTTTTGAAATTTCAAAATTCGGTTGAAAATACGTCGAAATGCTTTAGAAATAATTAGAATTGCATTCTTTCATGAAAACAATAGATTTGAACACATAAAACCATACATTGATGAATTTTAAAATTTCAGCCAAATCGGAACCAAAGGAAAACGATAGGTGGAACCAAAGGGAAAATGATAGCTAATTTTCGGAAAAACGAAACGTGGAACCAAAGGAAATTTTTCCTTTTCAATTCCTCGTCAATTTTTTTTGAATTTTAAAATTCGGTTGAAAATACGTCGAAATGGTTCAGAATTAATTAGAATTTCATTCTTTCACGAAAACAATACATTTGAACACATACAATCATACTTTGATAAATTTCAGCCAAATCGGCAACGTGGAAACCAAAGGGAAAATCATAGTTTTTGTCAATTTTTTTGGAATTTCAAAATTCAGTTGAAAATAGGTCGAAATGCTTCAGAATTAATTAGAATTGCATTCTTTCATGAAAACAATACATTTGAACACATAAAATCATACTTTGATAAATTTCAGCCAAATCGACAACGTGGAAACCAAAGGGAAAATAATAATTTTCGTCAATTTTTTTGGAATTTCAAAATTCGGTTGAAAATACGTCGAAATGGTTCAGAATTAATTAGAATTGCATTCTTTCATGAAAACAATACATTTGAACACATAAAATCATACTTGGATAAATTTCAAAATTTCAGCCAAATCGGCAACGGGGACAAAAAGGAAAAATCATAATTTTCATCAATTTTTTTGGAATTTCAAAATTCGGTTGAAAATAGGTCGAAATGCTTCAGAATTAATTAGAATTGCATTCTTTCATGAAAACAATACATTTGAAGACATAAAATTATACATTGATAAATTTTAAAATTTCAGCCAAATCGGGAACGTGGAACCAAAGGAAAAATGATAGCTAATTTTCGTCAATTTTTTTGGAATTTCAAAATTCGGTTGAAAATACGTCGAAATGGTTCAGAATTAATTAGAATTGCATTCTTTCATGAAAACAAAAAATTTGAACACATAAAATCATACTTGGATAAATTTACAAAATTTCAGCCAAATCGACAACGTGGAAACCAAAAGAAAAGTCATAATTTTCGTCAATTTTTTGAAATTTCAAAATTCGGTTGAAAATACGTCGGAATGCTTCAGAATTAATTAGAATTGCATTCTTTCATAAAAACAATACATTTGAACACATAAAATCATACTTTTATAAATTTTAAAATTTCACCCAAATAGGCAACGGGGGACCAAAGGAAAAACCCTAATTTTCGTCAATTTTTTTAAATTTCAAAATTCGTCAAATTTAACCAAAATGATAAGGGTAGCTACCTCTTATCATTTTGGCGAAAATTAACGCCTTTTTTGGTGTCCATAAAACCAACCACATATGCTCAAAAACCAAAGAGATTTGTCTCAGGATATATTACATATATTACATATATCAATTTTAAAATTTTCAAAAAAATTTAATTTTTCAAATTTAATTTAATTTCACATTTTGATTTAATTCTATTTTTCATTTTCATATGTGCTAATGTTTTCTAAAATTTTAGAGTTTTCAAAATTTTTAAAATTATTAAAATTTTAAAACATATGTCAAAAACATTTTTTCAAAAAAATTCTCACATAAAACTAGCATAGTGTTTTCTAAAATATTTAAAGTATTCAAGTTTTTATAAAAACTTTGACAAGTATTTCACTAGTGTGTGTTTGAAAAATAAATATTTACGAGTGACCGCGCGAATTTTAGAATTTATGATAGTGAATCGGACTAAATATAATTTATGTTTTACTGCCTTATATTTATAATTAAACTATTTGAATATATGTTTTAAAGACAAATTCATTTTCTTGATGCTTGAATTTTGCTTGTATATTCATTTTATTCGCGTTTGAAATATGAGGTAGTTTGTCATGATTAATCCTCCTTATTTGCTGATATTTTTCATATCATTTTACGTGTTCAGATACGTTTTTTCATGAGAGAATGTAATGCACTTAGCATCGAACTATTTCGATTATCATTGTTTGATTGTTAGTGAAAAATGAAATGAATGGATTTTTCCTAGTAAAACCTTTGTTGTTTGGCAACGCCAGGCTAATTAATGCTCAATTTTACATAATGCGGCGCTGGGCAGTAGCCACGTACGTAAATTTATGTTAAACATAAATATAACACATCTAAAGATATTTGCATCATACTTAGTACAAAAAATAAAATACAATTCTTCATGAGGTTGAAAATGCCCTTTCGATTAACCGCTATTTTTCTTATTATAATTGTGTGCCTAACTTTTATGTATTCCAAATGGCAGATACTTCGAATTGAGACAGGACGAAGGATAGTGATGGATGTTCGTTATGAGGACATATCAAACACAGCAACGGGTACAGCAAGTGATTCGAAATCCTCAGAAAAACTTGAAAAGCCGAAATTAGTGTTGTTTTATACTAAATTGTTCGGTCGAACACCTTGGCCCACGGTTGAAAATGATTATCAATTTAACAATTGGAACAATGTACCATGTCAAGTAAAGAACTGTAGGGTTTCCTACAATACGAATGACTTAAATGAAAGCGATGCCGTGATATTTCATGGTCAAGATATAGACTACATTGACTTGTCCAAACTTGGAAAAACGGTCAAGAATCGTGCAAAACAGCGTTGGGTATTTTTTATACACGAATCTCCAGAATTCTTCACCAAAGATCTGAGTACGCTGCAAAATGTATTTAACTGGACCATGACCTACAAATTAGACTCGGATATTTTTGTACCATATTGGTATTACTTTCCGAAAACTAGAAAGAATGACATAAATACTACTTCACAGGACTATGCTCGTGGAAAGGATAGACTTGTTGCTTGGATGGTAAGTCATTGTGGGAAACAGAGGGATAAGCTGGTAAAGAAGTTGATGGAATATATTCCTGTTCACATTTACGGTGCATGTGCTCCAAAATTTTCTCAAAAAAGGACGTGCAATAAACGAGATAAAAATTGTCAAAAGACTCTACGTAGATATAAATTCTACTTGGCTTTTGAGAACGTAAATTGTGTGGATTACATCACAGAGAAATATTGGTCAAATGCGCTTCAAAACAATATTGTGCCAGTTGTATTAGGTGGTGGAAACTACAGCAACAGAAATTTGGCTGTTCCTGGTTCGTTTATTAACGTTATGGATTTTCAGACAGTCAAAGAATTAGCTGATTATTTGGTAATGTTAGACAGGAATGATACAGCTTATAACGAGTATTTTACTTGGAAAGACAGATACTATATTGATTTCTCACCACCCTGGACATGCCAGATGTGTTCCATGTTAAACAATGCTTCTCTTCCAATAAAGTCATATAATCATCAACGTTTGGAGATGTTTTGGGGCCGAACTAATAACTGCAGATTATTGGATGGGAAAGTAGAGAAAATTATAAGAGGTTACTCAGAAGCGAACATGAATAACAGATTGAATAGTACGGTACATTGAACTGTAATAACGGTTATTGTTATATAGCTAGTGTAAAAATTCATCTCTTCTGCTTTCCTATTGGACAAGAGGTCCACGCTCGGAGGACAAATCTCCATGATTACGCGTGATCAACACGAGCGGGCATCAAATTTCATAATTTCCCCTAATGCAATTTTCCCTAGGGCAATTTACCCTCGGGAAAACAGCGTGTTTTGTTGACCCTCAACCGCTCGTTGTTGCCCTCGGCTTCAACAAGTCTCGGGTCAACAAGACGCACTCTTTCCCTCGGCGTCCGCAAATAGGTATTAAATGGTGGTTGTATTTTCTGGTGATTGCTGCATCGCCCTAATATATATGCATTCCTTTTTACACATTATTTGAAACGTTCTGATGATAGTTAGCATATTTAAGCAGTATACGATAAATCAATAAAAAAGTAAGAACCAACACAATAACTAGTTTATCTTTTCCCCAATTACGTTTATAACTTAGTCAAAATTTCGTCCTTGGTGCTATTACTAATTTTATTGTGATTATACATAATAGATATTCTCAGTAGCAAATTAGAAAATAATCGTTACTTTTGTAACAAATAATTGTTACTTTTTGTTTACAAATATCACACCCTATCACCCTTGTAATGTAATGAATATATTGGTAGAAAGAAGATATAATTAGTATAATAATATCAAAATATATAAAATATGTTCGTTCAGTCCAGGAGGTAGGTTAAAGAATAAAATTCAGGAAAAAACGTTCTAAATAGTGAAAACCGTATACTTAGAGAAACTTTCGTCAGAATAAAACCATGCACCTTCAATCTCTTCGAGCCTTCTTCAAATCTGAATCTCTCACGTGGATATAGTTAATGAAATATTGTGTGTTTTATATATGCATATGTGAATAGAAAATATCATAGTTTATTGATCATGAAACAACTTGAGGGATAATAACAAGTCTAATACTTCCCCTAGTCTTCTTTAATATGGCAACCGCGGCTTCGTGTGTCACTCCTTCCAAACTTTGACTATTCACTGCAATAATCTGATCTCCTCGCTTTAGTCGGCCATCACGCGCCGCTGCGCCCTGTGGAAAGACAGTTTTGACGTAGATTGGCAGATCGCCATGTGGACTACCATGACCTCCAACAATACTGAAACCCAGTCCCTCGGGACCTCGTTCTAAATCTATTATTTCCGTTTGAGGGCGCCTAGATAAAAGTTTGGTATGCTTTTACTCGTCGGACAAAGATTTAAGGAAAATGGAATGTGGATTTTAAACGATCAATTCTTTTTAGCTGCGTTTGAATATACACAATTCAATGAAAAATCTTAAATCTTACCTATTTTCTTGCCTACCACCATTGGCTTTCTCAACTGCAGAAGTAATTGAAAATGTGTTATCACGCGAGATCAAACATTTTAAATTCCATTGTTATTGATTGGCTCGTTAGTTTTGGCGAGCCAATCAAACTTCATGAGACACTCAGGCTTTTCGCTTTCGATAAACTTAAACAGGCAGTTTTAATTACATGCATGCATGTATACCAATTTAAAGTACACTATTTAATTTTGAAATGAATAAGTCGTACCATATGAAGGCGGTGGACCCATGACTGGTTGATACATCTCTGAATCAAAAGGACTGGATGGTGGAAGACTTAGATTACTTCTTGCTGGTTGCATTGGGAAACTATATAAACTCGAGCTTTCTATTGAAGCACGAGGCGAGGATGTGCGAGAATTTGGTTTCAATCGTGCAACACTGATTTTCACACGACCAATCGTTCGCTATAACAAGATGGTTTATATGTTAGAAGCTTGTCAATACTTTGGATCCTGGAATTTGATCATACTTCGATCGAGAATTATCGCGCTAAAGCTTTTTTAAAGATGAACGCCACTACCTTTAATATCTGGGCTGCATAATCTTGTGTTGTATTTCTCATATCCTCATTGTTAACACTGAGTATTTGATCCCCGGGCATAAGACGACCATCACGAAAAGCTATACCTCCACTCACCTGAAGAAGTAAATATTTAACATGAAACAAACAACTCCATGCATACGCGCAAAATCAAAAATTCAAACATGGCCCAGGATAGGTTACCAGGACTACCACAATGTCACAATTTATACATTTTTTTTATTTTTTTATACATACAGAGAATGAAAAACATACCACGTCAGATATAAAGACTCCAGTGTCGTTTCTGCAAGATAACACGTGAACGTTAGTGGAATTGTAAAATTACCTTTATTTCATCAACCTTACCAGTTACCACTTACCTTCTTCCAACGATACTTAGTCCCAGTCCTTGGCCAGGGAACTTTTGTAACTCCACAACAAAATGGTCAAAAGCATCTACGATTTATGCAACAAGTATAAATATATAGAGTAGCATATATGATTACATTGTAGTCTGAACAGAAGAAATTTTGATGAAATACTTGTACTAAATGTATGTATAGCATCATCTACAATATAGAACAACAACGGCTCATTCTAAGAAATTTACCAACCTTCATCCCTGAACTGTGCCTCAGATCTAATAACAAGCAGTCTTACGACTGATGACGTACTTCTCAATACTTCCATAGCCTGATCATGTGTTGCTTTCCGGAGATCAGCATTGTTCACCTAAATAAAAGAATATTATGTAATCAGCATCAATCATAGTCAAATTCATAGGGGGGTCGAAAGAGGGATGGGATGCACCTAGGCTCGGTTTCTCAACTTTCTCGCGCCCCACAATTTCGTAACTCAAGCAGTATCGGTGTACCAAGGAAATACATTCATTTCGTTTGGAGGAGGACGAAGTTATCATTATACTTTAAAGGACAGAGTAAACTTGGTGTTCTGATTCCTGCCGTGAAAAAGAAGTTACCTCTAAAATCTGATCACCAGCCCAAAGCCGTCCATCTCGTGCAGCTGCACCATCGTCGTATACTTCATGAATTAAAATTGAACCCTAAATATGATCAAACACGACAAATTGTCAATGTTAGGATGTGCTGTCCTACTTCAGCTTACCAGCACAGTGTCAACCTACCAGCACAGTGTCAACCTACTACCGGCACAGTGTCAACCTACTAGCGCAGTGTCAACCTACCAGCGCAGTGTTAACCTACCATGCAGCACAGTGTCAACCTACCAGTACGGTATCACTTCCACCAACGATACTCAGACCCAGTCCAACATCCCCTTTATGGATCTCTAATTCACATTCTTGACCAGTAATGATCGGTGCAGTCTGAGGATTTCCTGCGGATATTATAGACACCGGAGCATCTAAAAAATACAAATATACAAGCATGCAGACACATTTCGCTGCATGAAACTACTTCAGGTATAACTTTAGCTTCTTATGAAATTCACCTAAATTTTCCATGGAGGAATGCCTGCTAGAATCCCGCGTTCCCATTGGAGGATTTGTGCCGACGTCATCTGGTTTGCTCTGAACGAGGTTTTCTCTCTGAACATCAACTTGGGGCCTGACTGTAGTTAATTCTATTTGACCTGTACACACTTTGAGTATACGAGCAACCTGAAAACGGTTGAAGATTTTTACAGTTGATACATATTTACCATTATATCTTTGTTCCTACCAAAATAATATTCTAAATAATTACATTAAACTAATAATTTTGTAAAATTGTTCATCATTAACATTATTCATCATTAAATTTATGCTTTTTTACGTCCACAGCAAAGACGACGGTAATTTCGATGTTTAGGTATATTTGGCAACTAAAATGTGAAGGTGTTCCATTTATTTTTCTCTAACTCAGAATTAAACATTTAGCACAAAAAGATCTTTAATACGAACAATCCCAATTCCAAAGAAATACAAAGATTAATACCTCAAGATGTGTGCATCCTACAATCGATTCTCCATTGATTGCCAACAATTCGTCACCGACTTTTAAATTTCCATCCTAGAAAAAACCCAATAATATTTATACTCAACTGTAAACTACAAAACTATTCTCTTTTTAAAGCAGGATACAGTTGGTACATTTACCTACCCCTACCTGACAAAAATGAGGGTCTTCACCCCCGCCCCCAAAGCTGAGAGCAAATCAAAAACTGTACCTGTTCAGCTACACCACCGGGTGTAATACTTCTGATACATATTCCTTGTTCACCAAATCGATGACTTGGCCCTTCACCAATAGCAAAACCAAGACCGCTACTGCCCTAAAAATTGAAAGAAAGTATAAAATTTTCAAATGCGTACGTCACATCGTAGTTTCCAAAACGTATATATTTTTTTTCAAATATAGAACTTGCCTTGAGTAAAGAGACAACAGTTTGCTGTGGTGGTTCGGTATGCTCTTGAGTGACCACTTGTGGCACCGGGCTATCGCGTTGCGATTGATTCTCATCAACCAGCAGGGGACTCGGGGCTAGCTTATTCAGCGACGCATTTGATGAATATTGTTCTGAAGAGGGCGAAGGTGCGCGTTCTAAGTTGAGGTTGGAGTCACGTGAACCACGTGACGCAGCACTTCGCCGTTTAAGATAACCTTCACCTTCCTTGGTTCTCCCGAGAGCCAGATGAACGTGAGTTGGAGTATTACGTAATATTGCCGAAGCATCGTGATGTGATATTCCGCGAATTGTCACGTGATTGACTTCTAAGATTTCATCCATTGGCTTAATTTTACCGTCGTGAAAAGCGGCGCCATTGGGTTTGACATCAACAACGAATATTCGGTTCGTTGTCGCACCTCGACCGCCTGCGATACTTAGGCCTGGGGGAGAAAAATTATGGGAAAATAATTACAATTAAACATCAGCAAATAATTGTTATATTGTGTATAACAGAAAAAGGTTCACAAAGAGACGAGTATACCCTCATAAAATATCTCTTTCAGTCAATATTAGAGATTCTCATGTCTTCACATGCAGTGGACTCGACTCCTCTTTTCTGAGTTTCTCACCTAATCCAAGTTCGCCTTTGACAAGATCCACGGTATAAACTTCCCCGGCAACATCAGGATATTTCTCTCGAAGAACATCTATTTCATCTAGAATAGAAACACACAAACTATTACTGAGCACTTTTATTGCTATTCTGTCAGAGAATTTTCCTTCCCTATACTTACATTTTCTGATTTAAAACAGAAATAACATACATTGATGGCTCCCTTTGTATTCGCTGTGTATACCCTGAACCTATATTTAACCCCCAAAAACCCATGTCTGATGGTCAAATTTGCGTTTTATAGACTATATAACTTGGCTTATATATTTACAACGCAAGGAAAGACTTGTTTAAAGAAAAACGTCAAATTCTCGACTTCAAGTAGCCTTTAATTCAACCATTTTCAAAAGTTTAAAACATAAAGCAATGACCTTTTTCATTATCTTTCAAGAAGGAGCTTTCTACGATATTTCCTCCTGAAGCCTGAATCTGTTTCTCCAGTGTATCATCTTGTATAGTAGCATCGTTGTCATCGTGGACAGAAAATGTTCTCCTGCCCTCCCCCTCCCAGTCAAATGTCGAGGAACCCTTTAAATTGAAAAAAGGCAAATTAAAACCAATTTAATGACCGCACCAGAATTTTACATCTAAAGTTGACTTTCCAGTTTAAATTATTACGTACATCAAATTCTAAGCTCTGCAGTGTTTAGTTTCCACGTACTACCCCCCCCCCCCCGTTTTAAGAACTCAGAGAGCCAAAACATTTCCTGTACCTGCAATGATGGCGATAGAATCTGTTCTTCAAGTCTCTCAATAACAAACTTCATTGGCGATGTTGCATTACGTATTGCCTCGACTGCCACGTCATGTGACGCATCGCGTAAGTCTTGGTCATTGAGCTAAAAGTTGATTCAATATCACTGATTTGGAAAGTATAAAGGTTTTGCATGTTTCCATAACGATAAATTCAAGTATATTCATAAATTTTGATTTATTGATTGCTGAATGCATGCGCATATCATGCAGCCGAGTACAATTGAAAGTCCTTTATTTCCCAGCAGCAAAATTTCAAAATAAAAATTTCCATCACGAAAAATATTTCCTGCATGTAAGACAAAAAATTCCTAAAGACTTTTGTCATACTGTTTCCAAGCAGTGCTGCTGCATGGTGGCCCTGCATGCATGCCCGACATTTTTCTCACTGTCAGTTTAGAAATTTAAAATTCACTAAAAAAGACAAGCGCAATAAACATTCTTCCACGAAACATAAACCAAATAGTTCGCTAACCTCAAGGATACGATCATTCACTTTCAATCCATTCTCGCTACCCGCAGGACTTCCTTCAACTATGGTTCTTACAAATATACCAATAATTCCTTTACTTAGAGCTTCCTCGTTCCCGCCAACAATACTAATACCCAGACTCTGACCGGGATTACGAGTAATGTATACATCAAGAATGTTTGAATATTCTCCGGTCTCAGTATCATCGTGACCAGTTAGAACTGGCTCTGCTTTAGGTTCACTATGGAAAAAAAGTTATATGATTTAGGAAAATGATCAATAGTTTAAGATGAATCAATACGAATGATCAATTCTACCCCCTTTTCATACCTGATATTTTCGATGCTGCCTGTGTCATATCGCGGAGTCTCGGTGTCTGTGACAAGGGATTGGGTCGAAGAGGCTAAACTATCTTCACCACTTCTAGATCCGAGTCTTGATGGAAGAAATTGCTTTTTTATTGCAACGAAGCTGGAAGAAAAATACACAAAAAACTCTTTCTAAGAATTCGTAAACGAATTTTTTCGTTTCATAAAAGAAATGTTTACCATATATCCTTAAATAAAGCTTGTTTTCTCAGCACAGCTCTATAAATATACACAAGGAATCAATGGTAAAAAAATGTATTTACACCATAGCTCAGCCGGATTGAAAAATTCACACTTTCTATATCTGAATTAACGAGAAACTCTTACTTGACTTGTTGATGATTTAATCCAACAAAACTTTGATCATTCAGACTGAGGATATGATCGCCAACTTTGATACGACCGTCAAGATCTACGGCGCCACCAGGCAATACTTCCTTTACTTCACATCCACTTTGATCTCGGTCACTTCTCAGTGAAATTCCTTCAACAAATAAAAATTTTATTAACTGCATGAAATGGATACAACGACTTTTGCTGTCGCTTTATATCACGTTGAGACACAAAAAAAACAACCCGAACGAACTTCTCCGGTTGTTTTACAAGGGAATTATTACATGAATAATCATTATATTAAACCAGTCTCAATCAACTCGGGTTACTAACCCAACTTTCCTACGACCTTTCTCTTGATTCGTATAGTTTCGAGATGATCTCTTACGGGTGAAATCACGGGCAAGTCGTCAATATTGAATGGAAGTGGATGAGGAGAGATAAACTGTTCATCATCTGACCCTTTTTCGTATTCTTGATCAGCACCTTAACCGGAAATGCAAAAAATGGCATCTTACTTGCGATGTAACAAGCGATTTAAAATGTAAAAATTTGCTTTATCCCCTGGTTCAGCTAACTGGCTTTTGAACAATCGCCCCTTTACTTTAAAGAACAATCAGTCTTTAAAGTATTCTAGATATATCAGATACTATACCATTAAATAATTCTTTTTTCTCTCCTTCACCTGCAATACCAGGATCCTCAAACAATGAAAGCGGTTTAGCAACACCAATACGAACAACACCTTTAAGAAATTTTATATATTTTTAATAAGTATTGATCATTAGAATAACACTAAGTGCATGATGAGAACACGTTCGAACGAATTACATACGCATTCTTTATTTAGGAAGAATCAGAATATTTCTCTATTTTTCTATAATTGTTACGTATTATAATTATCGGCAATATTTCCCATTTTATATGTTAACATTATATGAGTAATATGACAGTTCGTCCCTCCAAAAATTGATATTAATATAGTTCATATGTATATAACCAAAACTATTAACATATGACAAAACATAAACTATATATTAACATGCATATGACAAAAAAAAAGCTATATAGCTATAAAGATAATGTCAAAATGATTAAACAAGACAATTAATATATTATTTCTTTGGCTACACGCTGTTGCAGGACATCAAACCAGCTTTTCTATGAAGTATCATAATGATGATGCATGGGGCATCAACAGGATTTAATATTAATGTGGTATTTTGATTTACGTATTTCAGTGCAGGATATCTTCATAATATAGAAAATGCAATAAATCTTCCAGAATTGGTATAAAATATATCAAAGCAATATGCATGTTTTAATATATATATCATTAATGTCGCTGTTGAACCCATTCTATAATTCTATACGCCTTTATAGTGGAATTGAAATAATTACTTGAGATATAGGTGAACTTATTGTCTAAACTTTAGAAAGAAGAGGCTAGGAGACTAACAATTTGCTGAACTAAAGGATAAATAAACAATATGCATGTGTATAATATGAAATTCGCGTGTTGTCTGAATTAATTGCCTCAAAATCTACTATATAATTGTTCTGTTCTGACATTAAAAGTCTGCATAGTAATCTTGAATGCCTGTTAGCGATTATAACGTATATTATAACAATATCACTAAATTACACTAAATTTATTTTTACGATTATACTGGTATTAGAGATATATTTAGGGTTTTAGTATTTTAGGGTTATAGTTAAAGATAATGGAAATTCATCCTATCTTTTGTAGACCACTATGCCTTTCTACAACAATACATCACTTGAAATGTCTTTCGATAATTTGGCAACCTCAAGTAATACAAAACTGGATTAATGACAAAATTCAATGTCCAGATGGCATACAAGGTAATTTCTAAAATCGTTCCACTATTATTTTCTTCCCCACCCTCAGTCGAAATTATTTTCTGACTAAATATAGCGTTCGGAAGGATTGTAACGGCTGAAATACAGGCAATAATAATGATCGTTTTAAGAAATCGTTTTTCCTTTAAAATACGAGTTCTCTGTGCACGATGCTCCGTCGAATTATTATTTTCCATTTGGGAAAGAGACTTGGATTGCTTGACAATATTTCTGAAAGTCGCTGTATACAATAAAAATGTCCCCAACGCAATTGTCATGTAGAAATAATGCCTGATCAAATCATCATTCGGACCTTCTTTATTCGTTATACTTCTTTTTATACCTTCGGCAGAGCTTAGAATCCAAATCAGCGTCACCCATGAAACCATCTTTTTGTTGCTTATGAAAAGACGGTGTTTGAACGGGTGGCTGACAATGAAATATCTATCGGCTGCGATCGATAATATTGTTAACAATGACGCTATAATAGTGGTATGATCTAGGAACTCCATGGCTGGCGTCTCGGGATCTTCAGCAATCGTGAGCCAATTCTTTACACAATAACTAAGATCAGCTACAGCCAAGTTGCCCACAAGATACACAGCAGAATTCCGAAAACATTTCAATGGATCCACGATAAATGCGATCAGCAACATCAAGTTAAACAGAACACCACATAAACTTTCGAGATATATTGGAACGTATTTCGATTCAAAATCGTTTTGAGAAAAGTTAAAACCCATTTTCAGTTCTATGTAAATTCAACTTTTAAAACGTTGGAGATCCTTTAGCCAGTTAGGAGCTTCGTGTAAACTATATAGAAATGCACACTGCGCGAAAATCACAACGTTGTACTAAAGATATATCGCCTTAGAAAACCTAAATGAGTTGTTTGTGCGTGAAAAGAAAGTTGATTAAAATTTTACACATCGCTATTTTGATGAAAAGCCTATATAGTGCAGCTGTAAATTATTCATACTTTAATTACTATATGTTTAAAATTTATAATATTAAATATAAAATACAAGCTCAAAAAACAATTTAGAATAAACACAACATGCTGTGCGAAATGAAATCTTCTTTAAAAAACCCCACACATTTTAATTAAAATTTGTTCTTTTTTGCGACATGTATACCTACCTCATTAATTTTTAAATGTTTACATGCGCATGGTTCAGCCTAGTTTTCCGATCTAGATCCGTCATTTTCTGTTTTACGATGGCAATACCAAAATTTACGTCGACAAAACAAACGATATTTAGTTATTTATAGCCTTTGATGGGTTTAAATTCTTATGTCATGTTATAGCTTTTAAGACCTTTAATGGTTTAAATTCAAAGTCGTTTAATTGTTGACAATTAAGCTCTCTTACCTCTTTCTGTCGACTTCAAAGTCTGTACAGCAATATCAAGCGTAGCATGTTCCAGGTTGGTATCATTCACGGACATTAATCTGTGTCCTGGATGCAGTCGGCCATCTTGCTCGGCAGCTCCGTCTGGAACCAAACTACGTATTACGATAACGGTTTCATCAGGAAGAACAGGGTCCTAAAAGGACGATAGAGAATACTTAGTGCAGAGCATATTTAAATACTTAGGGTGCTTTCCATTAAGCGGCCAAAATGGTCAGACCGGTCTTATTTTTAATTGAATTTGAGTATTTCTTTGAAAATATAGCGGTGAAACTGCATTTTCCGTGCTAGGCGGATGTAAATATCGATAAACTCAAATGCAGATTACTTAAGGAACTCTACTGAAACACAACAAGGGACGGTCTGGCCATTTTACCGCTTAAAGGAAAGCGTCCTTAGTTGAGCATAGCATAGACAATCATTTGTCTCAAGGATATATTATAACGGGTCAACATAATAATAAAGAGGAGTCGCACAAGCAGTTACAAACTTTACTAAAAAGCAAAACCAAAAGCCTAATAATATTTTTCTTATTATCCTAACGATCATCACCTGATAATCAAGGATGCTAAAACCAAGTCCCTTCTCCCCTTTTTCCAGCTCAACATATTCAACGTCAGATGCCCACATGGATGCTGTAGATTTACTGTTTAAATTTTCATCTACAAATAAGACAACACGATTTACTACCATAACAATTACTGACTTGAAATGACACAACCAGAAAATTACATATAGATCAGTGATTCCTGGTCAAAAGTTGAGCAGGCTTTTTTGCTCACTTGTAGCCTTGTTTAAGATCGCCTTGTTTAAGATCTCGAGTTTCCCAGTTTAAAGAACAATTTTTCTCGACGAAAAACACATCGCTTGCGACAGTTACATCAAGAATAATATTTTACCAGCATACCTGTATGTTTAATATCTTCACCAATGGTAACAACGTCGTCGCCCTCATTTTCCTCTACGTCTTTTCTTCGAGCCACAACAAGACGGAAGTTAAGAGGCAATCCTTGAATCAGAGAAACCACTTCGTTGTGGGATAACTCCAAAACATTTGTACCATTTATCTGAAACGTAAAATCTAGATTTAATTTCTAAACAACATGAACCTCGTAATGGAAAGTGTAGAATGTATTACTTATTGGAAGCAAAAAAGAAATAAGGAGAGAATAAAATTTCATTTCATGTATTGTCAAAGTTATAAATACTGTACCTCTATCAAGTAATCACCTTTCCTTATAACACCGTGTACTCCGACAGGCCCAGTTGGATTAACTGTGTGAATTCGATGTTGTTGAAGCCCCTCTGAAAATATCAATGAATACACCTTGTAGGATGCTCAACGAAAAAAAGTGAAAAAATTGTTTGTGACATACTGTATGTACCTCGAGTAAATCCCTCTAAACTTAGACCTAGTCCACCGTTCGGTGAGAATTTCGGCAACTGAACAACCTACAAAATAATTCTCCAATTAAATGAGCAGTTTCTAAGTTTTTTTTTCCAAACACCTTCTTCAAAACATTTCTTAAAATGCCTGGGTTATGACGTAGGTTTATGGTCAGTTAGCCAATCAGGAGCTCGCTTCATCCTTCTAAAGATCTACGCGTCATCAACAACAGTACATGAGTCAAGAAACTCCTAGCAGGTTTAATTTTAATCCCGAGAATGGTATCGTGTAAATACCACAATCTCAGCTTCTTCCCCAACAATGCTTTGATACTTTTCCTTAGCTTCTCTGACAACCTCACGACGAACTGGACCATCTAGAGACAAGAAACGGAAAGTATATATTACTGTACTTTAACTGCATGGGTCTTCCCATAAAACTTGCATTTACTAGTTTTTATTACGTTCAAAAACTACCCACCAAATTTATCAACTTCATCATCAGTGCTATGCTCATTTTCAAGAGCTGGAGTTTGGATAATGTTTTCTAATGAGAAATATACAAATTGCTACAGAAATGTGTCTTTACAATGCACGAGCCACGATTCGAATGTTACTTTATTTAAACCATGGCCTAAGTAATCTTTTCCTCAGTAAAACGAACAGAACATCATAATGTAAATATAAGTACTGTATTAAATAATTCAACCAAGGCACTGTTTACCTGAGGATGTTTTTCTTTTGGGTACATCTGCATCCTTAGAGCGAGCCAGTTTCATTTTTACAACTGATCCAGTTTTCTTTAATACTTCCACAGCTTCAAGATTTGTTTTGTTTTCAAGATTCACCCCATCAACCTAGAGCAAAAACATACTTTCAATGAGATGTGCAACTCTGAGTATAACCTAACTTTAAACAATCAATGATTGTATAACAAACTCAGTTTCCTTTAGGACCAACTTCTGTTTGAAGGTAGCAACTATGATATAAGAAATGGCTAGAAATACCAGATTCAATTGAAATTACACTCCAAACCTCAATAATTTGATCGTTAACTTGAATTTTTCCACATCTCTCTGCGGCACTATCTTCGCTGATGCTTCGTATAAAGATTCCAGATAATTGTTCTAGTAATTAGAATTCAAGATGCGTTTTTGTACTTTAAGCAAAACACTAACATCTAAAATATTCAGCACAGATGTGAAGTTATTTGGAAAAGTTTCTTTGACTTCACGCATAAAAGGTTTTGCTTTCATTCTTTCGTAATGAAAACCTTAAGGCTGAAGGTCCTAAACGGGGCTAAGTAGGAATATGATCCATTTTTCATCCATTTTTTGATCCATTTTTCATGCAAAAGGTGCTTTAACAGTATATAAAATTATATTAACCATCAAATGAGGTGAATTAATTGCCACAATGTAGCTACTTTTATGTAATGAATTTAACAAAGTCTGAGAATGGGACGTTGACCCTCTACTACGTACTTCATGTACGTTCTACATATAGAATAAATGTAATGTATTGTAACCGTGTACCACAGGTTCGGCCACTCCTCGCTAACCTTCATTTTGCTCGCTAACGTAACCAGCAATAGTTATTCCAAGACCTCTGTTTCCTTTAGAAAGTTCCACTTCAAAAATGTCTGCTTTGCCCACTTCCTATACGGTCATGACGGAAGAGATAATTAGCAACACAACCAAGGTTCTTATAAGGAAATTTTCTGTAGAGTACATGCTTTTGTGTCCGTTGCTTCCTATAAATGGAATTCGCTATACATCACCCCCCCTTACCACAGGTTTCCGGGGTGGTAATTCGCCTGAATTATCTGTGATAACCCGAGCAATAACCATGCGTACAGGGTTCCCAGCTCTACGAAGGACCTGGGCGACTTCCTCACTCGTCATCGTTCCAACATTTGTGTCGTCAATCTGCATGATATGGTCACCATTTTGCAACCGCCCGTCCTGAAAATAAATCAACAATTAATATTTCACAAATATTTCTTACAACATTCCGAACATGTTTCAGAAGATGTTTAAATGACTCAGGTATATAGTTTATTAGATATGTCTAGGCGCATAAGAATCCATCGTAATTATCGCTACTCTGGTTTTAGTAAATGAAAGTAATCACCACACAAAGATTAATTTTCACGACTCAACGTTTCGACACTCCGGTTTAGTGTCTTCACCCCCTGATGAAGACACTAGACTGGAGTGTCGAAACGTTGGGTCATGAAAGTTAATCTTTGTGTGGTGATTACTTTCATTCATTAAAACCAGAGTAGCGATAATTACGATGGATTATATACCTGGTTGCCGTGAACTCATTAACTTCAATTCGCATAAGAATCGTTAGACATACAGTACAAACTTATGTAACCTACCTTATCTGCAACTCCTCCAGCAAGAATCGTTTTAATAACAACTCCTGCGTTGCGGCTGCCAACAATACCAAAACCAAGTCCTCCTCCATCATTTGGAAGTTCAATATTTTCAATGTGACGGACATGAACACCATCTCCAGCCTATACAAATTAGCATCACAATAAATCGTCCTAATGAAAGTCCTACCTGTCGACTGAGAGATTATTTTTGGAGAAAAATATGTAAACATTTGAAGAGAAGCATTGGCATTCACGAACAAAGAGAAAGGAACAGATATTAACTCTCATTTTAACTTTTTATTTTTTGGCTTTTTAAATTGGTTGACGAGCGGTCCGTAAAATCCATATACGGACCGGGGTCCGTATATTCCGTATCTGGACCAGTATCCCGGATATCTCATGCAGTTCAGCCATATAATAAACCGATTATTGACCTGGCTTGTTCTGTCTGTACTGAGAAATATCAGGCCGAGGTTTTTTGCATGAACCTTGCTTCTTCGTCGCTCTGTCCACATTAAAACACCTCCGTCTGATAATTCACAGTACGACCTCACGCTCGGTCAATAATCAGTTATTATGTATTCACCATGAAATGGAAGATCTTAGATAGGTAATCCTAGTATTAACTACGTCAAATTGGTAAGCACATGCATTTCATCTGCTCACTTACAGGTATTGCTACAGAACTTTGCGAAGCATTACTGACGGCTGACGATGATCTTGAGAGCGATGAGCTAGCCAAAGAAGAACTTCTTGACAACGAACCAGGGACACCCTTAGCAACCACAAGTTCAATATCACCTTTACTTTGTTGTAAAATAGCGATTGCTTCATGATGTGTCAGACCACTATCCAAGACTTTCTTGTTGATCGCGAGAATCTGGTCGCCTTCCTGTAAACGGCCATCTCTATAGTCCCAAGGAAAGAGAAGTTTTACCAGTTACATTGTAGTAATGTTTGCTCATACAAGTCTAAGAATCGAATAAGTTTATTGTATTAATAAGTAACTGCTAAGTGCAGATATACATAAGAATAAATGTAAAATAACTGCACCAAAAGCAAAATCATAACTTAACTCCTTAATTTTCATTACCTTGCAGCAATACCATCTTCCTGTACATCTTGAATGAAAATTCCCAGTTCTCCTTTATTCTGACTTTTTAACCCAACCACACTAAATCCTAAACCACCTTTTTCAGGCTTTGACAAAATGATAGTTTCCATATCCCGACCTTGAGCAACTGGCCCAAGCCGTTCATATAATTCTCTATCATTATCATCATAATCATAATCATTATAATCATCATCATGGTCATTAACCAGCTCATCTGGAAATGTTCGGCTTATGTTGCCACCAGAAGCTTTTACATTACGTTGTAAACGTGCATGAGTTTGATTTTTCTCCAATCGTAATTGTCTACTTGGAACAGGGACAAGTTCTCCATCTTGTGAAAACTCAAAATCATTTATGGTGTCTCCCTTTGCATTAGCAAGCATTTTGTTCAACTCACTACATGATGCTTGAATTGCTAAAAGTTGTCTAAGTAGAGGACTATTTAAAACATGCTTCAGACGCATAATATCTTCATCATAAACATTTGTTCCTTGTTGTTGAAGGCGGCTGTGTATATTTTCCAATGATTGCATTGCACGAGCCGCCTCTAAACACAAAAAAATGAAAAACATGAATCAAATATGGATATAAATGCCTGCTACACAAAATAGCTAATCCTACACATACGGTTTCACAATAACCAACAATGAATGCATGTTTTATATACTTTTTAAGAAAAATTGAGAATTATCAATTTCAGATACAATTTACAAGTACTCTTTTCACCCATAGAGCAATATCTACAACTTCACTACACTGTAAAATTATACAGTTGATATAAATATATGACAGGCTTTCTTTTCTACTGTTGATCTATTATTTTAGCTGTTGTTGCCATGTTGCCATCCTAGTTTTAAAGTCCCTAATATGATATGTGACAAACCCATAGCTAATTATAACTAATAGGAGTGAAATTAATTTTGCATGCTGTCAAAATTTCTTTCTGTCAATTACAACAAAAGTACAAACTTGCTGAAGCAAGGAAGCAGAAGATACGAAGGTGACAATCATAGCACTAAATTACGTAACTATGAGCAGAATGTAACAAGAAGAATGAGTTTAAAATCTCTAATGCAGTCTGGTTTCACGTAACTGGGTTAGATATTTCACATTCAATCTTTATTATTACAGAATGTACAGTATATTATATTTTCCAGTGCATAGAATGCTAGTGTTTGACAAAAGTCAAAACCCATGTAAAGATTGGCATAGCGAGACACTACACCATTCTACTGTACAGAAACATTGTTTTATTCATATATGAAACATAACGTTTCTCATCAAAATTTTGACACACTAAAATCCTAGTTCAAGCTCAGTTAGTACGCTGATGTTAATGTATAAATGGGTGGAAATGAAAAAACTCAATATCAAATAATGTTTATTAATTTCCGTTCTTTCATAACATACCTTCCAAAGTTGACATATTTGAGTGTAGTATTCAAATAAGCCAACCTCTAATCAGCCCCAAGTCTTTCTTCAATTTCTCACACTATTACTGATAACTTTTAAACAAAATATTATTTTTTACCAGCTCAACTCATCCTCTTTCGAGAAGTAAAAGTCTTGGTGAAATATGAAACATGCTTTAAAATATAAACAAATACATTTTTGTAATGATGATTGTTATGAAAATCTTAGGAATTTGAATATATTAGCCCACGTTTCGCACATTCCATACCTGCGGACTATACAAACTCGCACATGCGCCAGTGCTCTGCTTTTTTTGCGACCAGTGTTGCCGGCGTTGCCGCCAGTGCTAATCCAATCACACGTTGTTATATAATTTATAGAATGGTTTAACAAAGAGAAATATTAAAAAATGTTGAACTTTATAACAGCACACTTCAATATTTACAGTTCAATAAAAATACATAACTTTTTTCTCGCAGTTTTTTTTTAATTTCAAATCTAACGCATTACACTTTATAGTTCCCTTTCTGACCCACGTACGAAAGTGTTGCAGCCAATCCATATAGCTTGGTTACGAAACATTTGACTAGCATTAACGATCATGAAAATATATTTACCAAAACTCTTGTCCAATAAGCTCGGCTCAATTTCTTGTCTAAATGGGTAACAGCTTAAGAAAATATATGTAAAACGAGCGGAAATGAGCCGATTGTCTCAGAAAACAAACAACAAATTGCAGATAAATAAAGTGGTCAGTTTGAATTCAGTTGCTGGTTAGCTAGTTCAGTCATCATGACATTGTGCTGAGTGTCACAGGTAGCAAAGAATTGTGGCAAACCACTGACTTTTTCAGTAAAAAGATTTCTTCATATTTTGCCATGAACCTTGGTTAACTCTCATCATGTCGCGCATTAAGAACTACTTTCCGAAACATCGAACCTGGCTTTCTCACCACAGCTGACGCTGGCGGTGATGGTGATAATGATTCATGTCCATTCCTCTTCGCTGACGTTGGTGGCGATGGTGACAATGATTTATACCCAGACTTCTTCACCATAGCCGAGGGCGGAGAAAAGGACGAGTCGGAACCGCGTGATACGGCAGCTGCTGGCGGGGAGCATGCTTCCGACTGCGATCTTTTTAAAGCAACGTGCGATAGTGGCGCATGTGAGACTCTGTCATCTTCTGAATGAGGTGGGGATCTTACAGATGGCTTATTATCATGACTTGAAGGTTTTCCTAACATGTTGTTTGGAGAAGATGAACTGCGTACAATATTTCTTGGTCTGGCAGGCCGTCGTGGTGGTGATGAGTAACTGTTTCGGATTGATGATGTAGGAGTGCTGGTGTGGAAAGAAAAAACAAGATCCTTAAATATGATCGACCGGTCCAACTGTCATATGAAAAGCAGGGAAAGATAATGAATCTCAAACATACCCTTTTATTGTCATTTCTTTTTCGAGTTTTATTCCCAGTTCTTTAAGCTCTACAGGATAAGTAAAACATGACATCATATCAAAAAGATGAATTTACTGTTTGAACGTAGCTCTCATAGACGATCAAGACATGATCTTGAGACAATCTTGTGCATGCATGGTGAAGATTATGGTTTTTGCCATAGTAAGGCAATACGTTGAAATATAAAGTCATCGTACATTTGGCAATGGAAAGAAAGGAATATACCTTGAAGAGTTGGCTCGTCTTTACTCTGTGATTGCAAATTATCCACAAAATGCGATTCTTCAAATAACGAATTCTACAAATATCAAAGCAATAATACCTACACAAATTGCATAATCAGGAGTTCTGTGTATAAACGTCATATATACCTGAAGGAATGCTATGTCTTCTAGCAATAGATTTTTCTCCTCCTTTAAAATATTCCTGAAAGGAATAAAAGCACATTGTATTTTGTGAATTTTTTTATCAAAAGTGTTACCCACACATAATATCACCGCCGCCGTTCAGTCAATAAACTGTTTGATTGGGAAGATTTAACTTTAAAGACTGGTGACTACAACAACTAGTGGATGGAATTAATCATATTTTATTTGAGTATAAAAAGCTGAATGAAATGCACGTGTTCAAACCTCAACCTATCCGCTAATTGGTCAACATCCTGGACATTAAGTTGTTCCTGAAATGATTCCATGACATCACTAAGAGATGAAGATGATCTAAATATTTTAAAATAAATTAATACGTTATCCAGCAATTCGCATAAGTCATACATTCACTGAAATATAATATTCATGTGTTCAGCGATTGGCGAGGAACAGATAGTGGAGATACATGAGAAAAACATCTGAGACCTCGTGGGGGAGGGGGAGGGGATGGGGATTACCTGCTCCCACTGCCAGAAGAACTTGGTCTGCAAGGTGTGGAACGTCCACTGTCTGAACACACTGCGGTCTTAGGTCTTCTTGGTAAACAGCTTGCTTCTGAAAAGAAAAACGTGTGATCAATTTAATCAGAGAATGGCGGCTAGTTTTTCTGACTTAATCCGTTTCGAGCATTCCTTTGCCGTATTTGTATTATAATCGATAGAATTTAATGAAATTATTAATTACCAGATTTCGTGAATGCGTACTCTACTATACTCTTCTCTCGTCTTGATAGTGTCAGTGCTTTATTACTTAACAAAAGAAGATATCCCATGAATGGTGGGTGACACGAGGATGCTACACGACAGTGAACTGGGTTGACTGAGTATCCTGACAATTTCTATGCGGTACGTTCGGTCTCAAACGCTCATGCATGGAGATATAGCGAAATCCTAGTGATTGTTGCAGGAACTCCTTCTCTACCACAGTAGGCAATTGCATGCATGAAATATGTTTTCAAGCTAGGACCTCAATTAAGAAATTCTTTCTAAATTATTGCATTTCAAATGTCATTAAAGATGAACGAAGAAACATTTAAGTACAAGTACATATCCCATGCAGTGACGTAGCCAGCCTGACAATTTAGTCTCGCTATGCGAATTTCAGGTTATCGTAATTATTCATTTCTTTAGAAATTCACTGTTTTCGCAGTCAACCCCAAATTATTAGCATAGCGGGTAAGCGGGACTAAATGTTCAGGCAGGCCACGCTACTGATGCCCATTTGCAAGCATTTTGAAACCTCTGAAGGGGATAATCACAGGAGAGCTAAACCCTCCGTTAATCCATCTAACACAGCACTAATTAAGCTCTTTACAGATTATTTACCAAATAAATTAATTTTAATTTATACTTTTAATTACAATTTCAACATACAGTATTCAGACGTTTCTTAAATTTAAAAATAATTAGGTTTTTTAATCATAATGAATTGCAGACTACAAAAGGGAAGCTTTAGATAAAAAGTCTACAGCTAAAAAAGTAATACTTGCAGGTGGTCTTTGGTGGTCTGATTTATCAATCTAACTTTGGCAGTGTTTTAGTGACTACTGCATGTTATTGTTCACGCAAGTAAAAAACGATTAGCAACGAAAAATGCATTATCGATCTTTATTAATCTTGATTATTCTTATCGTGTCTGTAACAACTTCACCTTTGGAGAAATACATCAAACTCACAGCTGGAGTGTCCAAGGCAGCCTATTTACCTCTCGCCGGAAATCGGTTCATTCAAAATGGTCATATAATGGAGAAGGCTAATGCATTGAAACGCAAAATTAAATTTTTTGAATCCAGGTTTGTTTATTTATTAAATATTACATTTTATCGTCATCCGGATTGTGTTTTAACAACTTTGTTTAGAGTTTAAGAGTTTACAATTCATTTCAAGTAATGATAAAAACCAAGAAAAGATCGCTTGTAGTCTTGGAGGATGGAGTGCGAAAAGCCATGCCAACAGAGACACAGAGGTATTGTTGTTCACGCATCCCGAGATGAAGTTGGCAATCTTTGGATTTCGAGGAACAGAATCAAAGAACCTCAACGACTGGAGAAAAAATTTTAAAACAATTCTCACTTCAGTCCGTATAGGGTCAGCAGGCTTCAAAATTCACCAGGGCTTCAGAGATCGTTATCTTGATATTTCGCCATGGTTTGAGTCCGAATACCAAGCTATTCCTCAAGATTATAAAATCATGATTACAGGCCATAGTCTAGGCGGGGCCCTGGCCACTGTTTCTGCTGTATATGCGGGTGGTAAATTGAACAGGAAACCTGATGCGGTCATTCCATTTGCTTCGCCATTGGTCGGTGAAAAAGATTTTCAAGCTTATTACGAAGAGTTTGTCGGCTGTGATCATACCCTTAGAGTAACAGTAAAAAACGATATGGTCACCAAAATCCCGCCACCATTGGTTGGTTATGTCCACGTATGCAGTCCTCTTGAACTCGAAGGTAACACTGGTTTCCTTGATGAGTTAAAATTAGCTGAAAACCACAGCTTGTATCGTGGCTATGCTATTGGGTTGGCGAAGAGATATAAAAATGAGAATAACATTAATCTCGGTTGTGATCGTTCGGCTTAAATTGAACTTAATTTACCCGCTAACCTGTTCAAGTATTATTATACAGTGATTTATCAACAACGACAATTAGTGTATATAACTTTTCAATTACAAAAGTTTATATTCTCTAGTTTAATAAAAGTGACTTCACGATGATTAATAGATAAACAAGTTGACTTTAATAAAATAAAATTCTCAAATTCCTTGTAAATGTAAAGAAAAAGACGCATTTATTGGCAAACATTCGCTCAGTTTTACATAACCAGTAAGAGTACGTCAGTTTCAAGTCCTCGTGACAAAATTAAAGGTTTACATTAAATTTCATATGAAATTTCATATAATCCACTTGCTCCTGTGTAGCCTGGAGCAAGTCATCGCTATCAATTTCATAACAGCACTGCTTGCAGTGCTAGATAAAATCTACCAATAAAGCGTATAATTTAAAAATTTGGTCTGTTAAAAAATTGTTAGATAATTTATATCAAAACAATTCGCCTGTTCTGGCGTTAACTCCGGCGTGCACCGGAATCTACATGTATTAAATATATTCTTACCCCAATTAAATCTAAACTTAATCAAACAGCATCAAAAGAACGGTTTATATTTGTTCCTCTTGGAGGAATTGCCGTATCATGCGGGCGAAATCGAATCGCGCATCGGAAAATTAGTCAGAGATTTCGAGCTGTGCACCACAACTCTTGGGAGACAAAACCGTGACGTAGATAAATACGGTCACATACACTTTTCAAATACTAGTATATTTCGCGCCAAAACACACTTGCGACGACGAAAAATAATAAAAAAAAAACGAAAAAACAAACAAAACCTAGACAAATTTTCAACTCCGTCGCTCACGCAGGAGTAATTAGCTTGGCAAAATATCACCCGGAGTAAAATAGACATTTCTGCAGGTGGTGTCATTTATCGAGTGGATTTATATTACTCGGTGATTCATACGAACCAGTGATGATCTGAATTTCTTTCAAAGATGTATTGGCAATCTTTCTTTGGCTTTATTCTGCTGTTTGTTTCCGTAACAACTTCGCCTCTTGAGAAATACATCAAACTCACAATTGGTGTAGCCAAGGCAGCCTATTTACCATTTGAAGGGAATCGGTTTTTTCAAAATGGTCATATCATCGAGAGCCCCACAACTACACAACCCTTTAAAAAGTACGACCGAAATCAGGAAAAATATGCTTGTAGTGTTGGAGGATGGAATGCGAAAAGCTACGCCAGCAAAGGCACCGAAGTCCTGTTGTTTACACATCCTCAGCTGAAGTTGGCTGTCTTTGGGTTTCGAGGAACGGAACCAACAAGCCTTAAAGACTGGAGTAAAAATTTCAAAATGCTTCTAGTTGCCGTCCGCTTCGGCAACGCAAACTTCAAAATCCACCAGGGCTTCAGAGATCGTTATCAGGATATTTCGTTATGGTTTGAAACTGAATACCAAGCTATTCCTGCAGATTATAAAATCATGATAACAGGTCATAGTCTGGGAGGAGCTCTAACCACGGTTTCTGCGGCAATCGTTAGTGGTAAAACAAAACGACTTCCTGACGCCGTCATCCCATATGCGTCGCCTTTAGTTGGTGGACAAGATTTTCAAACCTATTACCAAAGCGTTGTCGGCTGCGACCGAACCCTGAGAGTGACCGTGAAGGGCGACATCGTCACGAAAGCTCCTTCCACAATATTGGGCTATAGGCACGTGTGTAGCCCTCTTGAACTTGAGGGTCACACTGGCATTTTAACTCCAGGGGAAATGATCGAAAATCACGATGTGTATGCTAATTATGATCGAGGATTGGAACAGAGATATACAAATGCGAATGACATCAATCTCGCTTGTGATCGACTTGTCTAAAGGTTTGTTAGCTGTTATCTGCAATCCAAATTTTTGTTATTATTGCATGAAGATATTAATTGCAGTGCATGTCTATATAACATGAAATTTCACTGGAAATTTCATTGTGTTTATCCAAAGAGCTATGTGTACTTTTCTGTGTGTCTTCACTTGGTGTCATACAGGTGATAAAACCAAAGTTCAATTTTTTGCAAAGAGGGCAGTTACGAAGATTTAATAATCATTAAAAGAAATCTTTATAAACAGAAAGTGCAACAAAAATATAATTCCATGTAAGTTGGAAAAATCGTATAATTGCGTTATATTTTTTAAATTGCATTATATTTTTTCACTACATTTTTTTCACTACACATATGGAAACCATGTGCAACAAACATGTACAAATTTGTACTTAGTGTATAGCCTATGCAGGGTCTTACAACCCATTTAAGATCCCAAACAAATTGCTGGCTACAACAATTGCACAACAATCACATTGGCATTCTATGTTTGTGTCTTTTCAAGAAACTTCTATTTTAATGCAGTTCTTCCCATGTGGAACAATTAATCTACCAGCAACCATCAAATCATCCCTGACCATCTTGTCGCTCAAAAAAGATTATACCATCATCACAATGAGAAAGTCAAGCAAAGATTTTGATGTCAATCAACCAAGAACATGCATGGAAATATTTGAGTGTAAAATGTTGTCCCTTTGTGTTAGTAGAATGAGCTTTGGTGGGATTTAACTAGACCTTACTTAAGATCTGTTGTCATCTTCCTTCAATAATTTGTTAATTTATACGATATTGGTTGTAAAGTCAAAAATAAAATAAAAATAGTAAAATATGAACTTGCATTAATTACAGTTGATTTCATAAAACTTTGGCCACTACACTTGCAAAATGTTTGGAAGCTGTCAAGTGGGTGGGGAAGTTGTCACTTCAGTTTTGTAATTTGCAACAAAGTTCTGAAGTTCAAATTGAACTTCGGACTTTCAAATCGAATCGAACTATAAAATACCAGGGCAAAGCAATTACAATAATAATAAAATGAAAGCGAAAACTTCCCCACCCACTTAACAGCTTCCAAACATAGTTCACAACTGAAGTGGCTAAATTAAATGAACTGTAAACGTCATTTCATACTCTTGCTCAAAATAAATTATTCTCATCTCTGAATACTAGTTTTGTTAGCACTGTAATAGTTACTGTACAAAATGTTTAAAAGTATATTTTGCTATAATTTGATTACCTTTCGTTTTCCACAGATCGCTGTTTTAAAGCTGTCACAAAGAGTTGTATCTCCTTCTTTAGGTTTTCTCTCATTTCCGGAGGTTCTGGCAATCTCTGGCAGTGGGGATTCAAGAAAATGTCTAAAGAGATAATTAGGCACACAAACTGTTTTATATCATCAGAACATAAAATTGTTAAAATAACTTTTTTGTAACACATTGAGGATTGGTTGTTCTTCCTTAAAGGAGTTCCTTCCTATAGTGATATATTGTCAGTATGGTATATAGAGATTCCATATGCATATACAGCCTAGAAATAATCAGAATTTAAACTCTCATACCTTTGCTGCTGTTTTCACTTTCATTTCGATAATCTTCCCAAATCTCTAATAATACTAAGACCTGCAATGTTCAAAGCAAGGAGTTTAAATACAACTTGTCTAATTACCTAGAATGCGGCAGAAAAAAAAATTTTTTTGCTTTAGAGCCAGAGACACTTAATACTAAAAGTCATGTATGGTCATATGATTCTTCCAAAGCCATGAGTGAGAGGGCAGGCAAGGGGAAAAATACAAGGGGGCAGACTGCTCAGAGGGATCCAAATCTTTTGCAATTAATATTAGATGGATGCCTTTGTCAACTGCAAGGGAGAGGGCCCATGCTCACCATACAAAACAGAAATTTTAGAATAATACGTTCAAGAAATAAGAAAGCACCTCTCTGTGTAAATCTGCAGTTTCATCAATGATATCTTCTCCAAGAATTTCCTTGATTTCTCGCTGTTCTTCCAACGGCAAGTACTCCTCTACAAGTTTCCATAGCGACTGACGTGGTTCAAATGCTTCTGAACTGCATTGAAAACCTGAACAAGAGCTCATAACCAACTCGACAGAGTCATTAACATTCTGTTTCGTCTATGTTATTAAAATTAAACATTATATATCTATTGAATGTCTCGTTTTACTCGATATTAACGTTGATCTTTAGTTTCAAAACAGACGCCATCATTTGTTCACCCGATTCGTATTATTTAGGATATCGCCAGATATCACGGAGTATGCCAGTAACGTTGGCTTGTCGCGATCGATGGTCAACTGACAAAGTAGACCCACTACCTTGAACCAATGCCCCCAGTGATATATCTGGATCAATCAAGTGGTTAAAATGTTAAAAAATTTGATATGAAAAACCTTGAAAAGTATTGATATGCGAAATCCAGGTTCACTTACAAAGGAATATGTCCCAGTAATCCTTTTGCCTGGACGCTCTGGATCAAAGGTTCTCGAGATGTGCCCAGTTACAACTAGATATGACGACGCAAAGCGTCTAACGAACCAAAACGTTAGCAAGTTAGCTGACTCACTGTCCCCTTTAGTTGTCTTAGAGAACAAATCCCACAACTGCATTTGAGGCTCCCGTTTAAACATGCCGTATTATGATAATAACGTACACTCTTAACTCTTTTTAACTTTGCACGTCTTAACTCTTTACTTGAAAACCCTAAAAAAAGCCCGGTATACTTTTGTTCCAATTTAAATATCGTTCAGTATATTTTTCACCCATTCCATTTTTGACTGTGAGGGTTTTGAAAGTTTGATTCATATTAATCAGGCACAGACCCACATTGAATGATTGAATCTATATTTAATTGAGAGAATCTTATTTTATTAATATCTATAACTGAAGTACATTGCTCTATTACCTTATGTTTATGGTAATAAACAATCCTAATCTAAAAGTAATGACTATTAATTCGTTCATAGAAAGTTACAGTTGTTTATCACAACCAAAATTTATTTCATCGACATTGGAGAATTTTCGTGCCAAACCATTATCATAGCCAGAATACAAACTGTGACTTTTCACCGGATTCAAATTGTTCCACCAGGAATTTGTGTTGCCGTTGACCTCCAAAGCATTACATACGTGGGTGTATGACTTGTTAAATGGGACCTTTGTCAAGATATCACCTTTGGCTGTTATTCTGAGTGTCCGATCACAACCAACCATCTTACCGTAGTAGTCGTGAAATTTCTTATCACCAACTAACGGCGATGCGAATGTGACGACAGCATCGGGACGTCGGTTGGTTTTACCACTTGCATATGCAGCAGAGATTGTTGCCAGAGCTCCACCAAGACTATGACCCGTTATGACGATTGTGTAATCCTGAGGAATATCTTCATATTTAGCTTCAAACCATGACGAAATATCCAAATAACGATTTTTGAATCCTTTGTGAAGTTCAAACTTTGTCTGACCAATATTGGCTTCGGCTAGATCCATGTCGAAGTTTTTCTTCCAGTCTATGACGTTGGTTGGTTCAGTGCCTCGAAAACCAAAGACTGCTAACTTTTGCTTCTCGTTCTTGAATAAAATTATTTCTGTTTCTTTCTTCTCGTAACCTTTTGCACTCCATCCTCCAAAACTGCATACGACCTTCTCGTTATTAGGATCATGCCAAGGTAGGATACTATTCTTTATTCGACCAACGATATGACCCTCTTGAACATATCTACCGCCTTCAATTGGAAGGTAAGCAGCTTTAGACACGCCAATTGCGAGCCTGATGATTTTGTTGATCGGAGATACAGTGTTGGCTGTAGCGGAGACAACAAGCGCAACAATGAAGAAAAAATGACGAAACATATTCGAAAATAAACCACTTTGAGACGATCGATAATCAGTGAGTGTGGACCGAAGTGGATGGGCGATAACCAAATGACGATAGCAAAACTCTTCTCAAGTTCTAAATTTATACATTTTTAAAAAACTCAATGTTTAATCAGCTTCGATCGATTTATTTTCAATATGTCAAAAATTGGTCAAGTCATCAAGATCTTAAATGGTCAGGTCTTATAGTTCTCAGACCTTTCAAATTCGACCAAGGTGACATAAATTTCTCTTATTAAAAGTTATTTTCGTAAATTGCAATATTGCAGCTGTTTAATTTTAGCTTTAACTCATTAATCACGTTTTATAAGATTGTCTTATAATATATGCAACCATAAGCCTTATATTTTATCAAATATTCAGACGCTGCCAGTCGCTTCATCGATAAAAAATAGTGCCTACGTTTTGCAGGAATGGATCCCTTTTTGAACTGGTACAAATTTTACGTTTATCCCTAAATATTCCCTACTGACTGAAGCGTCCTTCAAAAAGTCAATCCAATATTTTCAGAACACGTGATATATGATGTAATGACTATATTTGCTAAGGTTTTTTTAATATCTCGTATTTTTAAGTAGCAAATCTTTCCATTGGTACCGCTTAGTATTTTAGTATAACATGCAATTATTTTTGTTTGCTTAATACTCTATCTGCTTGTCCATCGTTGTTTGATCAGTCAGTTTCATTATATTTCGTTTAGATTGTGCAATACCTATATAGGTGTTGTAACTATAGTTGCATGAGACAAATCAGGAAATGGTTTTCATTTATATATAGCCCAGTTCCATATATCGAGTCTATGCGAAACGCACTAGACATTAGTGCACTGAAAAGGACTATCCAGCCATCCAGGACTGGTCGGCAGCTATATGTAAATATCTACTCACGATGGTGTACAGCATTTGTACACAGATTTCACAATCACTTTGACTCGTACACAATATTGTACACAAAACTCAATGTGGCTTATATTCGACGTATATTATTATTTCCTTGAGCGATTTCAACAATCCTAATTGTCTGTCAAACCTGGAAAGTACTATCATTCATTTTTCTTGCGAAATGGCTTTATTTTTTTTGTCCTAATACCACCTAGTGCAAGTACTAATATTCAGTTATTTGCGAAGCTGAAAAATTCGAACCTGAGATTAATGTTCACATCTCTATGCACGTCTCACTTCAAAAAGACGCCAACGAATACAATCTATAACAATCATTAATCTAAACAAGCTCCAGTCTAATCATAATTGATGCAAAGCTCTCAATTTTGAGCCGGTTCACAGTTATCAAAGTACTAACTTTATAACTGTATATTGTCTGGGCAAATGTTGCAACTAAAGCAAAAGCATCCGATGCTATTTATAAGATCCATTGTGTCGTGATTTTTCTTTCGTTTCATATCATCTAATCGTTAGCTCCTCTTTGTTTCCATGGAAATGATGGACAGATGGAATGCTGGGAAAAGTATATTTAAATACCGATCACAGATCACGGATCACTATGTTTACTATAGTTAGGCGACACTAACTTGTTTCTATTGCATCAATTAAGAATATAACGATAGCCTTTATGTCCATCGATTCTCTGCCGACTTAGTTTGAAATATACTAAACACTAGGAAATGTATACCAGACCGCTGATCTGTTCTGACTGATGTCGGGTTCATTAGACGCAGGATACAGCCTTGAGCCACTCAAGTAATTTCCGCCTCAATCGTCGTTTTTTCTTGCTTTACTTCAGATAAATCTGTGAAAGATTCTTCCTTTTGGTGTGAAGACGACTTAAGATTCTTCCTTTTAGTTAAACGTCCTAGTGATCGTTTAAGACTTTCCTTCGTAGGTGGTTTCTTGGTGTTCACCCAATCAGATAAAGCGTGAAGAATTGTGGCAATTAATGTCAGACCCAGGGTAAACGAAATTAATGCAAATACTATTCCAATAGCTTGTAATTTATTTGTGCCTTTTGGCACATAATCGCCAAAACCAATTGTCGTAAAAGTAACAAACCAAACGTACAAGGCTAGAGAGAAGTTCCAATCTTGAATAATTCCACTGATTGCAGATATCAGGCATAAGAAAAGTATAGTTATTACAAATACTGCAATCAGAGACTTTTTCTGGATATTTTGAGGTCGAGTTATCTTGAGCGCTTTTCGTTCAAAAGATAAAATACATGATCTGATTATGTATCTCAATCTATCTCCGAAGGTCGTTAGCATCATTGCCATAAGTGGAATGCCAACCGTGGCGTAAACGATGAGGAACATTCTGCCTCCGGTTGTTCTTGGAACGGTATTCCCATATCCTGTCGGTTAAAAGGACGAAACTATGGTATTAGATGTTCGGCATTGAATTGAAAAAATACCGCGGAAGGGAAATGATGATATATCATTTTTCCGTTTCCCAAGAGAAAAAGATACGGGGTGTCATTTATTTATATTAATATACTTGTCAACTTGAATTGTAACTAAACGTTGACCACGACTTTATAGTGCTGAATACTAAAGGTTATTTGTCCAGGTTTTTGAGAAATGCTACGAGGCAACCATAATTCGAATTACTTTAAACTTCGTGAACTTATATTTTCTGAATGAAATACTTACGACGTTCACATGTCAGCTGACTCAGCTCTATATTATAGTGGCGGCAAGATGATGGATACAGTACTGGTTTTAATAATATATTTTAGATGAAAAGCAATGGGTAACAAACTGACTGCTCGAATTCGTTTACGCCATCCTGGTGTGTGCAGGAACTTTTTCATGGGGGTACAAAGTTCCTGCAGGCACCAGGATGGCGTAGAATCGTATGGTTGTAAACACTGAACAAGTTTTCACCGCTATATAGTCCGGATGTTATTTTGTCTTTATTTTCGTATGCAAATCGGCTATTGTTGACAACCTCGTACCCAGGGTCTTTTACCTCGGCTGTTGACCCACCTTGATCATACGCCGTGGCACTCTCAACTAAATGGAAACGAGGCAATATGTCCCTGACAGTCGGCCGGGCCATGCCAATTGTAACTGATCACTGGAGAATAAAGTGCTTTGTTATTTTGAATAAATTTCCTTCGTTACCGGCCATCAACAATTAATACATCTCGGCCGACTGTGACACAAAAGTACTAGGCTTGAAAACAACCACCGGCGACTGTCGGTTATATATGCACGAGAATTGGTTTTAAGATCAGTTGCAATTTGGTAAAAAAACGTTCTATACAAACCGGTTTCCTCGGATATACAGAAAAAGTTTTTTTGACATGTTTTAACCGGTTCTCTCCTGTGTCAGACTCAGAATCAACACAAGAACATATCTTATTTCTCTGAAGTAACCAGAAAAGCCGCAAGTACAAAATAGAAAACGGTATCAGACTGATTGTCGATATAATTTTGTTTGAAAATGTAAAGATGAACTAACCGATTGTGGTAATAGCTTGAACTGAAATATTTACTCCACCAAGAAAATCCCATTCTACTGGAAAGCTTTCTTGAAAAAATGTTATTCGAATCTCTGCCATTATGAGTTGAATATCAGAAATGTTGGAGATGGAGCGAACAAGAATACGCGTCATCGTTTCATTATAATGTTCTTCAAAATCAGCAGCTTGCCTCAAAGATTCATTTCGCTCCAAAAGGTAGAATATTCCACTTCCAAAACAAACATAGCACACAACTATAAAAAATCGAAATACGAGTGTTCGAGTGTCATATAAAGTAGAGTCTGTATTCGTTGCCATTATCTCAGATGAGTCTGCGTGGGGTAGGTTTCGTCTGTGTTTCCATCGGCGATGTTAGATAGACGATTATGTTATGAATGGTAATATTATTAGTTTCTTTGAACGTGCAGATGTATTCAACCGACACCTGTCGCAAGCAATATCACAAGTTGAATGTCTTCTCAAGTGGCGCAGTCTCGTTGCGCCCAATATATACGACTGGATTTGTAAAAAAAGGCAGGCCATTGCCAGTTGGCAACGCCGAGTTGACGTAACCACTATTGGCGGAGCGCAAAGCTGTTATCTAATTATTAATGATTTAAATGAGGTCTTCAAGACTTCTTGCAACGAATTATCTCAGCTTGTTATCTATCGTGAAGTATGCATTCATGAATGATTTATAAAAAGACGTTTGAATTAAGTCGATGAGTAAGACGTGTGCAAGTGAACTCTAAATGCCAGTAGATTGACAAACATGATCCATCGTTCTATGTTTGGTAAACATTCTTAAGTATTATTGATTTATTGTACAGTCGTATTTATCGGTTTCTTTGGATGCTGCTTGCTTTTTTTTACATGATACAGTCGATACTACTTAATCCTCACATTGTTTTCCATTGTTCATTGTACCCCCTGCAAGGATCTTTTACCTTACAGGAGTCTGTTACTTGTCCATTGGAAGTGTCTTTCCGAAACACTGCATGTTACTATCTCTTTGTGGGTCATATAAACATTGACCTTGTTATCATCTATAATATTCATTCATCATTCATTATCTATCACCTTCATTATTTATTTCTTAAATCTACGGGCGGTATAAAGTGAAGACCAACCACCAGGACAAACTGTTAAAATGATTGCTACAAATTTTTGGTCACACCTTTTGAATAAGGCGCAACGAATGAAAAATTTTCAATCAGTTTTAGCCTTTAATAGGCTAATATAATGGCGTAATAAGGCAGGGCAATATCGTATAGAATGTTTAAAAGTAAAAACTTGATAATTATATAAAACGAGAAACGTGTAATTTAACAGCATTGGCTTGTTTATATCGACTGAGGACTAAATTATTACATCGGCCCTGCATTACGTGACATCATAAAACTAACCCAAAATGTGTTGACTAACTTTGTCGCAAAGTATTCTTGCCTAAGTTGTTATATAATTTTGCAGTTTTCCTCTTCTTTTTGCAATAGACTGTTGGATGATCACACTGCTAGTTTATTTAAAGTAACCGGACTATTTACACAAGATTGTAAACGAGGCATCGTTTTCTAGGACCCCAAAGTAGAAGCCATGATATGTCGGTAAATGCTACCAAAACCAAGATAAGACGTTTTCAATTTTTAACCAACTATGTGGTTTGGCTTGAGAATATATTGTTGGCAAAAACAAACCGCGGGAGTTGATATAATTTAGGACAATAAGTCAACATGAGATCGCTGGTAGGTTTGGTACAGCGCTTTTAGAATCAGATAGCTTTTAGATTCAGATACACTCACGAAGAATATTAGACAATATTAAACCCTGCGTTGACACAAAACAGGCAGAATTTGAAACAGTATGGAAGTACACGATGCCGGTTTGCGAAAATGCAAAACGAAATTCTACCGTCATGCAGAGTACTTAGTAATCGTAAGCGTCCTTTACAATAGTGCAAAGTGTTTTGGCCAATCTAACGCGAATTTAGTTTTCGAAAAAAGAAATTCAACGAAAGTTTTTCTTAGATTTGTCTACTGCAACGGATTTGTATTAGTTACGGTCAATGGTTCAGCATTATGCCAGGTGCCTTTAATATTTTATACTGTTAGCATTTAACGTTATATGTGGTGCGCTCAGCATTATACCATGCAGGTGCCTTTAACAACATTATACCAGGTGCCTTTAATATTTTATACTGTGGGTTCAACATTATAACATATTATACTGTGCGTTCAACATTATACCAGGTGCCTTTAATATTTCATACTGTTAGCATTTAACGTTATTTGTGGTGCGTTCTGCATTATACCATGCAGGTGCCTTTAACAACATTATACCAGGTGCCTTTAAAACTTCATACTGTTAGCATTTAACGTTATATGTGGTGCATTCAGCATTATACCATGCAGGTGCCTTTAACAACATTATACCAGGTGCCTTTAATATTTCATACTGTTAGCATTTAACGTTATATGTGGTGCATTCAGCATTATACCATGCAGGTGCCTTTAACAACATTATACCAGGTGCCTTTAACGTTATATACTGCATGTGCGTTCAACATTCAACGCGCTGCATGATGTTGGATCTATCACGTTTCAGAATATCTGCAGCAAATCTTTACATGTTCCTTTCACTCTCTTTGAGCCTTCGATGATTGTTTAACTTATTCCACCATAATTTTCACTCGCAGATGAAGGTAACACAATAAAAAATCTATACATTCGCTTATGCGCTGTACAAACCGTTTCGCCTGTTTCAACCAAATTTATAATGTTGTGTTAGTGCTGGGTGCTTTAGACACACCCATTTCTATTTCGTTTTTTGTTTCCTTCTTTGCATCAAATGCAGAAACAAAGAATGCAAACCAGGATTTTGAATGCGCTTTTTTCCTTTTGTCCTCAACACAGTCCGCCATTGCATTGAAAAGTGTCGATATTAAACTCAAACCAATTACGACAAAAATAAGCCGGTATAGGATGGCAGCGACGCCATCTCTCTCACCAGGCTCTTGTCCTGGAATAAAATCACCAAATCCAACTGTAGTAAATGTAACAAACCAAACGTATAATCCTAGACCAAAACTCCAGCCTTCAAAATGGACACTTATACCAGCCATGAGAAACAACAAAGAGATGGACAGAAAAGAAACTACTAGAAGAGATTTCACTTTACATGCTTCTTCTTTCTTTCTTCCGAGTAACTTTTTCTCGATAGTTTGAATAATGAAGCACACGAAATGACAAATATTTTGACCAAACGTGTTCAACATAAGTACTGTTAAAGGAATTCCAAACAGAGCAAAGGGGATGAGGAAGAGTTGTCCTGCAAGCGTTGAGGGTGTCTTGTTGCCATAACCTAAAATATGTAAAAATATTGATTTACTAAGAACAAGTTAATAAAATACTTGCACTGTACCTGTGGGCCTGAGACACGACGCGTAATGAATTTTCAATAAATGAGGATACAAAATGGCTTTTTCATCTCATTTTTGAAATTTATGTGAAAGTTTATGATCTTTCATTTCTTTCTTTTGCATCTTATTATTTTCCCTCCATAATGTGTGCTTTCTGCATGGCATCCTCAGGTTAATATCCCGACTTTTTAATTCATCTAGGGGCATTCCCATGAGTCTGTGCGCCCTGTTTCATGTAATACAATCATACTTTATATTATATTCCTAAATTTATGAGGATTGATTTTGAGCCCAGATATATAACTGGTTATCGGTTACGTGCGTTATCGTCAGCCAATAATTTAATCGTTAAAATAAACAAAAGTAATGTTTAATCAATTATCATTTCAATATATTTTGCACGGAGGAATTAACCTGTCAAATACGTGTATAGCCATACTAGCCCATACTTAACATGACGAGACGCGCTGACGTATTATTATCACTATTATTGCTATAACACCATAGCAACTGGATGCCGGAATTGCGAGTGAAAATTGGCCTGGCTACCCATAATAACGACAGGCGGGCACAAATAGGTTTTGACGTGACAGCATTCAATGGAATAATTCATTATTTTATTCAAAGCACCTTACAATTTCGGCATAAAATCATAAAATACCTGTTCGAGTAAGTTATGTCAAAATGCGACGGCATCGTACAATCAAAACTTCATATCGTCAAAACTGTTTTTTCTATCGTAAAAATGCATGTTCGTTATTCTATATTTTCCGCGGGGAAAAAATTGCGTTCATTGTTGTATGTATGTTCATATGCTCATTTTCGGATTGCGTAACTGATTTTACTCAGTCAAACAAACAGCAACTTACTCGGTCAGTATCAATTTAAACAAGTGAATAAGACAGAATAGCCACTGTCATTTTCAGGGGAGTATATACATTACCATGTTGGGGTAATCACTACATACATACAACCTTCATATGACAGCATTGTATCATCGTAACTCATAACTCATCAAATGCATGCCGTACTATTGCACTAATGCTGTATGTACTTACCAACTGTAGTAATAGTCTGCCAACATAAATCTATTCCCCTTGTAAACGTCCATTCCGTCTCCGAAGTCGTTCGATTGTTTGATTTCATTGAATTGGCTTGTATAATCTTCGTCTTCAGTAATTCATACTCTGTCTCACTAATATTAAACTTCTGCATAATCTCTCTCTTCGTCTCATTGTACAATTGCTCCTTCCTCCTTGCTTCTTTCTCTACTTCGTGGTCATCGATATCCTCATGTTCGATGGCATAGAATATTGCTGCACCTATCAGACAGTACACAACAACCAAAACCAAGCGCAAAAATAAGGCTTTAAGATCTTTTTTAGCGCCCATACTTTTGCTTTATTTATCTTCAGAAAACGCTGAGACCTGTGTCAGTGTGTGCGCGCAACGATGTGTACATGCATTTGTTGTTGACCTTGCTGCACCCTGCGGTGTTCATTAACATAATAAAAGTTGACTAATTTACATCCAACAAGGCACCGTCTGTAAACTCATCAATGCAAAATATCTTCGTATGTGGCTAACTAGATAAATAAGAACGCCTACAACGACACAAATTACCGTATTATATGTTTGAAAATTTGAAATATATATTGCCATGTATATTGCACTGTTTTGTATATAGATGTAAAGATCCCGCCCGCCGTTTTTCGAAAAGATATTTATATGAAACCGACAATTACTGATAAGTAAAAAAAAGTAATAAGCCAACTCCGATGCAATTGCACCTGCTAACGATCAAGTCGAATGTATTGCTTATTTTAGTTCACATCGAACTCTATTGTTTATTTTTCAATTATTGCATGCAGCATACTATAGCCCAGCAATTTATGCCTTTTGCATTTTGCAATGACATAATATTTGCTATTATCAATACACTATTATATCACAGTCTGCCATGCAGGCTAATATGCAGTAGGCAAAACGACTGGCCATAAACATCGTGTCTCCGACTCTTAGGTAAACGACTGGTCATAATGATTACAGACAACCCAGTTCAGCATGTTTATTGGCCAGAAAGGTAATTACCATTTTAATTAGACCAGCCTCGAACCCAGATACTAGTAGTGAAATCCATCCATGCCCACCCGTTTATATTGTTTAATCACAGCCTCGTACCCAGACGCTTTAGTGGAAAAACATAAAACGTTGCATTCAGCTGTTATATAGAGGTCAGCTGAAAACAGCGAGCGCCACCCAAGCACCCCAGCGCCCTCGATTTTTCCATAGGGTACATAATTAAGAAATAGAAAACATTTTCCGTGCTTCTATACAGTTATAGGAACACGCGTGGGAGTTTGGGAGAACGAGAAATAATCATGAGGACGTGAACGTCAAAGAGGACGTGAAAATGGCGAATAAATGGCGTGATGCGTTTATATATGGACATGCCAAGCCAAAACAATTAAAATGCTAAATCTCCCTAGTATCTCAAACACAACTGAACATGCGCTACGATTGTCTTACACGTCACGATTTTGGAAAAACTTGCGAAAACCATTTGCGAATCTGTCCGCGAAAAACTCGGGGAAAAAGGCCTCATCATATTTTGGTTTGCTATATTTCTAAATAAGCTGATAATATAATATAAGCTGAAGTTTATGTAAGTAGATAATGAGAAAATTCTTCATCGACCAATTCGATGACTTTATTTTCTTCGGGTTTTGTGTGTATTGTCAATGTCTGGGCACTTCTATGACGCATGACACCTGCTGATTTTGTTTGAATTGATTTTAAGTGGCCATAGAATATCGGAGACCGATTGACGTTTCCGAAAACGAAATATGCGTGTTACGTGCACGAAATAGTTTCACTAATCACGGAATCCGTACAACATAACGATGTAACATACGGTCTGGACGTTATATTTACATTTACGTCATTATTATTATCGCCTTTGACACTCTAGCCGAAACAATATTACTTCATCAGCTACTTGAGAGCAGGATTTCCAGAACTTACTTGCATATATGATTGTCCAGTTGTCCTCATAGCCATAGGGCGATAGCAATGACAAAAAAAGAGAAACAAAGAACTTTTAGGCATAGTCCTATTAACACAATCTCCTCCCTCCCTTGTGGTTTTCGATTGCAAAAAATTTCCTTGCATTGTGGAAACCCTGCAGTTGAGAGTTCGCCAGCTTCCGAGACTATAAAAGACTAGTAACCACACACCCAAATTACATCGAGTTCTTGTAATGACTATGGCAGTGTCGAAGACTGTACCGCTATTCTTACTATTAGAAAGTTTTCTTTTGGTTCATTGCAGGCTGATTGACATGAGTTTTCCCTATGAAAAGAACATGGTGACTTGGCCTGGCTTCTTACCATTCAACATCTCGTTGTTTTATCGAGGACCTGTGGGGAAAGCTCCGTTTATGATAGCTTTTGACATTATTTTGAATGAACACACTGGCACACACATAGATGCGCCCTTGCACTTTGCTGAAGGAAAGGCATCGGTCGATGAAATTCCACCAGAAAATCTGATAGCGAAAGCGATCGTTGTGAATATTAGTGAACAAGTAACAAAAGATCGTGATTATGCATTGACTGTTGATGACTTGAAAAATTGGGAAAGGAAACATGGAGTGATTCCTGATGGATGTGTTGTGTTTGTTCTGACTGGTTTAGGAAAATATTGGGGAGACTTTGATAAATACATGGGAACAACTACGAAAACAAACGGGAGCATGGCAACACCGGATTTCCATTGGCCTGGTAGGATAAATTAATAAATATAGTATTGCTTTTAACAGTAGCCGTATCAAATCTCAATTGACATGCATAAATGATTTTGTAGGCTTTCACAAGGACGCTGCTCAGTGGTTAGTTGATAATCGTAAGATCAAGGGAATTGGAATTGACAGCCGTTCTTTTGACCCGGGTGAAAGTAAATCCTTTCCAGCACATCAAATATTTTTGGGCAACAATATTTATGGTCTTGAAAGCGTCGCTAATATCGAAGAGCTTCCAGTGAAAGGTGCGACTGTCTATGTGATGCCGATGAAAATCAAAGGTGGTAGCGGTGGGCCAACTCGTATCATTGCGCAAACAGAACCGGCTGGACGAGGATCTCGTCAAACAAACAGCATTGTCGTCATTGCGATTCTTTTCTTGATGACGATGTTGTTTAACTAAACAGTTAACACTGGCCTGCATGCAAGCACAGCTGTTGGAAATTTCATTCCGTTAATTCACTCACTTGACTGAGTGGTCTTTTCTTTTTTTAATATATAAATTGAATCTATCACTAACACAATGATGTATTCATATAATCCAATTCATCATTTACTATTTTACAGCACCCCAATGGCAACATGGTTTGCTAAAACTATACAATGCACGAGTTGATCTCATAAGTATCATTTAAATGCATGATTTTAAACTTTTACGTGCGAACTTTTACGGTAATATACCAATATGGTTTAAGGCTATGGTTTGCTCTACGGTCAATGCATCTATGGTTTAAGGGTCAATGCATCGATCCCGCTTGGAAACAATTAGTTTGACGTGTTTTCCTCAACCGCTAACTGCAAACCGCGCTTGACGTTGAAATTTTGCCGTTTGACGTTTGCGGTTCACGTTTTCAACCGCTGCCGATGGAGGTGTATTTTCCCGTAGCTCATTTTTCCTCGGCGAACTGTCATTGCAATAGTGTCACGTTTCACGTATAAACACTCCTAGTAGAAATATTGGATATCCAAATCTTCTTTTTGGTAATTTTCTAGCCTGTTTTCAATGATTTTACCGATTTACTTTAAGAAAGCGGCTAATTCACTGAATAACACGATTGGCAATATGGCGGTTGATCATGATATCGTAGGTCGATAGTCGGTTATTAAAATGGAGGTTCTTTTCAACTTTTCCAGGTGTAAACGACATTTGATTTTAAAAAATTGAAGCATTAGAAATAGCAGCAGCAATTTAACAGCGAAACCGTTTACTGGATGTCAATTTTGAATCGTTCTAACCATAAGGTATACGTAAATGACTGCTAACTAAATGTCAAATTTGCAACAACGTCAACAACGGCAACGTCAAACCGCTAACGTGAAACCGCGACTCGTAAAACGTCGATAGTAAAAAGAAATACTAATATTATATATATATGCATGCACATTATCAAAATTTAAAACAATCTATCTAAGATATATAATCATTATTTTTTATATATATATAAAATGTTAATTGTTGAGTTGATTAATATATGAATTTATAATTGCTAGGTGAGTATAATGGTGTTATTTCTTGTTTTCATTGAGATCCCGAAGGAAACAAGTTTTGTGGACCCGAGACCACGAGGTCCACGAAAACATGATGTTTCCCGAGGAGATCAGTCAATAAGTGTTTTATTATATAGAAAACTGGTTCAAACCTGGCAAACAAGATTTTCCCTTTCACGTGACGCAGTTTTAACCAATCAGATTATGGAAAAGATGAACTTTGAAACTTACTATGGATACTGCATGGCGATAAACTTAAGCCCAAAGCTCAACAGGAATAAATGTCTTCAGTTCCACCTGCAACTGTGCCGGAAGTTTGGGGAAGAAATTTATACCAGTGAGGAGTTCAATATCTCTGACGGGAGCCACATTCTGAAGTATTATTTTGTTGTAGGATTGAAACTGTTGTTAAATAGAAAATAAACATGAGTTTGATTATATTGTTATGATGTATGAGGCTTGAGGAAGAATCATGGTTTGCATGCATGGAAAAAACCTGATCTTTATATAGATCACCATGCACCATTTTTTTAAAATCAGTTAATCAATAAATTAAGTAAAAGCACAGAAATTAGGACCAAAGCATTGGGACAGTTTTGTCAAATTTATATGGTTTACATATGTATATTCCTGCGTCTCCCGGCCTCCAGTGTGCGCCTTATTGCATGTTTTTAGTAAACATGACGCGCTGTCTAAAGTTCAAAACTTCGCAAAGAGACGGTGCTAGGTACATGTAGGTACACACCTATACAAATCGCGATGATCACATACCTGGCAGGACTCGTTCCTGTGCTGTAGAATGAAGGAAATCACACGAAGAGTACCACTACATTTTTCTATGTCGTACTCTGCAGTCGTATTTGTGTCACATCTAGTGACAATCTTGTAGAAATGTGTTGGAATAGCAGGATTTTGAGCCGAGGTATGAGTTCGTCTAAAACAATAAATACATGTATACCTGTTTAATTTACGGTTCATGACAAACAAAAGCACACATGATATAAATTGGTCAATTTTCATTTAATATTTGATATATTATACTGAGTCAGGCATTTGCTAGTCTATTAATTGTTTTATATATATTTGAATTCTGTTATACCGTTTATTTGAAATTTCTTTGTCTTTTAAGCCATCTCCGTCAACATCAAATATTGTTCCAGTAATCACGTGAATTATGCTGTATTTTATTGCCCACTCCCGAATTATATTTTCAAGTCTCGTCCAAATTCCTGCAAAATATTTACCTCGTTGTCACTTCAGCTAGTGTGAATATGAAATGAATGTAAGGCGCGCCTCATACGTCTGCCTCTCAATATCCATCTTTACCTTTCTCAAAAACAGGATACATAGGAGCAATATTTGCTAATGTAGACGTGGATAACATTGCAAAATTGTTGAAATTCATATCCCTGCTAGATACCAGTTTTCCCGGATCGTAACCTGAGTTGTTGTAACTTGTACAGCTTGCGGTTTCATCTTCGGAAAGACGAACGTCGCTTCTGTAACAATCTTTAGTATCATCACTTCGTAAAAGTTCCTAAAAAAGGTGTGTGCACGTATGGTCTTTATTAAAGAATGCACGTACGATAGTTATTAAAGAAATAACGTACCGTTCCATTTATTCTGTGTGCTGTCCAGAGTGGGATACGTAAATAAATACTGTATCCGATAATGAAATATTGTTGAATCAAAAGACATCCTAAATCTTTATAAACACCGCCGTCAGGTAAACCCCAGGGTAAATGTTCTTCTTCATACAACCGTGCTAAGATTTTTAGTAAATATATAAAATTGTTGAGTTTAATTTCGAATCAGCTCTTTGAAAAGGCTAAAAATCTATCTTCAAGATCTTGATGTTTAAAAAAACAAACTGATATGTTCTTGAAACTAAAATTAAAATTTTAAATTCTAATTTAAAGTCATACAAAATGACAGAGATGCTAATTCAGTTTTGTCGAGGATGTGGCTTCTGATTTGTTAATTTTTATCCGCTGGGTGTTTCACTTCTATAATTAAAGGGTGTCTATTTGGTTGCTATTAAATTTTTGGTATTATTTCGGCATCCCTTATTGGCAATGTACATCTGCACCATTTGCTTCTTAAGCCGAATGAATATTAATTTTATATTACACAAATACAAAATGTACCTTCTTTTGCGGGAATGTTGAAAAACATATTCGTTTTATTAACATCCTTTTGAGGAACCTAAAACGCGGGTGAATTTATGAGACGAATTGCAATAGAAATAGGTGGCTAATATAGCTCTGGCTATGACTATACCCTATCATGTATAACCACAGTATAGAGATAGAACAGTAGAGCCACTTCACTGTGCAACCTGGTGCTGTATCTTTAATCAGTTACTGGCCAGCTCGAAATTCTGATGGGCTGAAAAATGCAATTGACTGGCTATGCCTATGAATACGGTAATGCCTAATTCTTACCTGAGTGGTCCTACTGTTTATTCCCTATACTGTGTGTTATAACGTTAATTTGGCATCAATGTATGAATAGTGAAAGTAACTTACCGTGCATGAAGCGCAAAGTCCATTCTTGCTACGCGTATCAAATACTTCGTCGTTCGGAAATTTACAAATGTCTGTGCGAAGCACACTACCATCACCTTTTGATTTTTGAACAACTGCCCTGGCGTCTGGTACAAGTAAACGATTTAAACTTCCGATTGTCCCGTTATTCGGAGCTGGTTTAATCTGCAGGAGATCTTAACAGAGAAAGAAAAGATATTTGAAAATTCGTATGCCGATGATGATATGCACAGTTTCCAGTTGCCATGGGGTGTGGATGATGTGAAAAGACATGGAATTATGACGTGCAAACATGTTGAACGAAGTTATATATGTAATGAAAAATACCTTATAAAAATACAGCTGACAGAATGGAATTAAAATAGCTATAAACATCTTAATCGATATATACACTGCATGCAAAGGCGAATCATTATAAATGACATACTTGCTAATAAGTTATATATTTCAAGATTTGAAAAATGTTCCACCACTTTTCCTTTTAGAAATGAAGGTCCGCTGGCGATAAAGATGGGCTGAAAACAAACAAAAACTATATGTAATGAGCGGTAACATGGTCGCACTGAGTTCAATGACGGATATCTGGAAGAAAATCATGAGGAAGTTTTTCTCCAAATAGCAAGAAAGATAAAAACACAACAGACTCACTCTCATGTATGGAAAAATATAGTCATAACCATGCGTACCACGATTACGGCATCGGTTTTTTTCACTTGAGCTACATAACACAAAAATAAAGGAAATCATACTCCACATCGGATATTGGCAAGTTAATAGACCTTTTTCAAAATGACGTCAAATGAGGAAAGTCTGATGGTACACGAAATTTGATTGGCTCCACAAAACTATCGAGCCAATCAAACTTCGTGTAACATCAATTGAGGTCTATTTAATATAACTATACTTTGATGTGAACCTGATAGGCAAGAAGGTATCTTAAGGAACAAGGGAATAAAATATAATAATTTCTAGCACTAAACAGAGTAAGTCATGTTGTATATTTACAATTAACCTACTCGACGGAAATGATTTCGCCTGGATCAGCCAACACCAAAACATCATCAATCCGCCTGAAACGGGAAAGATCTTCAAATTCATGTGAATACAATTGCAGCAGTGGATTTTACTTTGTTAACGAAGAAGAATACATGTTCTAGCAACAAAAACGAATGGAAAATATTATATAAAAATTGCAAATGGGAAAAAGCTTTGAATTCGGGCCGGATCAGAGGGAGCTAAATCCTTTTTGAATTCACTATGGCCGACCTGTTCTTCGAGAAATGCAATCTTTTTGGAAGGTCCGTCTTGTAAAAGGACTGAAAAGAGTTGTTGCGACACTACAAAAAAATAAATCTATTTTGGCGCATGTATGCATGGTTTAGTATAATCGCATTCGCAACCAATCTAGTGCATGATAAAAAGAACACGTTTTCCAGACAATCGGATCGGACCACAATGTTCCTAAGTGAAAGCTTAATTATCTTCAGAAAACTTTTGCGATTTACGATGGAAAGAGTCAACAACCATGAGTGCAGTCATCGTACCTTGATCATATTGAACACTTTCTCGCGATCATCTTATAAACAGAAGAGTTCAATGTAAGAGAGCAGCTGCATTGCATATAACTATAGAATTATATCCCTTTAACTGCTCCAGTCTCTGAATCAATAATAGATACATTACAGTACTTACACTTTTTCTTGTTATTAAAACTAAGAACAGAGCCATAATTGGTTATGTATAATTCACTGGCCGAGACGTTATACTATAGAAGAGAACAAAAGTAATTTTGATGAGATATTAAAACAAGCGGAGAAAATAATTGCACGCATTATTCATCAATCCATTCACTTTTAAACCATTTTCCTTTATGACCCTACCTGGTCCAAAAATATTGTGTCAGAACAGTTTACAGCCGCCATACCTGAAAGAAAGTAGGAGTAGAAAAATCACCAAAAGACGACGCATTTAACTCAAATGGATTTGTTTTAACATGCACGCGAAAAGGGGGAACAGAATTTTACAAACGTTTGTCTTTCTTTTTTACTTGAATTGTTTGTGGTTTGGTTTTTTGTCAACCCAATCAAAAATATACTCCTAATTTGCTACGATTAATTAACACCATAATACTTACCATGGTCAGAAAGAAGAATTATATCGACTGAATCAGAAATCTTCATATTTTCTAATCCCTTGATTAACAACCCTATTGTATTGTCAATAACTTGAATTTGTTCTTCAACCTACGGAAATACAAAACACTGAAACCGGTTGTAACACTGAAACCCTGGCGATTTATGGACTCTGTAAGTGGAATGCCCTGACTACCATGCAGCCTCGCGCGCTTGCAACTCTCTTTATTAAATCTCTTATATGCCTTCAAATCAGGCGCCTGCAGGCTGGGTGCAACATTAAAGTAAGGATTTACTTACTTTAGATGAATCAGGTCCATACCCATGACCAGAATAATCAGGTTCATGAAAATACAGTGTGATAAAAGATGGTCTGTAAAATATAAAATATAGAATATCTTATTTATGAGACAAAGTGGTCGCAAACATGGCACACATAAACTGGGTCTTTTTACCTTTCATCCATTGGCAGTTGCAACCACTTTAAAACTTGTTCAACTCTATCATTAAATGGTACTGTTCTATATCGAAACGATACGATAAAACACATCAATTATACTATGTGTTGCATTAAGTCATGCTATATATATCTGCTAAAGCTACAGATTTTGAAAAAGATAATTTGTATTTTAAAAATTCCTTACTGATTATATTTAAAGTAGTAATTTGGTCGCATGCCTAAAACAGACAAAAAAAGATACCAGAAATTTAGGATATACCAGATTTAAGATACCAGACTATTGTCTGCCATACGTGCGTGACTCAGTTTTAATAGTCACCATGCCATTAGGGTTATCGCTGCCCCGCGGCGAGTGATGATTGAGCTCAAAAGATAAAAACACACGCACATCGAGGAAAATAGCTATTTTATAATGTTCACAGGGTGACTGGAATCAAGAAGTGCTCGTTCGATTTATCCTCAAGAATCTTGTCATTGATGTTTCCATTGGCGTGTTACGTCATCAAGACCGTGATTTTAGATTTTTCAACCAATAGTTGAAAGAATATTTTATAGAATATTTCAACCCACCTTCTACTTCTGATCCAACCCAGTAATAGGAAGCGCTTTTTAAACTGCTTTTATTTGCTGTTACCCAAATCTAAATAGAATATTTTTAACATATAGTTATCATCTATTCACTGTGAATTAACCGATAAAGAGGGAGTCACACGCAAGTCAAGCTAAATTGGCCATTCAACATCTCTAGATCTTTCAGCTATACCATCCCTGTTTCTATATTCAACCACCATTTCTGCTCCCGGGTTGTTTTGACCCCCGGTTTTCATTTCTATTTACCCGTGTTTCTCATTCACCTTCCCGTGATTTCCACTTCAGTTTTGTTCATACATACCGGTTCCCCACTCCAAAAAGCAGGATTTCTGGAGAAACGAATTGAAAATCTTTTCCTCAGAACTGGGTCATAAAACGAGTTGAATACTATTCCGTGAGATTCTGGATACAGACCCTGAAAATGATCATTATTATAACTACGTCAAGGATATATAGGATATTTTATAAAAATAATCCTTTATTTTAATAATTTACTGGGTCACAAAATATAAAGTAAGACTGAAACGGACGAGCACCACAGCATAGCTTAGGCAAGGAAAGAATTCTGTTTTACACGAATAGTATCGACCTTTATAAAAAGCCCGCGTTAAGGCATGGTTGCAGATGAATCTGGTTTCTGATTTGTCAATTAATACTGGCAATTATACGTCACAGCATGGAATTTTATGAAGGTAAATAGTAGGATAAGAGTGAATAAATTATGTCGAAGATTAAAATCACTATATATGCCCTGCACCAAATATTCCACTGAAACAAATAACGTAGAATAAAAATTAATAGCACGTGGACATACGGTCACGGTAGTGAAATGGTTGGGAAACGTTTTTGTAGGAAACTGTGGTAAAAGAAACTTTGCTCGTACACCACTCTTTGCTATACAACAAAAAAAAAAATATTTGTTGTAGGTTAACAAGACACATGTGAACGGAAGGTATGTACAAAACAGCGATTTCGGCGAACTGTATTTACCTAACTTCATTATGTTTGGTGTGAGACCGCGTGTTAGATAATCCGGACGAAATCCATCGGCTGAAATAAGTATAATTGGACTGCGAAAAAAAGAAAAATATGTTAAATTAAACAAAATTAATTCCCACACCGAATAGAAACTTTCAATAGCTTTGGTTTCAGTATATACAGCCCGAGGTTTTATCTCAAAACTCAGAAAAACCTTTTTGGTAAATCATCAGGTAAATATTGGCATGTTAATAACCAGTTGTCCAACTAGGCAGTTTTATTCGACTTTAAAAACAAACATTCACTTACTATATCGGCCGAGCTGGCAAAACTTTATTTGACTTCTCCGCTAAAATAAATATTGTGTCAATGTTATGAGATGAAATGTACCACATCATAGATTATACACTTGGGAACTTCAGTTTCTTCAGTGCCAGGATTTCTTTAATGGGTGGGAAAAGGTGCAATACTGGTAAAGGTGAAATCATTGCCCGGACCTATTTTAGGTGTGCAGAATAATTTTTATGTCGAGGAGAGTCAGGAACAAATATTTTCCTTCTTACTCCTGAAAGAGCCGGGGGAGAGATTTGTCCTTTGTCCCTTTATTCTTTAGAACGGCATGACGCTCTCGTCTGTAACGATAGTCAGTTATTACCAAACTGTAAGCATATAATAGTAATTTACTCACAACTCAATATCACGCCAAGACAAACTGCGATTATGATTATCAGAACAATTATAGCCTTAATAAGAAAATAAAATAAAAGTATTTTTAACCCAAAATGCAAAACAATACTACCATATTATTTATTGCCTTTAGCCTGATCCACACTTACCCAACAACTGAACCTCCCCCCCCCCCCAATAAATTCAATCTAACTGAACATTGACAGAAAGGACCCTTACCGCGATGGCAAATATAAGGGTTTTCTTTCCTGAAATCCCCTGTCCACCCTAAATAACAGGAAATAAAAAATATTGGATGTTTCACCAAAAACATTAACCAAGTTTTATATAAGAAATGGAAAAGATTGATATTTTGCAATGTTTGTGTATTCTTAGTATATAGTTTGACTGAAATATCAGCAATTAATAAATAAATGTGTGTCAGTGCACCAGTGCGTGTAGTGTATGCGGAAAATATTGCAGTGGATTTAATTTTTCACGTATTGCAACACAACATTAGACTAAATTAGGAAATTAGGGAATTATTTAATAACATGAGAGAGAAAGATCAGTCGATTTTCGTAAGAACGGGCTTGTCATCTGACACCTAGTGCTCTCGCCGCCGCACTAAACATGCAAAACCCCGCACGCGAAAGGCTGTAGGTTCGAGGATGATAGTAGTAAAACTTCTACTGAAATTTCACGCGAAGGTTGTTTCGGATGGTGTCTGATTATTGAAAGGCTTCTCTGACCCTGACCTGAAGTTCTGATTATACTAGCATTCCCACGTCGGAATATGATCAAAGACTAGACGCAACTCACTCTCACTGAGAGGTCTCTTAGTCATGTTTTCAGTCATGCAAAATTACATCCAGCAAACCAATCAGCCCATCTGTGGTTTCACTTAAACGGACTTAACGGAGTGAAACAAGGTGGTAAATTACAAGGGTAAAATTACAAGGGTAATTTGCAGGGACGGCAGTATCGCGGAACGTTAATTCCGATCTTCTGCCCAGCGCGAAATGAAATAAGAACGTGTTAAAGTGGCTCCTGCCCATATCATAAACGCGTTGTGAATATGTTTGCGATGTAAGCAAGACAACAGACATTCCAGCTCTCCCGACTCCCGAATTGCCCGCGAGTTTCTCGAATATTTGTGCGATCTCCCGCAGGCCGCCTACCGGTCACCCGACTTTAATCAAACGAAACTGTTCTCACCTTCTCCTTGAGAGTTGAGACCCGTGTGAGACTCAGTGCCGGCGATTAGATCACAAAATGATAAATTTATGAAGTAGTTTTCTGTTTTCACATTTCGTTTTCACGTTTCGCATTTCTTGAAATCGATGCTTTGGTATAGAAAAAAGTTGTTTTTTCCAGAAAATCTAGCATAATCTCTCTCGGCATTACACCGCACACCTTCTAAGTCATAATCTCCCATTTTTAATAATTGATATTTATAAGAGAGTTCGTGAAATGATAAGTTTTTAAATTATTTCTTTTAGTTTGACCCAAAATAAAATTCATACAGATAATTTCACAGACAATCTTGAAACAAAGGAATCATCCCAATTGCCATGGGCATGGTAACTAGAGTGATGGATGACTGGAATTTGCGAGAAGCGTGAAGGTGCTATAATCAGTTGCTCAAGGTAAAAGGGGGTCAACAAAAAACCTACCCCACTTAAAATAGCAAGTTCAATTAACCGATGAAGGTCATTTTAAATTGATTTCTTGTAAGATCCCTCCTTCATAATATTCAGGAAGGATGATAATTAAGTACACCTTGAACCATTATGCTGGGGTTATACAGAGAAAATTTGCTTTATGCGCCTAAAAATTCTGATAGCATATCATAGCACTATCAATTAAATTTCCTGATCTCACTAAGCCATGCCTCTTAGAAATTCTGTGGTTATATGTTTTTTCATGTATGTGGTTATATGTTTTTACTTCAGGAAATGGACATGAGGAATCACTCAACACAATGTCAGTCGCTGGCTGAGGGTTTTCGCAAAGCTATTTAACAGCAGATGTAACAGCACATTCATAAGTTGATTACATAAACAATGTGCATTGGTCAAGGGCATCCATAACATAATATGCCAAACTTGAAATATTCATCCAGTTTAAATATGGACATGCAATAACAAGACTATGATGTAATATTTTATTAAATGGTTAATGGTTTATATAGCATAGAAGTTTAAATGCCCATCTCACTCTGTCCACCACAGTATTAAACAATAAAGAAATCATTCACACCAGGTTAACCTTTCTATAATGTGTGGTCTTACACTAATGGGCTCTTTGCTTCTTTATTTCAATTTTACATGTTGATAATCAGCTGAAGTACTGTACAAGTATACAACTGCATTGGCGAATCATGAATTGGCAGCTATATTACTTTAATTACTTCATGACTATTTCCTAATATTGTAACTTACTTTATCAAACATGTTTACCTTCTTTTCTTCTGGCACCATTGTGACTTCAAATGCCTCAGTGTCTCCTTCGCCTTTGGTGTCAAATGTCATGGCGCAGTATTTATATATTAAACCCGAAATATCCCTTATCAGTTATTTAAATATGTAGATTCAGCACCGGTGGCTGTTTCAATAAAGCTAGATCAATATCAAAATGTCAACACTGGTATTTTAATGATTGATAGGCAAGTGGTTTGGATTAAGACATTTAAGTGGTCTAGAATCTGGATTTGCCTGTTTGTCTCTTTAAGCGATGTAGCTCGCGTTATGAAAATCACAAAACGTAGAGTCTCATGTCTCTTAATGAAACGAATCTTCTTGGGCTTTGTTACAAATATCTTTGACTATATGTTCGTAATGTTCCCGGAAACCAATATCAAACAGTTTATTGACCGTGACGTAAATCACCTGACAACGTCCACTTAACATTTCCGAGTGCCTCCGACGATCTATGTAAAAGCTCAGACACGACTATCCACTGGCAATTTTACATTTTTTGTGTATCATATTTGGAGTTTTAAAACTGTAAAATGTAATGGGAGACAAATTTGTAAATTTGCTGCTCTTAAGAAAGTATAATTAGGACTTTGAAAATCGAAATTTAAATACAGGGGATCAAGTGCCAGGAAGGTTTACACCTAGCTACAGCTACGCAAGTGACACTGTGACACTACCCAGAGATTTTCACGCCGAATATATCACCTCCGACAGGACGAATTCGGCAATTCTGTGTTCGAAATTCGAATTAGTCCGCTTGTAAAGTGTTCACACCAAAAATTTGACCGACTCAACAATCTTTTTGTTCACACAAGGAGGCCGGCAATTCGTGAACCTAGCTAGCCTCATCCCTAATGAAAACTAGCTATTACTCTCTTTGTTCTCTTTCTCTTTGGCTTTGGTTTATCTATAACACATCCCAATGAAAACAGTTGAAATCTAAAATGTTCGAAATTTAACAAAAATCTGTCATGCTGCTGTGTGAAATAGTTTTACAGAAATGTTTTCTTCGAGTAAATGTTCAGTGTACGCCTGCTCGAAGTTCCTAGATGCTATCACTATTCATTACGATAACGATGGGTGCAACCACAGTGAATGGTGCAACACGCATCCCAAGGTATTCGTTCTACCCAAGTGTGGGCTGACTGAATAATTCCCTGGGAACGAGGTTGGTGTGATAATTTGGTTGCGATCCGTATACATGACAAATGTGATATTTATGATCATAAATTGTTGCATCATATTTCACTTTCTGAATTCCGATTTTAAAATCCTGTCCATATTTATCGATATACACGTTAGCGAAAGGCTATTCGTATTTCTGAAGCCTGGTTCTCATCACCCGCCATTTTCCGGATGATCAAGGAAGTGACCTGCGTCCTGTGACCCTCGCGGGTGATAAAACCATCCTTAAGTTTTCCCTTGTCCAACATACTTTGAGATTCTTCTGTAGTTATTGGGTTACAGGTTTATCTCCTGATCTTTAAAAAAGTTTTTAGTTGAATCTAAGTAATGTTATTATAGTGTCAAAACAAGCACATTTGTTTTTTTTTTTATTCTTTGCAGTTTGCGGCACCTAGAACTTTTCTTTCAGAATTCGCTTCATCAGAAGCTTATCTGGTGTTTTTTTTAATGTTCAGTTAATTGTAAAATGTTACTCTGTCCTGTTCTTAATTACCGTGAAATTAATGTAAATGAGTGAGCCAGCTGTTAGATGAGACATCAGGTTCACTGACTGTTTCGAGTAAATGCATTAGCGTATCGCAATCTTTGTAGGATCTAGCCCGTCAATTTCTTCCACATCACCCCCTCATTCCTTCCCTTGAGTTGACTATAGTAAAGTAGAAACTGGCAGCACAATCTTCCATATATAATATACAGCTCGCGGACTCTCGTCCCCTCGCATATCTAGTGAACGCTACGAGGTTATAAAAGATTGCCAGAGCAAAATATCCGCAAAATACAAGTATTTACAACATACAAAAGTAGTACTTTTTGATATCATATAGCAATCCCTCCGCTGCATGTTTGCCCCCTATAAACTTCTACATGTTCAACATACGCAATAAATTAGGTGGTTTTTACCGTATATCTCATATCAGTCACACGATTCATAAAAACAATACGAGACGAGAACTGATATAAATACTACTCATTGACGATAGTGCGCACAGGTGATATTTATTTTTATAGATCGGCGTCACTCATCTGAAGAATGTGTTTCAATCAGATTTGTTCCAGTGGGTTGAATATCGTCAAATTTGATAGATATAACATTTTAAGGACGTTTGCGAATGGTTCTGACGTCACACTTACAGTTGTGATTAGGTTATGTGTATGCAAGCTAACACAGAACAGAATCTTCTCCAGTCGTTGCCACAAACAATGTTTTGACGGTTATCGTCACAAGATATGCTATCACATACTTCCCTTCCCAAAAATAATACGATAACTGAGGTAAGATTAAGTTATCGCAGCACAACAATAATCACAAATTACGTAGGCACTTACGATCTTGTGGCTTGCCAAATATTAACTGCTAATATAATTTCATTTACCGGGTCACTTCATTTGCCTAACATAAAATGTGTTTGTTGGAAAATTAAATATCGATCAATTATAAATTCTTAATGACGTTCTTCGCTGCGATATCCCAAATTTTCATCTCACTCACCTCATGAATATTTAATAAATGGTGATTGTTTTGAAAAATCCCAGCTGGAAATAGCTTTTAAAAACAAAATCTCAGACTTAGCGCAAGTGACTGACAGTGACACTGAACATCGGGATAAAGAAACGTTGACTTAACTTCTTCCCACGAAACAATTTCTCAAGAAGCACTAGTAACATTATTATACATATCAAGCATTATGGCTGATTCCCAACGAACCGTTATGATTCCTATCGACAAAAGTGGAAACAGCAAAAGGCTTTTTGAATGTATGTTACACGATTTTTTATATCAGTTGTTTTTCTGTTTGCCTGGCAGTAGACCTGATCATAACCATAGCAGTCAACACGACCGTAGATCGGTTTATATATCAGTGCAATACTTGATACAATACCGTAGTGTAGTAGTTCTTTACAACAAAATCGTAGGGAATATACACAACTGATTAATTTTTTACATGGCCTACTTTGTTGTAAACATATATTCAGTGAAAAGAGGCACTCTGTCGTTCATTTTATATTCTTCGCTTCTTAAGTCACGTGAACACTTTAAATCAAGTGCTCCTCACTAAAAAGAGAAGAATCGACTGAAATGTTTTTATTACTTTTATTACTTGGGATCGGAAAGCCTGAAACGAAGTTTGTAAACACTTTTCGATTTCGTCTTCATTTATCAGTCATAATCAGTCAGTGTATGTAATTCAGTTTTCATACGGCGCTTTGTGCGTAACGAAAAGAAAACGAATTTTAAGTTAAGGGATAATAACATCAAAACCAGCCTGTTTTAACACGGACGGTTTTTGCTGCGTTTTAGGTGTGACTTTCTACTTTCGATAAGTTATTTTGTCACACTTGCATACCAAGTTTAATTACGTTGTTGCAAGCGACCTATCACGGATGAACTCTAGCAGTAATGTCATATTATTTGTCAGTTAATTTGGATATTCTTCAACTGACTTCTTTATTAAGGGTACTTCGAAAAATTACGAAAGGACAACGACAGAGTAATTTTGATACACGTCTACAGTGTCCCGCTTATGTCTACACCAACTGCCAGATGTAAGTGCAGCTGTATTCTATTATTTCATATATCACTCTTAAAAATATGGTTTTCCACACCAGGTTAAAGAAGGCCACCATGAAACTTTTCTACCTTTTGTTATAACTGGGTACCTCCTGTTGTGATTATTAGATTATCTGTGCACTGTGATTACCACCAGGTAATTGAAAAATTTATGACTTCTGTGCACATTTCAAATTTTTCTACATTTCTTATTCATCCTGTAGTTGGTTATTCAGTATCGTTAACAGAATGGGAAGGTGTGGAGAAATCTGTGGATAAGGAAATACTGCAAAGGATAAGTGACTTTGAGGAGCTTTGTCGCACAAATAATGTAAGACTTACAATGACTTTTTAATTGCAACAAACTGTACGAAGTGAATTACTGAATAATAACTTTAGATTTTTACCCATTTATATTATTGACGATCTCTAGATCTGTTAGTTGATCTGTCTGTAATCCCCGTTGTATCCTATAAAACCTGCATGGGCTGGTTGTACGAAGGGTGGATAGCGAGTGACAGATGCATGCTCTGTCTCTAATTAAATCAAGCTATTTAAAAATCTTCCACGCAATATTCCATTAGAAGATTGCCCTTAGGATAAAGGGTGTATGTAAAGATTACGGTTAGTGTTAAATTCGATATATTTTAGTGTGTAGCAAATCCCCTTAGAGCCATAAATAATCTTCCATATCGCCGGATACGTTTAGCCTCATTTACTGTAAATACTTTTCTACAGCTACAGTTCAAGACAATTTACAAAACTGGTGAACCAGGCGTTGTTATTTGCGAAAACGCACATCGAGAACATGTGACCCTTATTCTCATGGGAACACGAGGTTTAGGCAAGCTTGCGCGGGCGATTCTGGGAAGTGTGAGTAAATATGTGATACTACATAGTGATTTGCCTGTTTTGGTTATGCCACCAAGTACTGGAAGCAAGTAATTTTACTGTGACTGAGTACGTTTTTCCAAAAGCCTGAGAATAAAACACAATATTTCACGATCTCATGAATATAGAAAGAGATAAGGAGTTACAAGTGTAGATGGGGAAAGGGGGATGTACCTGTAAGAAAATATTTATGTGGATTATTTATTCGTGTGTTATGAACAGTTAATGTATATATTAGTGGAATAAATGGGTTTCGGTTTTATCGTAGTACCAGCAGAACTGCAATCTCTTTACTGAGTTAATATTACTGATATGCTTGGCTTTCGTTAAATATAATCGGCTCAAAAAACAACCACACAATTATATTCATTTAATAAAACTCACTATTAATTATACTCAGCCTATATACAGTTATATATATTAATTAAGAATGTATACAATAATATATGGTAAAAATTTTCTTTTAAAATATTTTAATCACAAGGCATGCGAACTGTGAATACGATTTGTATTGATCTAATAAATTTGTTAAAAAATTAGTTAATTAGCTCACAAACAGACACGATAACGATTCACCTGACATGCTATCGCAAAAGTTGAAACGAAAATACAACTTACTGTCAGGATGTTTGTGATGTATACACGTCTTAAAAAGTTGTTAAGATATATGAAATATGTACAATTAAATTTGAAGGTTCATCGAACTGAGATCTTCATTTCTAGACACTTTGGCTTCCAACGATTCATCAGTCAACTATAATTTGCCACTGGGATCTTATGCAACTGATTGATTAAAATCTTTCCCCTGATCATTTATTTAACCATACCCAATGTCCAAATATAGACCAAATCATATTCACGATGATTTTTGAATGATGGTCACCTCTCTCATTGGCACCAGAATCCTGACGAGATTCTTCAGTACAATATGGCTTTCATAGCACAGTCCTTGTAGAATTAGTTTTTCTCAAGTCTTTTGTCTCCTCATCTACGCCCCGTTTTAACGACAACGTGGTTCGTCCCCCACCTCGACTAAAGGAAAACCAACCTGATTAGTTGTAGAAATTGCCAGACATGCACAGTAAATAATACTGCCTTGCTCATACTGTATTCCTAAATTTGTATTTTAACATCAATCCAAAAATGCATTTTCCTGATTGTGCACTCACCCCGGCTCCAAAATAAAATTAAAATTTCACCTTTTAAAAGCTTGTGTGGTACTTCTAGTCGTTCGCCGAGGTATAGCTGTAACTTTTGATGTTTTAAGAGGAGATATAACAGACTGCATAGCCAAAGAACTAGTTAATCTGTAAAACGATGTAAATTAATCAACATTTGAACCATATTTTTTCATTCATACCAAACTGGATTATGGACGTGTAATTATAACAATTATCTTTTCTTACTCAAGTACACGAGATGCCCAATTTTGGGATGAATGCATGACTAACATCATTACATTTTATGGAAAGTTAATTTTAAATGCTTGCACGGTCGAGTGAGAGGTAGTAAGTAGGTCGCACACAAACGAAACTTGACTAATATTCTATCAGTTCATATATCACGTGTGAGAATAATCTAATCTAACCTTTGACCGCGGCTCGATGTCGTTCTTGTGTGTCCATGGCGGATATCATCAACCCTGAATTCAAAATATTTAACACTTCTTATTACAAAATTTACCAGACGCAAAATTCGCATCCAGATTCTCAGAGCTGCTCTAAGTTGCCACAGAATTGTTTTCCACGTCACTCACGTCGCAAGGGAACGTAGGTTATCTCATTGTTTCAAATTTGTTAGGCCGACCAAAATGCCCAGAAAAAATGTTACATCGTTAGGCTTCGTTTCCACACGAATTGAAATGGAAAGTGTTTCCTTTACGTGCGTGTATGCACGCATATTGCACGCGTATTACACGAGTCTTTATACATAGTAATAAACAGAACTAAAACTAGAAGTAAACTGCGAGGAATTTAGATTTAAAGTCTAGCGTCTATTCGTGGTTGCAAGCACGAATTGACAAACGTTTCATTGGGGAAGAAACCTTTCATATTGATATGCATAGAAATGTGTGCATGGGCGCCAGACCTCATTAGATATATCAATTGCACAAACAGTAAATACTGAAAAATTAATGGTTAATGAATTTTGAACTGAATAATTAATATAAGCGGAGCTCAACGACACTTCATTTCTCTTCAATTTCCATCAGATAAGCCGCACCCACTATATGTAAGATGCCTTTACACATGTGCACTGGTGCATGTACCGCTTGCCATGCACTCTTTTTTCAGTGGTCAGATTTTTTCGGTTCATTCCAGTTAGTGCAAAGAGTTTGGTACTGCTGTCCTGAGGCGTTTTAGCCTCAACCTTGACACATGAAAACATTACCAAATATCATGCGTATAAAACCATGATGCGAACGTTGTAGCTATTAGTACGATATACGAATGTCATGTATACATAGAAACGGTTGAACTTGAAGCTGAGGATCTACTGCAACATTTATTATATTTAAAATTGAATGTCGAAATACCTGATAGCTCCAGTAGTAGCACAACGTGGATGTCTTGAAGACCAGCTTGACTTTAGTTTCCGTAATTCATCTCCTTGCGTTGACGTCTTTTCTTCATCATGACTTGCGTCTTTACATGAACTTCGAGTTACAGCACTCGTTGGTTTCGACGCTTTTGATCTACTTGAGGTGCAAGAATTGAACAGGGAGCTTGATATATCCTACACAAAGACGTAAAGAAAATATTTTGCTATATACACGAAATCTTATTTACAGAATACTGCAAAGAAACTCCCGCGTCGTGATCACGTAGCATGCAGATGGCCCGAATGTGTCTAGCGTTTCTAAGTCTATTTTTAAAAAGTCTTACGAAATATAATTACATTGTATGAGCAAAAGTTTACGATATATTAACGTATAGTATATCCAATACGTTATGACCAACCTTAAAGGTATTTGGTGAAGTATCAATCACTGAACTTTCAATCCTCAACGAGTCAACTCCTGTCGTTATGGTTCCGACCGCGTTAAGAACTGGTAAAACAAAACAACAATTTTCTTTACACAAGAATATAAAGAATAGCTAACCTTGGGAATATTGGCTAAAAATGGAGTTTGACATAAGAAAATGGTTGCCAAGCAAGGGCAAACCTCTGCCAAATAGCAGTATAAAATATCCACAATTTTCTATCTTACCATTTTCATTCACATCCTTTTGTCTCGTTTTAAAAATGTCTCCTTGGATCCATAGACTAGCTTGCTTTCTAAAATTGGGAGATTTAGCTTTACCAAAAGAATTCACCACAACATATTGTATATTTTCAACCAGAGAAAGTTACGCTTAAGGGGGGGACTGTTATAGAAAGGAGTTGTCTATGTTTGGAAGACGGAGCACAGGAAACATGGAGTTATTTCAGATAAGACGAACCGCTCTCTCGTTTGTAGCTATCAACCACAATTCTACTTTTGATTCGATACTGAGCAATAAAATATCTTAGCTTTGATACCTTCTTGTACCACGATTTTATTCAATAAATAATTAAAAAAAACCGCAGCAATTTTAGTCAGAATACTTACTCTTCTAAAAAGTTTTGTTGGGGACCAATCACAGAACCTGGACGGCATATCCTATAATGTTAAAAAAATACGAATAGTTTGAAATTTATACGATAAGCAAAATAATGAAGGTTTTCTACGGGTTGCTGGTGGGCGGAATTTATCCACGTAATTTGTACCTCATCCATGCAATCGCTTCTGCTGCAGAAAAACGGAAATGTTTCATCAGATAGCAACCAATTAAACTTCCAGTACGGCCAAGTCCAGCTAAAAAAATAAGAAAAATAGAAGGATTTGTCTAAATTTCTTTCTTTCAAATTTAATGCATGGGTTCATTCCTTTTTCATGACGGAAAAATATAGACCAAGTTATTGACATTTTCTTGCTGATATCATCGGGAAATGGATTGAAATCGTTTGGTTTCTGAGTGCAAACGGATAGAACAATATTGGCATGATTACATCACCAGCTAAATAGGGTTCCCTGAACATTACCTTTGCAATGTACTGCGATACCGCCACTAGCTGATTCTGCCACCGTTAAAAATCGCCTGAGCATAAGGAAAACAAAGTGTCACTGCATTGTGCGTGCATGTAAAACTACTTTATACATGTATTGTGAAAATTCACTGTTGATCCATTTGGACAAATAAAATTTAACTACCTGACAATGGAGTCGACAGGAACACTGCCATCATTAAAAAATAAGTCGAAATGATCAAAACCAGCCTCAGTGAATCTCTTTGCTTCATACATCTTCTTATTAAGGCGGATTACCGTGGTTATGCCATGTTTACGAAAGTAGGGAATATAAGACTCCGGAGCATGTAATGGATAGCCTAGATTCACATTAAATACGTAGTGAAACTACATGCATGCACTGCATGTAATTTATAAATAATTCACAAGCGTGAATGCGAAATTTGAAACTGACTTCATGTATAGAATACCGCAAAAACATCGTTCATACCATTAAGGATTCTAGTCTTGTTATGAGGCCCGCTGAATGCCAAAAACTTCCCTGTTTCAAAAGTCAGAACACACTGAGTTAGACGCCGTGAAACGGTGTAAAACAGCTACAAAGTCCAAGTCTCTCTTAACTTGTCAGCGTAATATATCCGCACCTGGTACTATCCAGTTGAAATCGCCATTTTCAACCCTCTGAAATTAAAGAGATTACTTAATTATTGCAAGAAAAGTACATCATATATACACTGTTGACAATTGATGTGTATAGTAAAATTGCCTTTACTAACCTCATAATGTTCATATTCTTCAACATCAAACGTGTCGAAATCGAAAAACTTATTCTGTAAGGCCTAAATAGTTACACGTAAAAAAATATGTAATTGTTTAGGTATAAACCAACCATGCGCGGGGGTTTTCGCGAAAGCTAGTCTCCGTTAACCACAGTGGCCAGAATAATAAAACTTTATAACATGAAACATGGCGAATATTAGAAAGTTATGACAATTACCTTATAAATACCGTTTAGACAGTCCAGGATTGTGAGATTAAACGTACAAGCACCAAAAGAGGCGTCCCTATGTATTGTAAATCACGCTATTTCAGTGAACTGAAACTGCCATTTTACTAATACTACGTCTCAGAAAAACAACAATCTTCTAAACCCAACAATTAAATTTCAAAACAAGACTCCAAGTTTGTTTTCTTCATTGTTTTAAAACTCAAATCGCGGGTATACAAGATGTTGTTTTTCAGAGTTGTTGCATGTTTTTCCATTTGACTGCTACATACCGAAAAGGTAAATATGGCGGCGAACAGCCACTTATCAATGGTTGATAGGCCTCATCCGGCTTCTTGTTGAGATAAATCACCTATCCGAATTAAAAAAAAGAAACCACTTAAATCAACGTTAAAATTTTTAAATCGATGTTTAAGGAAACAGAACGTCGTAAGGAAGTTTTCATGTCAATTATTTATTCAAACCAGGTTTACCTGATAAGCGCCAATTAAAAACGCAGCATTCGCTCTTTTTCTGCTGTCATAGCTCGTGTAGTGAACAATCTTTTTACGAGCAAGCGAAAACGACTAAAACACATAAATTTACAGTAAATTTACTATAGATATATTTTGAATAAGCCTAGAAGAACTTACTTACATAGTTGGTAAATGATATTAAATGCTGATAAATGAAACAGGCATTACAACTCATATAATTTAAGGGTATAATTAATTGGGGGCCGTGTATATGCATATTCATGTCTATATACCGTAGCCGTAGGAGCAGTAGGGCATAAGACGAATATATGAATATATACACGTCCCAATTAAGCTTGTAGCTACGGCCGTATCCTGGAGAAGATTCGTGTCAAAATTTTTCACAAATCAACGAAACAATAACATTCAAGTTATCCAAATCATCGCTAAGCAGGACAACACAAATACATCTTAGCTTATCATGTATCACCGATGACCACATGCACAGTGGCTACTGGCTTGCCTATAAATGTCCTACACAAAGTATAGGCTTACTTCAGCAAGGTTTTCGTGTACCGCTATGTAGTATCCTGTGCATATACTAGAACTCTAACGAGAAACAACGACAGAACACGAAACAAGGCTGCCTAACTCTAAATAAGCATGCGCAGGAGACTTGCACTATATGCTTCCGTGGAATAGAGAAAATTTTATGCATGCATGATCATCGTTTTCAAAATAAATTTCCAGAAAATCTATCTAATAAAACACTTGATTTTAATCCTATATCTGAATCTAACTAAATACTAATACGTAATCTATTTATTTTAGGATTAGTACTATTGCACGTGACCTAAATTGAACAAATATATGCAGCGAGTTATAGTTATAGTTAGGATTCAGATTTCTTACGCAAATGATTATTAATACTAAAATGCAGCAACAATGCTCAAGTATATCTCTTGTATCGGAAAAGTCATGCAAGTACGTAAATTTAGTAATCATTGATATATTGTCTGATAATCCATTTTTGTTTAGCTCAGAGTGAGTGCTCGAATTCCAAATTTAAAATTGTGAAAGCGCAGATGGCAGACTGGACATTAACTTTCACAACAAACCTAAATTGAACAGCATGTTGTAAGAAAACCAAACATGCCACATAGATATTAAAAAATTTCGATATGAATTGGACTCAATTCTTTATACCAATAAAATTACCCTGACACCTTGAGTTTAAAAAGAATAGTTAAAAATATCACCCTTCAAACATACATGACAAAATTAAATATTGTTTCTTAATTTAAAAAGAAAACAGGAAAAAGCGCGTGTGAGTTGAACGTTTGTCAACTCTAGTATTTGCGATAATTAAATTTTGGAGAAAAAAACATAGACATAGTTATGCATGGACAAGATATGGACATATCGATATTTTGATCGCCGCTAAAAAATAATAAATATTAAGATTTAAGTGATATACGAACACGATTTCCGCAAGACTGTATAGGCAGTGGCGACAACGCATATCGAGAACGAAATATATATATGATTCAAACAAGTCACAGGCGGATTAAGAGAGCGTTTCAGTTTCTTTTTTTTTGAATTTGTTTTTATTTCTCTTTTTTTATGTTGTCAGTCTGATCACGAAGAATGTCAACAGACAATATTGAATATCAGTTCTAATCGAGGTCGGTGAAAATCATAAAGGATCATAGTAATTGATCATGCAGGAGAATGTACTAATCCTCGGGAAACGTTCAAACAAATTTCGTTTAAAAATTTTTTGAAATGAAAAATTTCGTTTAAAAATTTTTTGAAATGAAAATGAACAAATTGCAGGCTGTCAAGTTCGCATTACCCTCTCCCCTCCCCCCTTAGTCCCACATACCAGTGTGGACACATTCTCGCTACAACATTGCCATGCAATTAGCGACGTACACCTTTATAACAATATCTTTATAACAATATGTTCAAAGATTATGAAAAACAAAAAAATCAAAAACACGTAATGATGGCGTTGCGTATTTTGAACTCGCATACCGTCTAGCTTTTTATAGTTATAAGGTATAAACTTCTCAATCATCATAACACAAGAGATACGCTTAGACAGGCAAGATTTTAAATAGAAATACTTGCTTATGATTATACTGTATCTCAAGACAATTGCACAATCTCACAGCATAAAGATATCTTTGTTTAAACCTCATAATTTCCATTTATCAGATCGCTTTTAATTGATCTCCTTAGGGATTCAGTCGCACTGGTGAGAAATTTTGATGACTTAAGTCTTAAATCTGGGAGGAAGCTGGAATACCCTGTCTAATTCATTCAATTGTCTGAGGAATAAAAACTATGACAGCCAAACAGCAGTAAATTAAAAGTGAAAAACTGATTTAATTGCCCAGTGTATCTTGTTTTACATGCAGTCAAAATGACCTAAGGGCAATAAAATTGCACAATGTTCACTTGCTTGTGCTTGCCTGCAGTTCAGCAACATATCTTTTCCAATATCATATTAAAATTCCCAAAAAGTTGATCTGTGTATGTACAAAACAATGGCATAGTAGTATCATGATACTTTGTGCAAACAATTTAATTTATGTCATTTATCTTTGATAAAATATTAGATGCAATCTAAACTCTTCCTCTTCAAGCAATCAGGAAATAGTACAATTGGTACACTTTCTGGCATTTTATTATCAGATGCTCCACATTTAGGGAAACCAAATAGGGAAACACTGTAAGGGGAACAAGGCGATTGGGCATGTATAAAATGAATACTTTCTCTTCTTTAGAAAGAGCTAAAATTTGGTTGAACTACACTTGCTTTAACTTCCTATTTCTAATTTTGAGGACACACTTCTTTTACATGGACCAGTCCTTAAAAAGGCTTATTTGCTTAGAAATATAAACATATGTGTAGGGAGTATATCAATACAGACTAATTCTTTATCATATGCATTTACACTATTTTGTTCTGTTTATATTTTAATACTCTCCAGTTATAATAAAGATTTGCTGTTTTTCATTTCAGCAATACTAAAAGAGAATCAATGTCATCAATCCTTTGTCATCAATCCCAAACTTATTCATGAGATGCATTAGAATTCATAACGAAAGATCTGATTACAAAGTAGGAGAAAACCTATCTATCATTTATGAAAAACAGGAATAACTATATTTTAATGTTTGCAACACTATTAATTATATAATCAGAACATGTCACAAACTATAAGAGAACTCAACTCTCCTTATCTGCAGTCTAAAAACACAGTAGGCAGCTGACTGTGTTTCTACACTGCTTAATCATTTTCCCTTCTTTTTGAAGAATCAACTTTCAGCAAATGAACTTTCCCAGATAAACCTTTGAATATGAAATTAAATGTATCGCACGCTCCACTTGGAAATCAAGCGCAGCAAGCAAATATTGCACTACAACGTTGTCACGGCCGTACCCATTCCATATGAAACAGACGAAAATTATGTGTGTATAGCTATACTCTGCATATATAGACGGTGATAGATGCTTTTAAACAAGGTGAATGGCCTAAATTTGGTGTGTATCCGAAATTATTTAATATACCTTGAGTTTCTTATTCAACTTGCAGCAGTAACGATACAGCATAGCCAAATTGAGCGGACCGAAGTCAGCATAAAAACTGTAATTACAATAATGTAATAAAAGCGTATTAAACACAGTGATAGACTCTAAATATTTGTGGTTTTCTGGGTGAAAACTAACGAGGCCATGGGCAAAACGGCTAAAACCACTAGACATTTCCATGTCAACAAAGTGTCGTACGACTTTTATGCATATACAAAAGCCAAGAGGTATTATACAAAAATGAGACATACTTTTCATACACTAGATCATCGTCAATGCTAAAATAATGTGCATTTTGAGTACTTCTAGGCCTTCCCCGAACAGTTGCGAAGAAAAGTCGGTCTGCAAAACGAAAATATACAACAGAAACAAGATATGAAACCTAGACGTTACACAAAGTACCGCGATTTAACGCGGTCTTTAATTTAAACGATCGCTTGAAGAAGTCTTAGCTGGCTACACACCTTTTATTATTTCACACTCGTTCACGCCAGATGAACTTTCTTCAGACATCTTCAAAGGCAGGATATGAGACGAATTATGTTTCTAAAATCTAACCTCTTCCATTTTTAGTTCGTTGTATAAAAATATATTATATCGCCCAGGCAGCTAAATGCGAAACCTTACCTACCCGTATTTGGGGATGGAATGAAATAATTTTACTCAAACAATCTGATTAGCCAATCAGAATGCAGTAGAATGCCGTTACTATGACGGCGAAGATTAGTTCACGTTAAGGACGTCAACAAACCAAATTTAAGTCACTAACAGGCTACATAACCACAATAAATTACTGTCTTTGCCTCTCTGGTTGGCAATTATGTGTTAGTTAGAATGATTATTCTTGTATATTATAACAACAAAATATGTGTGTTGTATGTTGGACAAATTATATTCTGCAGTGAACTGTTATATTCTGCACACGAGCATAATATGCGTGGTGACCTAGTGCCAAGGACATCGCGTATTTCAGAATTTTTTTTAAAAATGTTACTGATAGAATACAGGGAACGCTCCATTTCTGAAATATTACAGGCTATCATAGTATTATTTGCCCCCTTTAATATGGGATGAAGTTTCAGTCTGCGGTTTCAGCGATATATAGATAAATATTATTGGAGTTCAGTGATGTTGGATGACTATCACGATTTCCTTTTAAACTTGTTGGTTCTATGTTATCACCCTGACGAGAATAATATGAGTTACACAAAACTAATAAAAATCCCTGTGAAATCATAAAACGACAAAATAGAGACGACATGTACACCTAAAATAAAGATGCCAAAATTGGATGGAAATAAGACAACTATAGCCTATATGTGAGTGTCAGAGTGTATACAATACTCCATCACCTTTTCATCATCCGCATAGGAATTGTCGTCCGAATCCTAAGAATAATGTAAGAAAATATTCATTGTCTATAGCCGATATGTGAAGATTTTAAGATTTGACTGGCAGCACGCCTCCGAGTATTGCGTGGGCGGCATAGTCAGTCCAATACCCCGGTAACGATATTAACGAAATATACGGAGATTAAAAATGCATAATCGGCAAGCAATTTATCATCAGTAAAGCTTTCTTTCAAAGTATTGTTAGTTTCTACGTGTACATGTTATAAAGGCTAATTGTCTTTCAGAAGCACTAAGCTTCTGAGCCATGAAATTCAAGTAGTAAAGAATTTTTGAAGTGGTTAAAAAATTTGCTCCTACGCACCCAAATTTCCTCAGTAAGTACACATCCACATAGCCATATACTCACGTTACTTATCGATAACTTCTCTTCCCCTTAGGTGCTCTCACAATCAAGCGCTTGAATACCTTAGAAAAAGCTTGAAAACACCTCATATCATCTTAAATTCTTTAAATTAATGAAATAGCTGATTACACAGTTGCTAAAGATGTTTTATTACCGAGTACCTTTGTATCAAAAGCTATGCCTATGCCTATGTAATTTGTTCGGACACAGTAAAACGCATCATTTCACATTTGCTGTAAGAAGAGTTCAGGATATAGAAGAAACAGAACAACGCATGACAATGATGACATTTTGATTTGCCTATTAAGAAAATTATTTCATTGAACTGAAAAACCGCCATATGCAAACTTAAACCAGACATAAAAATTGCTAAAACTATGGTGCATATGACCAAGCTTATTCAAAAATTACGTTTTATTCCTAAGACTTGGTTGTTCGCGTATTTATTTCAATCTCCGTCTATTTTAAATAATTACAATCCTATTAACTTTAAGACCAGATCTTTATTAGTAAATTATTCGCACAGGACATCTGTTAGCAAAAAAATCATTCAGTCCTGAAGCAACTTCTCCTCATTTGACTTTTTGATGCGCACTTCTAAGACTAAAATGAACTGAATGATGAATAAAAATTAATTTTAAAAAATGAATTCCCACCCGTAAGTTAGTTCATGGATGAATACGAATATCTATTTTCACGATTCATTATTGAATACCCCAGTTATTCTTTCCCAGTTACTCAGTCATTTCGTCTGTCATGTAGTGACTGTGTCTGTGGTCAACAGGCTGAAACCTGTTCAGGTTTTGGCCAAATTTCTAGTAGTAACTTAATGGCATTAATATCTTTTTTGGTATCACTGACGGTACTGGTTGTACTCGTACCGAGTGATGGACATAACAACACCGGTCCAATACACACGGCTAAATTATGACTGTCCATCTTATTAGCATCGCTGTTCATGAGAACTGTAACAAAATGATCGAACAAGTACAGAATTGTTGCTTTGCAGGGGCGATGAAACTTCTTAATGATTTCAGAAACTAAATTATCAGGCATAGATTCTGCTTCTGTCCCGCTGAGTAATTCCCGTACATCTTGTGAGAGAAGAGGTTGTGGTAACTCACGTAGGAAATCTTTAAGTAAACCGGTTATAATGTTTACGTCCACCGGATTCTCAGTTCGACCCAGGTCTACACTCGTGCTATTAACTTCAAATTGCGCCCGCAATGCTTTTTTCTTTGCGGCGTTCCCACAAATACGGTAGATTCCAGTCGTTTCCAGACCTCGCTTGTTAATTTCCTCCACACACTTACGGACTAAGTTTGGGATCCTAGAATTTTCGCGTCGTAAAACCGTTTCGAGAGGAAAACCAAAAACACCTTCTTTCTTTTGGGAAGTCGTACGTTGAAGAAGGAATTTCATATCTGTGAATTTCAGTTTAATACAAAGCATTCCAGAGGGTTCTAAACAAACAGCCAACAGATGCTCGTCACCTTCGCTCAACAACTGAGCCAAACTCAAGCAACCCTCTGCAATTTTAACTTCTTCTTTTTTTGAGCGTAGACAAACCGTTATTCGAATTTCGCGTGTTCGTTGCAACTCGATTTCAAAGCTTTCGTTCCATTGGAAATCATTCAAACCTTTCTTTGGTGTGGTGGAAGCTTGTTTCATCCCGTCAGAATCTACATTACAAAATACTTTAGCTTTTTTACGTTTCTCTCGTGTGAAAGATTCTTCTGAACCAATCTGTGCTCCTTTTACGATATCTAAAGTAAGCATTCCCGTCACGGCGCGTGAAGGGTAATCCTGGGGCGAACCTGCATATAACTTATAACCGTGTTCTGCTTCATCAGACGGGGAAGCTGTAGATTCCTGCAGACGATACGGTTCTCCGAAAGCGGCAGTTTTTGTGAACGGTCGCGTCCCCTCAGAGAACTTCCGAATCTGTTTACGTTTTTGGTGTCCGATTTTGGAAAACCAACTATTGTGAGATTGATTTAAATCATCTGAAGACAGAGAATGGTGAAATGGTGGTTTTTTGTTGACCTTATCACTAGCAAGATCTTTCCAAATTTGTTCTTCGTTTTCAGCTGATGAGCTCACAGGACTGCCGTCAGAATGATGAGATTTATGCACTAACATCTCGGATCGAGAGAGTCGACTTGCTTTAGGACTGGATAAATTGTTTTTGGACTTTCTTAATTGTGTTTTAGGAGAGTCACTGCTTGATAATGACGAACTAGAGCCGAACGTTTCCGACGTCTTTCCTAAGCTAGACTTGGTTACGCTCTCTTTATTTGCTTCAATTTGAATCTTGTCCAGTGAACGTGAAACATCATTTGACGTAGAATCAAAATTTGAAAATTTCGGTTCATTTGAAGCTATAATATCAAATTTTATATCACCAGGGTCTAAACGATGACTTCCATCATAACTGCCCTCTTCTTTTGCTTGTGAATGTGTTCTTTCATTTATTGTCATTGGTACAACAGTGGATATCTTCTGTGTCATCTGCTTGCTCGTGTGTGTATGCTTTGAATTTAAGTTGTTTGCAGTGTCCTTGTTTACAGGTGCCTGTGAAGCTATTTGGCTCGATCTATTCTTTCCACTATTGTTGGTGTTGGGAATAAAGGGTGTAATGTTGCTTGTGTTACTACTACCTGGCTTCTGACGAACAAATTCATTTGATGATACGACAGTGTTGGATGTGTGTGGATTCAGATGATTTTCAAAGCGATTGTTCAGCTGTGACTTACCTGGATCTATTTCAGGAGGCGCTGGCAACATTCTGCCAGAGGAACTGCGCCTACATTTAAGGGCGCCAGGTGGGGATGGTTTAACAATACTTCTTTGTGTGGCCATTTGGGTCACCTGTTTCGGACCAGATTTATGGCCATCAAGTTTGGGTTCCTGTTCGATGTAGTTATTATTCACATTTCGGATACTTTGCTTTGAATCGTCGAAAACATGTTCCTTTTGAGTTCTAGTAATGTCGTCTCTACGTTTAAACCGAACTTTTAATGTTAATTTCTTGGGTATTTGTATCATAGCTACAACATCACTCAGTTTATAATCTTTAACAGCGACACGGTTTATCTCTAAAATTTCATCTCCAGCGTAAAGTAGTGAATTTTGCTCGACAACACCACCAGGGGTAAGTCGGGAGACAAAGATCCCGCCAGGCTCTTCACCTTTATTCACATTATGTTCTCGTAACGAAAACCCCAAAGGCTGTCCTGAATTCTTCAGTATATTTACGAAATCAATATCACCTTGTAAAAGGTATTTCGTAGTTAGTGACTCTGATATTTCACTACCAGGTTTTGTGGTAATACCTTTTTCTATAATCTTGTTTGCGTTTGTTGTCTCGCTGCCATAATCCGAGGACAAAATCATAGCAACAACCTCTGGCGTTAGTCGTTTCTTTGCAGCTGAAACCATAGTTTTTTTCTCCATGTCGACAGAGGCACGACGCTGTACTATATCACTCGTTCCTACGCTTGTGTCAACAGTCGGAGCTTGTGGTAGACGACGACGGGACTGGCTTTCCAAGCTTGGCGTAGCCATAGCCGCTTACAAATAGCTTTACAAAAGTCATTCTTTAGTAGTGTGTTGACGAACAAAATATGTGTCATCGTTGACTGTGAGACAACAACAGCCAAACGTAATTAGAAACCATCATCTCGTTATAATTAGATGAGATTTGAGCCAATGACAAAGATTGTTGTGTACGGGGGATTAAAGTCTGTGACGAAATACAATACTAGACGAACTGCATTAATCCTAAAAGAACAATTAACGTCTGCAATGGTCAGCTTAACTTTGTGTTATATACAGTTCAGCTGTCCAGGCTTTCTTATGAAGTAGGAGTTTTTATTGTCTGTGCTATGTCTGAATTAATCACTATGTGTCTATTTATGAGGCACCCGTTTGGCAAACTACAGCATAAGAATCTACGCATGCACAGTAGAGTGGACTGTATAGTGGATCATATAATCTTCAGAAAACCCCCCGTATTTTTCTCTGGACGGAACACGCGTATATCTTTAGAAACTTTTTTAAGATTTGGTTTGAGTACAGTGACCCTTTATCTTAATGTTGTAATAATATTCAATATAGAAATAATAAAAATATACTTATATAATTTATATGCTTTTAGGCATACATACGACAAATTAAGTCCATTTGACAAATGTCTGATAATCCTTTTTACTGCCGTCAAAGGCATTAACTTCTCCTATATAAATGGATCGCCCACACTCTCAATCTTCCCTTGCGAGATTTTATCGCCGTGAGACCTTCACGCCAAGCGGAAGATCGAGGCTGGAAATAGATCAGAAGACAAGACTAACTACCACAGAAGTACGTATATGGGGAAAATTTGACCAAATATTTACATGTTCTAGAAGCTGAGATCATTTAGTGCTTGAACTTGATTTTCTCTGGGATGTTCTTCCCTTTGTCCCAGAACGTGGCCTAACAGCTGTTGATGGACCGACGGCAGATGACGATTTTAAGGCGTGGTATTTCCAAGCATCAGAGATCATTTTAATCTTTAAATTTTGAGAATAAATTGTAAAATGCATTGTAGTATTCTGTCGAAGTAAACTTGCATGTTTACGATTCTAATAATTCACTGACGGGACGGGCGGAAAACACAGAATGAACAACAGGAGAGACTGGAGAGCAACAAACAAGAATGCAGAATAAAACTGACTAATGGATCAATGAAGAAATAGAAACATTGACTAATCATGCATTTACTTGCCGTTTACCAGTACACTAAGTCATCTTAAAAACTGATAACTTACCGGAATCAGAATATCCTTCTCGTTTTCAGCTTCGACTATTGTCAATTCATCCGGAGACAACAGCAATAAACGAAGATGCTGAACAATATTTTTAGTCAATTCCTGAATGGGTTTATTGAGACCAATCTGATAAATTGAGTGCAAAAATAAGTTATTTTGAATGCCTATGATATATACTGTGTATTCCGTTGATGTCGCTGTTCACACACCAATAAAATTACAAACAAGAACACAATCTTGAGCAATTGTGCGAACTTCATGAAGACTGTCACTGGGCTTACTTTACATTGGAGTTGAACGCAAGCCTTAATACTGCATGAAGTGTTTAAAATGATACATTGTAAGAACAGAACCAGTAAAGCATTCATACCGAGTTTACAGTTGCCCATTCTCTCACCAAAGCGATTAGATCAAGTTCATCAATATTCAAGTTATCACTGGATAAAAGAACACTAAAAGCTTCTTCTGATAGTTCATGGAAAGCCTCTGTTTTGAAGACTTCATGAGCGTTTTTTTCAATGTAGGCGAGAACAGTTTCTTTTAAATTTAACAGATTATACATCACAGAAACCTATAAGCATTGAAATAGAAGAAATATAGTAAAATAGTTGCTATATGTTGTTACTAATCCAGAGTTTTGTCTTATAGGAAATTAGGAACATGGTCGGGAAAAAGGTCTGAGCCGTGGCACATATATATGCAGAATTTAGCCTTTAAAATTTACGACTACGGATTTATTCATCCACTGGACGTTTCAGAAGTCGTTATGAGTCTATGGCTGCGTTCAGACTAGTGCCCAAAGTCAAAACTGGTTCATAAAACATGCTGAGCACAGTGCCCTTGTTAAGTTCCAAATTAGATTGGATACGTTGCCCAGGAACGTGCCCAAGAACGGGCGCTAACTTCAGACACAGTTCAACTTAGGCGCCAGAAACAAGTGACGGGCACTCAGTCTGTAGCCATGACTATACTACCATGTTCATATGCATGTTCATTTCCGAACAGAATTTCATGAGATACCTGCATTGCAGCACACGCAGTTGAAATACTTAGTGTATTAGCGATAAATTCCCCACAAATCTATACAGAAAAAAAATTAAAGAATAAACAAACATGCAGAATATCATTCAGGAATCTATCCGCTAAATCTGACTTTAGTTATGGAAATACGTTCATCAGTTCATGACTTACTTACTTGTTGTAATTCATCTAACGAGTATTCCGCAGCGCTAGCAAGAACATCGATCACCTGAAACAAACATGGGAATATATATATTTGATTTAAATACTTCAGCTTCTAATTCTCATGTCATATCGCAGAAGTTCAGAACAGTTGCCGGCTTTGTTGTTTATAGGCAATAGAAAAAATACGCGTTTTCATTGGCATAAGAACTCATTTCGACGTTACGAGTTTTTAACAGGCCAAAAATTTATGCCATGAGGACTTCTTTCAGTATTTCTATATTAAATTTTGAGTACTTTTAGATGTACAGTACTTTTAGATGTACACCACTTTGGCAAAACTATAAACTATCGTTATCCCTTCCACTCAAATGTGAAGCCCAAACTCTCCACTACAAATACCACCCAATCCCCTCCTGATAATTTGAAAATGAGAGGTATATCTGCCTTTTTAAAGTAAGGAGAGTAGTATAGGCTTATCACACTTCTCTGATTCTTTAACTTACGTTTTCCTCATGCAGTGTACAGCAGTTAGTGTAGAGAAACTCCAACAGACAATGAAATGTTTCTGGTGCAATATCAGGCAATATTATAGGGTTTTCTAAACAAGCAGTGTGCAGACCATCTTCATTTTCAAACATTGCTTTAAATACTTGGGACCTGCAAATTACAATATTCATTGTGCAAACAACTTGAAAAGCATGTTTATTGCATATAGTTTTTCCTTTTGTAGGGGCCATCATACATTTGTTTCAATTTGTAGTTCAGGAATTCAGAAAGTCAATATCTCTATCATGCCATCAATAAATCAACAACTACATACATTGATACATTTATTTTGTACCTTGCAGAAAGAATACAGCTGTTCCCAAAAATTTGCACTCTTGATGACCCAACAATAAATTTAGCATTGCTATATTGTAAAAAATTGTTATTGTTTAAAATACACTTATAATATAATAAAGTGTGAACATATATTGGGCATTTTTTTGAAATCTTATGTCTGCAATTTGCACTTTCCACTCAGGTATACATTTTGAAGCCAGTAATTCCACATCACCTGAACTCCTTGTTGTTAACCATTTTTCTCATGTCATTAGCAAATGTCCACGGGCAACCTGGAATGGACCTACCAGCCATTGTAGCAGAGGCAACCTTTGATATCATATCCATATTTGGCACAAGGTTGTTGTGGACAGTCACCACACCACAACTATAGTATATCCATGACCATGTACATTGTACAAGACTACAAGTATATTCCACCAACTTTTCCAGTGATGACAATGCAAAGTAGCAAAGATGATTATCACATGGCTGTAAATTTCAATGCTAAATCAGCGATAACTAGCTTTTGTATGGAATTTCTTGGATATAAACAACCATAGTTACAGGTTGTTATATATAAACTATTTTAATAAGCTGATGAGAATTAGATTCCAACCTCTTGGTAATCACTCGGCCTGGAAGTGGAATGCAAATCAGTAATGAAAAATGTAAACACAAAATGCCTAAATGTTATAAAATTGTGATTTTAGGCTGTAAAAAAGTTGGGAAAACTGCGATCATTGAGCAGTTAGTTCATGGACATCATAAGATAGGCTCTGTAAGTTGAAAAATTTTCAAAATGTGTAAATCGTGCGGTAAATCAATGAATAACTTCTACGCTTTATTAAAATTACACGGTCATCACCTCTAAATTACAAACAAAAATTACAGAGTTTATGCTATACTTCCCAGAATTGGCATATGATTGTTTTTATGCCATTTTATATTACCTCTGGAAATAAACTTTTTGATACAAGGTACTCTTATAATTTGTAGAGTTTGCATCCCACAATAGAAGATATTTATGAGGTGTTAATAGAAAATGAACAAAATGTCAAGGAAAAAGTTAGAATTTTTGATACCGCTGGACTTGTAAGGAAAAAAATGTATTTAATCATATATTATATCCCAAACATTTGACAATGATAAGGGCCATCTTACCTTAGTGAACATGCTTGTATATTTATTGCTATAAATTGCCTGCATAATTACTTTATATCTCCTGCTAAATTCACTTTTCACCCTCGAAAAATTTCACTCATCTTTTTGTAGGAGGAGTCTGGTACTTCTGAATTAAGCAAACATGTTCCAATAGCTGATGTAAGGTTATATGTAATTTTATGACATCTCATTTGTGAACCAACACTAATTTATTTGTTTGTCTTCATATGCACAAATTTTATTTGCAATTCAGGGTTTTATCCTTGTATATAGCATCGCATCAAAGCTTACTTTAGATGTAGTTGAAAATGTTAAAAAAGAAATTGAGAAGAAGGGAAAAGAGGTCAGTAAAGATGCTGATCTGCCCTAATGATTAACTTTTCTATTAGATTCCAATATATCTTTTAATGGCTGGTCATTCTATTTTGCTGCATTCTACAATTTCATAGTCTATTGCTAGGCATCGTAATATCATAAAAGTAATTCTTGTTCTACCCCCATTGCTTTTACATGCAAAGTAGTTATAAATAAATACAAAACTGGTCCTTAGGTATTGCCAGGCTTTTCTTTTTTTCTTTTCTTCCAATAACTTTAATCCTTGTTTGAACAGTGTCCACTGGTTGTCTTAGGAACCAAAACAGACTTATTGGAGCAAAGAGAATGTGATTACAAATCGGCAATGAAATGGGCTGAGACAGAAAAAGGTGAGATATACGATTGGAAGACATGTCTCCAGATGAAAAATTGAATCAAAAACCTGTATGATTTACAGAATTATTATATGAAGTATACGTTAATTTTTTTTTGGTTCATTTTATTAGTCAAACTGTATGAGATATGTGTTGGGGATAGACAAGCATTAAAAGAACCTCTTGTTTGGCTTGTATCAAGAATGGGTTGCCAAACAGGTACCACTGATATATATTAAAGGAATAATACTATTAAGCTATCTTAAAGATTGTTGCTTGTGGAAATAGGTAAAGATTCATATATGTTGCTTCATGGTAGCCAATTGTATTGGTGTATTTGTAGACTGTAGTGTCTTGGTAGATAGGAAAGGTTTGGATGAAGCAGAAAGTAGTATGTGTGTACTTGTACTAAGAGAATAAGCACGCTGTGCGATGAAGGGTGCGGACTTACATGGTAGTGAATGTCAATATAACAGCATTCTTATGAGATTTTTGTATTTTTAGGTAAAGGTTATCTAACAACAGGTAAATCAGATGTCAAGAAATTTCTTTCAAAGAAAAGAGCTGGAAGCAGTAAATCATTGGCAAAAGAAAACAGTGTTAGCGATTAAACAATGAAGTCAATCATTTCTTCAAATTATCCATTATTAAAGCTATGAGCATGGTTAATTTAAATTTTCTACCTGGCTCTATTGCTAGCATAGTTTTTAATAGACAAATTGAAAATGCAAACATTTTACAAAGATAAATACAAAAAGTATGGACTCTATTAATAACAGTTTTCACTCCTGAAGAAAAGTTTGACAACATGCATCTAGGTATTACATGCACTTTTGTGAAGTACATTTGTGACCTGAATCTGATTTTTGGCCGCAGACGAAACATATCTCATCTGTTTTGCCTTGATCAATGTGGGCCAGGGGTGCAAATAAGATGTGTATATGGTAAGCATTCTTTTTCTATATTTCATAAATGACCCAGCATAAAAATAGGATGAATAGTAAAATTCAGGGCAGTCCATTGTGCCTTCAGGAAATCAAGGGGTGTTTAATTAGGCTTTAAGAATATAAACTGGTAATGCAAAGGCTAATAAACCTGGTAATGCAAATTCTAATAAAAAGATATATATTTTAGATGCCCTAGAGTAACATTAAATTTGATATTGTATACATACAAATCTATGCATAACTAAAACGTTATATGCATGCATGTACCTATCAAATATCAATTTATTTGACAGTTTCTCCAGAATTTTTCTATTGCACCACAAGTCTACAACTAAACTACTGACAAAGAAAATGGCCAAATAAATTGTAGAATAAACAGCTAATGATCTTGAAATATTTATGTTATTATTTATACCGTTTTTGTAAGTATTGTTATCGCGAATTAATCGGTATTTCAGCACGACTTAAAGAAGTAGTACACGTCCCTGCCGGAGAGCCTCGTTCTCGTACGTCGGAAAGAAAATAACACCGTGACAATGAGCCGCCTTCATGGCCAAGGTTTTTTAAAAGCATAATCAACTCTTGAATTTTCCCCGTGAATCAGCGAAAAGGATTTATCACTGGGCATTCCTCCCAAATTGTTAGGAAATTATAGCCTATAGATAATCATCAGTGTTGACTGCTGTTTTTAAATCTTTGTGTAGGATTATTTAGAATCAACCAACCAACCTACAGACATCTAGCTAGACAATAATGCTACTATCAACCATACAGACATCTAGCGTTTCTTGTTTTTATTTGTTTTCGCTTTGGATTTTCGTTTCTTTTTGTTACTGCTTGATCGATCAGCGTCACCAGACATATCATCCCTAATTGAAAACACGCATATAATCACTCGCTGTATCGAAGGTACGCGATAAAACCAAGTTTCACATTTTCAACGGACCAATAAATAAAGAGATAACGTTGATTTTGTGAAATATAGAACTTGCAAGAGTAAAAAGGACGGAGTGACACAAACAACTGATCTCGTCGTGGCGTTATGGGGATCTTTTATTTTCTTAAACATTCAATATTTAGACTGTGTGCCTACTGTTAGGGATAACAGTGAAAAAATTAAATTTACAGGGGGGCTCCGCAAATACGCTAGTTTGATTCATCTCGTCATTTGAAACATTTTGGTGTTTGTTTCATCAAAATCGGTTAAGGCAATCAAAAGTTATGACAGTTTAAAGGTCGGAATTTTAGGCCAAATTTTGGAAGATGCGTAGGTGTAAAGGTGTTACAACTAGGTGTTTAACATGGCACCAAAATGCGCGACTTTAAACTATTTTTTTAACATAAAAGGGTATAACTTCTAGAATTTTTATCCAATCACCACGAAATTTTCAGAGTCGACTGGTTGTATGTAAAGACACAATACGATGTAACAATCGGACACTTATCGTTGCCATGGCAACGATTATGACGTCATTAAATGACAAAAAAGCTTACGAGAAGTGCAAGTAGATAATTTATGACTTATAAAATTTATAGTAACGTACTCTATGACATATATACATCAATGTTGTCATAATTGTTCAAACAATGTTACAAAATTGTGTTACCATGAAAACTTGATGACGTCACAACGACGTCATTGTAAGTTTACAGTTTATAGTAACCTTGTATTACTATATTCCTATCCTGAGCATTATAATGAAATATTTCAACAATTTTGTTACTTTAAGCACTAAAAAATTCGGAATGAACTCCACATGCCTGTTTCCATGACAACACAACGGATCCATGACGTCACAGATGACGTCACATTATTGTGAATCTATTTATTTTAGGCATTTCACATAGGAAAATAATTATTTTTACAAATAATAATAATAATAATACCTTTCAAAGATTTGGACATAAAAACTGCTGGACTATGTACATGAAACTGGACTGCTTATCAACAGATACATTTTCCTACATACTGTTCTTGTGACTCATTTACTGATTCAGGCTAAGCCTAAGGATCCATAAAATTGAAGCCATTAACACTTTCAATCCATGACCATGTTATACAGTATGATAGGGATGAATACTAAGAATAGAACAATAAACATGAATTAATTAAAATTATTTTAAAACATTCTAAAATCTGCCCATTTAAAAAGTGAATTTTGAAGAAACTAGTAATGTCTACTAATGAGTAATGTCCTTTCATGCCACGCAAAATTGGGCATATTTCGTGTTACAGTGCCAGTTATCCTTCTTAGGGAACTTAAATATTTGGGTTAAAAACTCTTCACATGCATTTTCACCTGTATTTCTCATTAGGTTATGCTTCCACTCATTAACATGATCAACAGCAGAATGAAATACTTTTAAGTCAACATCTTCATTCTCATTTTTAATACATAACAACCATGTTAGCAGAGTACTCTAGGTTAATTAATCTTAATTTTCCCTGTAATATGTATTCTATGTATTCTAAACTATTCTTAGCCTGGTTTGCATCACCTCCCAGCAAATTAATTAGCATTTCAGCAGTTATACCATACTTTTCACATTCTTCACCAATGCCGAATGAAATACTGTTTACTTAATAGAGATCTGAAACAATGCTGCACCTACCATCTGGACATTTCTCAATTACTCTTATAACTTTTCGCTTCAGGTTGCTTATATATTTAGGTGGGATGATGTCATTGTCCAGTATAAGAAGGCTTTTTTTAACCATGTCACCTTAGTTACCCTCGATACAACTACTGATTTCAAATATTTTCGACAACAATTTAAAACAAATTTTATTCTCACCTTTCCAGCCAGGCTTCGCCCCATTTCCAAATAAGCAAACGCAAATCGTCGTCGTTAAAGTTGCGACAATTTTCACATAATGCTTCTTTCACAGTGCTCAATGGCGTGGCGAAATTCGTTCGGATTTCTATAAAATTCAAATTTAAATCCGGAGTGATCTCCGCTTTCTAATACTAAAATATACACATCAAATGAAAGCTTAAAGTCTAAATATTTCGAATTTACCTGATTCTTCTGACATTTCGCACCAGAAAATGTTTAAAAACACAAAAAAGTCTTGTTTTTCGCATGAAATAATCTTTCCAAGTCAAAAACTCGAAAGAATAGGACATTGGTGGATAGCTGAGGTTCTCCTCTTTCTTTTGATACCAATATTGTCCCATATGACCCCAGAGATCACTCCGGATTTACGTTTGAACACGACATGTCATCGTCGCACGCCGGTGCCGCATGATTTCGATGGCGTCGCGATACTCAAAATTCAACTTATTCCATTGCAAATTAAATTCTTGTTTGAGCTTGTTGGACTTTTAAAATTGCCTTGTGTTTTAGATCTATCCTTCTTTAACAAACACACGAAAAAATTAAATCAAAATAGCCTTTAGTTATAAAGTTATCTTGGGTTAAACATGGGCTATTTTCCGTTCGAAATTAGCCAATTCCAATAACAGGCCACCGAACGCGCGCGGTCCCTACTACTGTATTGTATATAACCAGGGTGAACTCACGATGGAGTTTTTCCTTCTGGTTATATATCGCTTATAATATTTCACAAGTCCCGTCTTCAGATTTGCGCACGCAATTATATTTTCCTCTATATAGTTATACATTCACAATTGTAGCTAATAAATACGTACGACTACATGCTTGATACTTTTAATATTGCATGGATATAAAGAAAACAATATTAATAACGTACCAAGGTGAATAGTTGTTTGATCTTACTGACATATACACAGTATGCGAATTGGGCCTCATGCGAAGTAATCCCTAAAAATACAAAAATATAAATCAACTTCGTCCGTGCCTGAAGCGGCCGTTAAGGACAAGGGTTGTAACGGTCTGTCTGAGATATTACGCACCTGACAAGCCCCCCACTCTGTAACTTCATAGACTCGACCATCCATGCAGAGAAAACAGTAATATTTAAATCCAAGATGACTTGTTTCAACCCAAACATCACCCTAAAATTCACAAACTTTCTGTAAACTCGCAGCGGACGGGTAACTTTGCGGGAAGCAAACTCTTTCCCAGGCGTTCTTTATGGAAGGAAAGGCTTTAACTAGTGTAAGACTGCTGTCGACCTAAAGAGTCTCTGATATATATGTGTATACACTACTTACGTAAACTTCAAATCTTTCTAAATTTTATAAAACCACTGAATACCTCGATTTTAATACGATTTAATAAATTAAAAATTAATGATGATTTCATCTGTCTGTACCCATGCACAGCCACACGCTGGTATGATATACGTTTAATAATTGGAAAGCAGCCTGCATGAAAGGCGGTTTCACCTCAGCAACAAATTTTGGTCGAGAACTTTCAGCGAAAATTGATCATAACAATCGACTTACGTCTTTTGCAGGATGCTTTACACCACACTCAGAACAATATCTTGCTGCAAATGCCAATCTATCTGTTGGCAAGCGTGGGTGTGAGTTCTGGCAAACACGACACATGATTTTGTTCTTCATCTAACAAGTGTACGAAATAATTAGAACTAATTAGAACTAATTAAAACTAGTTAGAAACGAAAGACAATTTGAGCACTACACGAGGATTTTACACAACATCTATAAAGCTATACATGACTTTACATGACATCATGAAAGCTATATACATGACATCTTTTCCATACGATTTTCCCCATATAATTCTGGCCATAAAACGTAAAGATCGCTTGAGTTAAATAAGATCACAATTTGAGTGAAGTTGAACTCCAAACTACATAGAACAAATTTACCTGATTTATTCTTTCCATGAAGTTTTCAAAGAATTCATCCATTTCCTCCTAAAATATGATAAAATGAATCACTAGTAATTCTGGCGATTGTATATAATATATACCCACTTCTAAATTTTAATACCTCAAATCGTTTCTTATTGTTGTCAAGTTCATAGGCCTTTCGTTTCTCCTATGAAAAGAAAAGTAACAACAAAGTCAATGAGGGCAAAATATACACGAGTACAGATGATTTAGTATTCAGGAATTACTTCATCACCGATGGATTCAAAGGCTGATTGCAAGATTTGAAAAGCTTCACTCGCATCTTCATGTGGATTCTAAAGAAAGTACACATCACCAGAAAAAATATTCAGTTTAACGTACTCATTTCAAATATTAGCGGAAGGGGTGTGTGCACAAAGGTACGCAACCTGTAGACATCACCAAAATTGTTATACTGTAGGGTCCAATAAATTAAATTCTGGATCCACTATATATGGTTTGTCTAACTCCACAATTTTTCAAGCGGCATAATTTATTAAATTATAGTTTATGATTGCTAGAATACAGTATGACATTGGCACATAGTTACCTTGTCTGGGTGAACCACCTTCGCCATATCTCTGTATTTCCGTTTGATTTCTTCATCAGTTGATAATGGCGATACGTCAAGAACACTACAAACAGTTATTAGAATGCACGAGTTATTGGGGCTAGTTATAGACCTTCTATTTCTATGTATGGGAACGGGGGTGGTTTGAAAAGACCTAAATCTTTGAATCACTGCTTCAAATATGCAATAGTCCATTCACGTGTGTTAGCAGAAAAGTACCAATCTAGATCATCCTTACTCGTATGCGTCGAGATTCTTAGAGGCGAGGAGCTTGGAAACCAATTCACTGGCTGAAAGATCCATAAGAAATAATTGTCATTACCTAAATGTCATGCATGGACAGGTAGAGATCAGGGGAAACTAGCGCAGTTACCGCCCCATTTTTTTTGTTTTGCACAAAGAAATTCTAATTTATACCTTCAGGTAGGGAATCGGACCGTTGGCGATTGGCTGGACGACTTGGCTCTTGTTTCGATGTATCATCGTGAGGATATTGCTCTCGTTTTTTAAAGACGTTGCGAATTGAACTTATGCACGTTGCAAGATACCAAAACCCATTCCAAAGATTGACAAAGCAACTTTTGAGCAAGGACCAAATGCTATAAAGAGTAATAATTGTATTTCTAATTTAGTAGTGATCATTGCATTGTAATGTTAAAGTTGAGAAGAAACCCAATCAAACGTTAAATTTGAGAATTTCTTAACCGCAAATTAATATTGTCTGTAAAATGTTGTCTAAACTAACACCAAATATATATTTAGAAAGTTGTAAAATTAGCAGATGTGAAATGGGGTGGGATGGGGAGGAGTCCAATTGAAGATGTTCCAATTGTCTGCATGTATCTGGGCATCATGCAACAACCTTTGTGATTGAGCCCAAAAATCTAACAACTTACCAGAGTAAGGCAGGTAATAGAAGCAGTATGAACACCTGAAGAAAATACACCAATAACGACCATCCTATGCTGAGATATGACGGAATCTTTGACCAAAATGAAATCATTCCTATCAAGAAATAGAAAAATAGTTTATATCAGGCACACAAGCATATGTAAACGTACATATGCTACAATTCTCAGTGCTATTTTCATCAAGATGATGATGATTAACTTTATTTATCCGTGTTAGCCCTATCAACCGAGGCTTCCACAGGGGGTGTGTTATAAGAATTACAAAAAAAGCAAATATTTATGAACGATGCAAAAGTCTCCTTGTTTGAACATTTCACTCATTCATACCTATCAAGTGTAAAGTGGCCATTGATCATATTTTTATTATTAATTATTTTCTTCACCTTTTTAATACGAGATTTACTTACAAACCTTGTTTAATGGAGTGAAATATGAAGAGCAGCCACTCATCAATTCCACCAGTTTCTGTTTTTTTTGAGTCACAATTTGGCTGAATATTTGCTTGGGGCTTCTTTTGTGCACGTCGTCTTGTCATTCTTTTTGTTCCTCTGGGTACCTTGGGCCTATCACGCCCACTGTTTGCTGCAGGTTTGGGGGCTTCATCACTTTCAGTCTTAACATTCCTTAGATGTTCACTTTTGTCTGTGTTTTCCACATCTGTGTCCTTCTCATCTGTATCTGCTCTCTGTAGAAGGTCAGGAATTATGGTCTTGTGTTTTCCAGCATTTGACTTTCCCCTTCCATTGTCTGTCAGTTTCTGAGATGACTTGCTTTTAGCTTCAGGGACGTAGCTCTTACACTCGCTGTTGTCATTCTGCTCATATTTCTTGTTTGCACTCCTAAAACAACTATTTTCAACACCAACAACCTTGTCTTTTTCAAGGTTGCTTTTAGCCTCCCTGTTTGTAAATTTCCCAGACGTGCTGTACCTATTTTCAGTGGTGGCCTTGCTATGAGACACACTCCCACTATTAAGATCCACTGAGCAACTTATGTCATCAATCTTGTGATAACTTCCACAACTTTCAATTTGTTCAATTCCAGACATTCGACCAATTTCTGACTGACCAACTGCACAAGATCTTTTCTCAATGTCATCCTGTGACTGTTCAGATGTATTCAATGATTGTGTTTTACTTGCGGCATAGTTTCCAACCTTGTCATTACTGGACATTGTTCCTTTACCTTTCCTCTTAGTCACATCTTTATATAATGGTACATCCTTAACATTAATCTGATCACAGCTGTACATGCTGCCTTTAGCATGAGAATCAGTTGACTTATAAGTACGACGAGTATTAAAAACAGTTACATAATCTTGCATATTCTCAGGTATATCGCAGTGTTTGGACTTATCTTCATTAGCATAACAGTTTCCAACATTTTGATTTCTTTTCTTCCTACTGCAATCAGTGCAGTAATTTTCTTTTAATGGATATTCATACCACTCTTGGTTGAGACAAAAGTTTGTTTGAGCCGAGGAAGGCTGAGCATGCAAGTTCTTGCCACAGTGAGAGCATCCTGAGCATTTTGGCTTCCGATTCTCTTGCATTCTTGTGTGGAAGGTTTGGTATTTGTTCTCCTTATCGTCATTAAAGGGAAATACTGTGGACTTGAGTATATCTCTGTTTATGATTGATGTTTTAGCATCATAAGTGTATTTGTAATACATTGGACATAAATGAATATCACTTCATCTTCAACACCTTAAAAAATAGAAATGTTAAAGGGCCTGTTAAATGGTACAATTTTTCTTAAAACTTGCAATACAATTCTACTTCTAAGATGTATAAATTTGTGAAAAGACTACAAAATGTAGGACTAAAATTTGGACCTCCAGAGAACAAGAATAAACACTACTTTTAAAGCACAGGGCAATTCTGTACTCTAAAATTGATCCTTTAACAGATTTTTAACATAATTCACTCTTGGCAGGGTATTCTATAATCGTACCCCTAGTTTTATTAATGTTAAAAGAGAAGTTACTTAGTGAGACATTTCCTGAAGTGTTTTATCATACAACAAATTCCTGAAAGAAGACAGGCAAGTATTAAACTTAAGTAAACAATATGAGCTATTTTATTTGTTTACAAGTCTTCTCCGCGGTTTTTTAATTCTCATTGAGTGCTACACCAACAAACACACACAGTGTAATTACAACTTTCGAAAACAAAATGTTTTCGAGATTACAATTACAATTACGAGACATGATATAATATTAAATTGATCTGAGCCTGAGGTAATGACTTCCCCCCACTGAACAGCAAAACTTTACTCACTTAATTGAAAAATTAATCATACAATTCGACTGTTTTATAAATTATTACTACACTATAATATCTTAGTATCGTTGTTTACGCATTAGTCATTACCTGAGCGAAGTAATTTAGAATTAACGGAAGAAGAAACAATTCCGTCGCCATCTTGAACCAGAAACGAAATAGTCTGTGTCACTTCACTCACTGATAACAATAGATTTGTGAAGAGGATTATTGAAGAGGATTGATTTGGGTAATAATTCCATATTCAGTAAATTCTAAATACACGAATTTAATCATTGAGATTAGGTTAGTATTAGGGTTAGTATTCGGGTTAGATTAAATTTAAAAATGATTAAGGTCTACCCTAATCCTAAATCTGACCCTAATCTAAACCTGATTAGTCAACTCTGATAAAACTTTTTGGTGCAATACTAGTAATTGCAACATGCGATTACTACCTTGGGCATAAGAATATTACCTGATTAAGAATGTTATTATAATATATAAAGTAAATGTTGCCAATTTACAAAAAATGCAATAAAAATTGTTATAAACAGGCAGGAATAAAAATTATGCCAGGGAGCATTTCGGGCGATTTCGGAAAATGCGGGTTTCTACCCGCAAAATATTACCTCCCGCCATATTTGCTCGAAAAGGGCCTGTAGGTCGTGCGATCATAGGCAGCCCAGCAAACAATGATGGTTTACGAAGGTTACGTTCGTTTGCTATGATACGCTTTTATTCTATTTCAAGAAAAAGGAAAAACCAGTCACATCACCGGATTTGAGATATCGCTTCTTGTCGGGCAAATAACTTCGCCTAGTGGAAAATGGGCTTGAGTCTTGAGATTTTCTATATCTGAGGTCGTTAAAGTCTGTTCACACGATCCAATTTTCTTGGATCCAATTCACTTCTGATGGATGTTTTATAGTCTGTTGACTTGCAATGTATGTGGACCGCAACTCAACCTAAACCAACGCAGTACTGCTTTATTAATAAATGACGTCATTCCATACATCAGAAGTGAATTGGATCCAACAAAATAGGATCATGTGAACAGACCTTTAGCTGGAGATTCTCTTTATCTCAATCTCAGTCAGTCGGAAAATTTTGAATCTATTGTGAGCTGTTAGGCCGTAAGACTGGTATAACCGGTAAAACTTGTGATACTAGATTACTAGTAATAATGCTGCTAGCTGTTATGGCGTTTAGCTGAACGTCGACTATAGACAATTAGTATAAACTTACTAATAGGCTATCACTTTTCCTGCGTTCTGATTGGCTACGCTACTAGTAGGCTATTAGTGATAGCCTACTAGTAGCAAAATTCAAAACAATGGCGGAAAATTCGCGTTTCGCCGAAGTATCTGAAGATTTTTTGGACGACTTGTTGGACAATTCCGTACCAGAAAAAACAAAAAAAGCAACAAAATACGGAATTGCAATTTTTAAGGGTAAGAAAATACATAAAAATAACGTATACTCAATTGAATTTTTATATTTAAACTGAATTTTAAAACATTTTACGCGAACAACAATTAAAATATTTTCTTCCCTTTAATATACGAAATAAATTTCAGAATGGTTTGCAAGCCAACAAGATTTTACACAAATTAAAGAAATGGAAAAATTAATGTTATAGTTTATACTAAAACAATTAGACAACTCGGCCTCGTTGTCTATGAGCAAATAGTCAACTCGGCTTCGCCTCGTTGACTATTCGCTCATAGACAACTCCGCCTCGTTGTCTAATTGTTAAATATACCTGTGATTTTGTAATTACCATTACATTTTTCAACTTCAAGTATTCATACCTCATTTAATATACTACAAAGCCGAAAGGTGAGTAAACCAAAACATGAGCTGTCGTACATATTACCAAGGAGCAGCGTGGCAGCGTCTTCAAACAACTTAGCATCAAATGTGTGTTATAACTCTCCTGACGAAGGCCCTCAGGTCGAAACGTCGAGAAGTGTTTTGTCTATTTAGGCAGTTGTTATACCACATTTGATGCTATGTCGTACATATTAGCTGAAAAGTAGTATAAGTAATTTTACTGAATCGCGTCTAGTTGTAGTACGACCTTGTGATACATGCAAACTTGTCATTCGTAGCAAATTAGCTGCAACAAAAACTCTCGTGTACGGTCATGCAACAAAAACTCTGTGAGCATGACCTCCTTGAATACCGTACATTTGAATACGGCCATTCGTTTGGCGTGTTATCACACTATTACGGTCGTGAGGCTGGGCTGGAGTTACGTGAGAGTGTCGACACAGTCCTAGAGCCAAACATGGTTCTCTCCATGGAGCCTCACCTCACAATACCACAAGGAAAACCTGAACGAACTTTCCAGTTGATCCTGACTATAATATTGTTAAGAACTGATTTTAAGAAATTTCACTGATGCAATTAGCGGGACATATTTAGCAGAATTAGCAATGAATAAAAACTTTTTTTACAAATCAGCAGCGGGCCGAGTCCTAGCCTTTCCTGCAATCTGATTGGCTGTATCAACGTGCGGAATTTTACGATATCTGACCACGGTCCGGAATCCTATAATATATTTTCCGCGATTTCTGCGAACTGATAAAAAAGTAGGAAAAACCGATCATTTCACCGGATTTCAGATATCGCTTCTTGTCGCGCGAATAAATTTGCCTAGTGGACCCTTCAGAAAATAACTCATAGAAGCTATTCTGAATCAGGCCGTAAGACTGGTATAACCGGTAAAACTTGGCCGTAATCACAATTGTTCTGTGATACATCTGGTAATAGTTCTGCTAGCTGTTATAAACTTATAGCCTTTAGCCGAACATGTCGACTATACACAAATATACCTGGCTGTGGCTGTGATTGCACGTTACATTTTTCATACTGTGTTCAACTTAAAGTATTCATACCTCATTCAATATACACTGCACGACTGCCAACTAAAGAGCTTTGACTGGGTCAAAGAAGGTTAGTAAACAAGAACAGACATGGACCGTCGTACAGATTAGCTGATAAGTAGGCTACTATGAGTAATTTTAGATACCGCGCGCAACTAGTGTAAAGGCGGATTTCCACTCACAGCGAAATCGTTCGCTAGCGAAATATTTGCATATTTTCTTTTGAATTTCAACAGCATAAGTAAATTAGTTCGACTTGACTGTTCTCAATTGAAAAGAAAAAATGCAAATATTTCGCTAGCGAACGATTTCGCTGTAAGTGGAAATCCGCCTTAACAGTACAACTAGCCTTTGTGGCAGACGCTCATTTTGCCTAAACAATTGAACAAGCTTAATGCACGCCGGCTATAGTACAACAGGCTTTTTATCGTCCCTTTTTTTGCATATATGTCACCATTTAAGGGCCTTTTAGATTTACGGCTTTTGGAAGCGACGCGTAATCCTGAATTTTCCAGCGGAAATCGCCCGGTTGCGACTACGCATTTTAGTCGACTGACTGGTGGCGCCTGCATGGCGGTTATCTTTTGAATTTTCTCCACTATGTATTCCACATTGGCACTGATGAGGCCCGGGTTAACTACTTTCATGGGGTGTGCCTACAAGCTAATTAACTTATTTGATATTCATCATGCAAACTTACAAGAATATTCAATAGGGACCTTAACACGACGACGGCAGCTATTAATACAATGCTTCTGATTGATCAGATTTGTAGAGAAACATGCAATGCATCAAGCGAGATTCAGGACTATATTTCTTCATTAAAGTACTCGAACTCAGAAAACGTTGGAAATACAGCATCCCGTCTTCCGCGTGAACAAATTGCCACATGCCTTTCTTTTAATTTACGTCTGATATCTTTTTTGTGACCTAGCTGTGGTCTTGTTTGAATTGCTAACAACACTGATGGATTTTATACGGTGCATGTAACCTCTGCAACAGGTTGCGTGACTAGCATCATATTTTGTTTGCCGGCCGCGAAACACGAATGACGACGGATAAACACGAGATCTTTTTATTCTCTGTTTTGAGAACCACCAACAATGGTTAATCCGAATAATTTTTTATTTCTGGCTTTAGCGACTATACCACCATAGCAAAAATATACTTTGCCCAAAGTATAAGTTGTAAGCTAGAAATTTATATGAAATTTTTATGTTTACAGTTACTTTCTACAAAGTTTGATTAATTGGTTTCTTATTTCACCTAGATGTTCGCCAATCCCTTTTTTAAAACGCTTTTAAAAAGAGTGTCTTTATATCCAACTCCTAAACGGTGGCTGGGCTCTGTGGTTAGAACACTTGATAAACTGCCACAGACGTCAATGGAGATAAAAAATGGACAGAAAGTATGTACAATTTGTTGCCTGATGAAACATCAGCCATGCATAACAATACGAAAGGGCAGGTTTCTGGCTTTACTTTCGGTTGAGGCCTAGATTATACATCGCATTTTGGTCGCATGGAATGCAATTGTCTCATTGTTTAAATTGCATTCGAGTAACGATTCGACGCATTCAAAATGCGTCGTATAAGCTAGGCCTCAGAAATTAGTTGAAATGCTTAACTAACTCGATCTGAGTCATTGATGTAAAATAATGATTTTCCCAGGTTCAACCGACTTTTTCTGCAGCAGAGATGAACCGTCGTCATGACAAACTACGTCATTACATGGAGACGGCTGGTCTTGACGCATGCGTCTTCACGTCGTATCATAACGTTTATTACTTTAGTGATTTTCTTTACTGTAAATTGGGCAGAAATTACGCTTACATAGTGACACCTGAGAGAGCAACAATCGTTTCGTCGTGTGAGTATAAATGTTTTCTTATCAGGTTTAACCGGACCATGTGAGTAAATAATCAATACTTTTGGACTCTTTATTGACCATTTCAAATCGCATTTAAACTTCAGAATGAACAATTGAGCAAAAACAGTCCTCTTTTTTTAATCAATGCTTTCTAAGAGAGAAACACATCAAACCGGCTCAGATGTACTTTACTTTTTTAGTGGTTGATTACGGCCAACCATGGCGACGAGCATTTGGCGACACGATCTGTTATACAGACTGGCACGAAGATAGTTTTTTCACCGCAGTCAAGCAGAAGGTACGAAAGATATTCCAATAGACCTTTCTCATAATGGCGGAAGATGCGGAAGTCGGATGCTGTACGCAGTTTGATTGGCTCGTTAGTTCTGCCAATCAAACTTGTGTAATGCTTAACGGGTATTGTATGACCAAAATCCAGAATCGTCAAAATTTTGCAGCTTGGTGATGCAAAACACATTGGACTTGAACTTGATTTCGTCCCATTCTACGAATACAAAAAATTCTCAGAGTTGCTGCCTAATGCAAAATTTGCGGATGTTGGTGTGCCTACAATGCGCATGCGCATGATTAAATCCGACGAAGAAATTGCATTGATAAAAGAAGGAGCAAGGATAGCTGACATCGGCGGTGAAGCAATGAAGAAGATAATACGAGAGGGCGTTCGTGAATACGAGGTTGTCTCAATAGGAATTGATGTTGTGGTTCAAGAGATCGCAAAAACATATCCGCATCAGGAACTGAGAGATAGTAAGTGTTGATTTGTTTAAGTAAATGTAGACAGAAATAGTACTAAGAAGTTTGTTCCCTTTTTTGCAAGTTCATCGGCATTGCAGATGAAACGTTTGTGAGAGGAAATTCAATTATCAGTTTTACTGACAATATTTCTTTTTTAGCTTGGGTATTGTTGCAATCTGGAATAAACTCGGATGGCGCTCACAATCCCCCAACTAACCGTCAACTACAGAACGGAGACATTATGATTATGAATTGTTTTCCAATGCCTGCTGGGTAGGCTCTAATCTAAAGAAATGAATTGGATAGCAGCATCGCATGATTTTTGTTTTTCCTTTTGTTTAGTTACCATTCCGCGCTTGAGCGCACCTTATTTCTAGACCACGTACCCAGTGATCGCCACATGGAAGTGTGGGAGGTAAATTGTAAGGTGTATCGCCGAGGATTGGAACTGATAAAGCCTGGGGCGAGATGTTGCGACATTGCAGAGGAACTGAACGAAATGTTTCTGGAGCATGACCTTCTTAAATACCGTACATTTGGATACGGCCATTCGTTTGGCGTGCTATCACACTATTACGGTCGTGAGGCTGGGTTGGAGTTACGTGAGAATGTCGACACAGTCCTAGAGCCAAACATGGTTCTCTCCATGGAGCCTCACCTCACAATACCACAAGGAGAACCTGGGGCAGGTGGTTATCGAGAACATGACGTATTGATTATACGTGAAGACTGCAGCGAGAATATTACGAACTTTCCAGTTGGTCCTGACTATAATATTGTTAAGAACTGATTTTAAGAAATTTGATTTGATTCAAAAAGTAATGTTTTGTATTAGTATGCATTTTAACGTAACATAATTAGCAGCAATTAAAAATCACCAAACGTTATTAATATATAAACCTATTTCTGTGTTGTAATGTATAAAAAAAGGTATATCTATTGACACTTGATATGGGGGTGCAATATTGAAAATTCCTTAGAATAGGACCTGCCTCATGTTAGTAATAAAATCAAGATATATATAGGTAAAAAGAGGTGAACAAAAAAACAACGACGTTTATTTTCAGAACGTCCTGATGTATCACAGCCTTGTTGGTCTCGCATGTTGCATTGTTGGGTTTTGATCCAAGATTATGTTTTTTACATGACGTACCACATGTTGGGAAATCATCAGGAATGGGAGGAAGGTCGGTCTGATTGCCCACGTGTACTACAATGGACATACCAATCTGTTCGAAAAATTGCAAAGAATTATTATGAACAGGTTGACCATGCACCTTTTCTGCTTCATTTAATTCTGATTTGAGTATAGATCGCATTTTATTTAACCTGCTGAGGCTTCATTCGGGTTATAATATCCTTTTTCTTTGCATTGACTGATTTTATTCATCCAATGCACATGTTATTCAGCAATTTTACTTTCTAATTAATAAATAGTTTGCATTCATTGTGCTTCGAAGGAAAACTATCATACCTCAATATGAAACTCAAGATGACAATGAAAGAACCACCATCCAGGATTATCAGTAAGGAATCGGATGATTGTAAAACCTCCATCTGGTACGATCACGGTATCTTTTTTAGGGGCTTTGTCCAGTTTGCGAGAGATATTACCTTGAACAAAGCAAGAAAATTAACATATGTACTGAATACAATTTCCCATTTTCCACTTGGCGGAACAAACTTGGATCAGATTGTGCTGGTTTGAAAATCGTATTTAAACTGTATAATGCTCCCTGCAACCAAAATTGTGCAAAATATATGGCATATGCATTTCGGAGAACACTTTTCTCATTAGGAACATGGTCACATTCACACAGTGTCAACAGTTTTTATACCTGCCAGATCCATTTCCTGGACTTCTTTAACGCTGGTCTCCCTTCCTAGTTTCCTTTGACCTACCACGCGAAACGAGTGACCATGCAGGTGCATTGGATGACTAGCGTCAAAGGTCGCACCCTCGTCAATTATTACGAACTCCACCACCTAAAATTGAATTAAATCATTTAAATGTCTGTCAGATTTAGTTCGGTAGAATTAACGATCTTCATATATTAAATCTATATCTCCATGACATAAAATTGACTAAGATATAACATTGTACCTTTCCAATTTCAACGTGAATAATATGTGTGCATTCACAGAATTTTTGGAAGCAATCGAGTTTTTCAACATCTTCTGGCGTACATAAATTAGTGCCACTCGCAATGACATCATCATACTGACTGAGAGGTGGGACCGAAGGCAAGGCAAACGAAACACCGTTCAGTTGGGGTGAATAAAGATGATGGGAACGTGGAACCACGCTCAATGGGTAGTACATTGGATCATAGAAATGGGAGTTGTTAACCTTGTTGAAATCCATACCCAAATAGTATGTGTAGTCAACTCTTTCCAGTGTAACATCATTTGTTTCTTGAAAGTAAGAGATAGAGGTTGGTTAAGGGAATTGACAAATATCAAGATACATGGAATGAAGGCAAAACCTTTAGGCATGCATGCGAAAAGTAATTTACTCTTAGAATCAGCGTTTAGAAATAACGTTTTTTCGCAAACATTACAAGCTGACTTGTGGTAGTCGAGTTGATGATTTTGTATGTTTGTACCTGTAGAGTTCATTAAAAAGTAAGGTATGTTTAAATCTGACATTTCCTCATTCCAAGGATTCAGTGTTAATCCTTGAGGATCCAATGTTTCGTCTTCCTCCGGTTCTTTATTTGGACTGCCTTTGTAGCGCAAGATTGCAAACTCACGCACCTGGTACAGAAATAAAAAAGAAAAGTAATTGAACAGGTTGAAGAAAGCGTTTTCTAAGGGTTGTTAATCAGATAGAAAGGCGAAAACACATGCACGTTCTTATATAGGTTGGACTCTGGAAAATCAAGATAATTTTCTTGTTTAGGACCTTCTGGTATATTCCATAATAAAATTATTTCCTCAACTAAATTTTTTACTTCTAACTCAATTTATATTCCGCAACAAAAGAGTACAAAACTTTGCCAGATTGTTGAATATAAATCTCGCATTTATGCTGTAGCGATTTTTTTAAATATTTCACTAGTTTTTGTACGCAAGATATTATACTTTGTTCGCTAATGTACTAGAAGGATATTAAAAGTTTTCACACGTTTTGTGAACTGCGTATAGTCCTACTGTTTATGTCCCATTACAGACTGGCAACGCCATTGCCCTGATGACTGTCAAGAATAGTTTTTTAAATAATACCGGCCTGTGCAAAGTTAATGAATGAATGGAGAACCCTGGGTACCAGCTCATCTGAAAATACATTAGTTTATCTAAATGCATTAATAGACAATTTCACCAACCTTTCTACAATCTGCCAAGCCCTTTGCTCTTATCCAATAGTTACCAACAGTGTTATCAGCATTAATGACGATATCGAACCGTTCCCCGCCATAAATAACAAGAATTTCGGTTTCAAAAGGTTCAAATGGTGAACCATCACTCGCAATAACCGTGATATTGTGTGAGTCTATAGAAATCTTCAGCGGGCAATTTGTAATTGCATTACTGACCAAACGAAATCGATACCTAGAGAAGACAGATCTCATCCTTAATATCTTTAAGTTATTATTTCAATGAACTTTTTCTTGCGGGCAGAGCGCAAAGCAAATTTTGGATGGAGATATAGTCGAAGACCTGATGGAAAGAGATCATACAAGAGGAAAAGTTAAAATCTTTAGAATTCTGTGAAGTGATGAGAGTCCTGGAAAAGAAATCCAATTCACTGGGTTGCAAAAGACGAAGACTTACGGCTGTATTCTAAAAGCTCACTCACACTCAAACTCATTGAGTGGGAGATCTTGGGGGGGGTTTTCCAGCCGAATAGGGACTTGATTTTCAGTGATTAATCTTATATCTTTCCATCTATTCAGAAAAAACTTTCCATTGATCAGTATTAACAAAATTCATATGTCCCACTCAATGAGTGTGAGTGTGAGTGAGCTTTTTGAATACAGGCGTTAGTCTTAGGAGGATTTTACTCGACGAATGATTTACCTTGATCCTTTTTCAACTATAAACACCTCGCGTTCCATGTAGATCGTTTTATTCGACATTGGATCCACAAAACCTTCTCGTTTGCCTTTTCCATTGATAAGAAACGCCTCGGGTTTATTATTTCCATTGCTATGATGATGGGCAATGAATTTATCGAGCACTGGCATGTCCAGCCAATCAGAAAGTAACATCTTATGTTCAGATAAGTCAAAATCATATGTGTCACTGTTGTGTTCCACATCTCGTGGCTGCCTCACAGTAAGTGCACCGTAAATGCCATCTGCTCTCTGCATACCTGTGTGTGCATGCCACCAATGAGTGCCAGGATTCGATGCTTGAAAACGCGAAAATTGTTTATCCGGTTAGATTTACTTGTCTATAACTATTAAATGGAGGCACGGTTTCAGCTGTTGTCTGCCTGTTGAGTAAATTCTGATCTTTCATATCCTATATATATAGTATAACAGCGAGAGGAATGAAACCCGACATCGCATTTAGAGTATATTCCACATTTTTTTTGCCACGAAGCTTTGCATGCAGTTTTCATGGTTTGTACTATTCGTCATTTATTAGAAGTAGCTAAAACTAGTTTTCCGGTAATGTAGGATAGGATGGGACCAGAATTTGATTGGAAATGGAAGTGCATATTATATACTCATCATATATTAGTTCTATATGCCTGACTGAGTTCTTTTAACGCGATTTTTCCATATATATATATATATATATATTATAATATATATATATATATATATATATATATATATATTTCACAACACCATTGTTCGTTTAATCACCCGAGCAATCACTCATGCATGAAATCATTCGTGCATGAAAAAAGTTACTCAAGCTGCGAGTTAAATGTATTTATTATTAAATAATAAAGGAAGTTAATGTTATACGGGTTTTCGTATCGTAGTGTCGCGGGTCCTAGGACGCTTGTCCGGTCGGCTACTTGCCCCCTCCGGTGAGTATAAATATGAGCCCAGTTTGCCTGATCGAGTTGCTAGTTGCTTGCGTGACCCATCCCTCCCGTTTCCCTAACGACTTCACGCGATGTTGTGAACTCTACGGGAGAAGCGTCTTATTAATCTCGCTGGGGTTTGTTTTTTTTTTGTTAGTTTGTTTTGCAGGATTAAGCACAGTTCTTTTCACACCCGTTTTGGTCGTGGAATTGGTGTTTGGGGTAAAGGTAAATTCATTAATGATCGCCACATTTACAGGTATTTTTTTTTTTTTTTGTTTCGTGTGTGTGTGTACTTTGATGTTCGTATCGTTTATTCCACGGTTTCACTTCAGTGACTCACGTGTGACAGTTGATCACGGGATGGAGGAGGTACCGTTAAAATAGCATGGTTCGTTGAGTTATTATCTGCGCCGAAAACAGCAAACTCAAAAGAAACACCGTTTCACCCCTAGCCCGACCGTTTCGCTCGGATACCGTCTCCATCCCTACCGATCGGCAGCGGGCAAAAATATAGTGTAAGAGCTGGTGTGCTATCGTAATGATGTGAGCCTTAGGATCCGTTAGAACGTTAAACGGAAAAAAGCCCACGTTTACGCAGTTGCGCGGCTGACTTAATTTTCATCGAAATTTCTGAAATTTCGATTCTTTGTAAACAAATACCCAAATGTTCAGCCCTTGAATTCAAATTGGATTTTAAACTTCTCATTCATGTTTGCACAAGCCATTCAAAATGATGCTTCCACAAACCGCTCTTCCATTCTTCGAGGTTAATTTTTCTGTTTGTTTTTAGTGTTAGAATGACCTGAAGATGGTAAAGTACCCATACTAGCATAAATCTATGAGATATTTTGATAAATTTATAGTTTTCTTAACATTTCAAAATTGTCTACTTTTTTTTGATACACCTTGTATATATATATATATATATATATATATATATATATATATATATATATATATATATATATATATATATATATATATATATATAGTTCCTATGGTGTGTAAACATGATATATGAATGTACACGGCTCTCCCCTCAATTAAGCATTCTGGCTACGTCTCTGCATGCTTATTACTAGTTGTATTATAGGTTTGAACGGACACTTAGAAGATATAACTTACCATTAATTTTGTATGTAAAATTATCCCCGACTGGTATAGGGCACTGAGTCAACATGCCGACACCATCCATATACTGCTCGTTTCGTACGTGGAAACCATGCCAGTGAATGCTAACTCCTTCACCATTTCGTAAACGGTTTATCACATCTACTATTATCGTATCACCTTCGCACACCTATAACGAAAGAGAACACAAAAGGTGTAAAGGTGTATGGCAATTTAACAGATCGGAATCATCAGATTCTTTTTATCACACTAAAATGTTACTAGCCTAACTTCTAGTGACTAGAGCCTGCGAGTTAGAGTGATAAGATTTAAAATTGTTTTCATAGAGTAAGCCGATATACGTCTTTTATACCTTCACTTCAGTAGAAAAAGACGTCTGCGCACGATCGGCAGTGGGTGGAGAAATAGCTGGAAACCTGACAGTTCCACAACTGAAGGCAATTTCCTTTAAAATGACAACCGCGAGGGAGGAAGGGGGGGGGAGGGATTAGTCTTAAAAGAATATATTATATATGCATTCTTTTTAAAAGTTATTTGTCTCTCTCTTTTTTTATCACCCCATGAGGGCTGGAAGCCTTTCCGGACAGCAGTGACAATAATATCATCAAAAGTGCAAAAATTTACCTCGATACTGGGACCAGGAGTCTGCCTATTAACGGTCATAATGGATCTCTTTACCCCATTTAATGGTATACACTGTGGCTTAAAGCAGTCACTCTTGTTGAGAGGGCAATCAAAGCAAGCCCGGGACAACACATAGTAAGCTTCAATTGTGAAAGTGTAATGGCACGTTTTCTGCTCAGGTGGATTAATACATTCTCGTAAGCATGGATGACTGGTACTGCTTGCGGAAACTGTAGAAAGCGTAAAAGATGTGAGCGGGCTTTTGACTACTGCAACGGCACTTGATTCCCCCCAAAATATTGTTTCGGTGTTTTGAATTTGTCTATGAAACAATACGTCAATACCGAACTGAAACAAATGCGTTTAGAAATAGAAATACAGGGGGTCGTATACTCCTCTGGGTACGAGGCTGGTAAACAACGAGTACTTTGGCTGATCGTTTGAGCAATTTAGATAACAGCAAACCTACAAGCTACATCATTGCTCGGCAAAAAATTACTGCATGCACCCTCCCAAACAACAAAGGACTGGTGCAGCCGCTTCACCCTTCAGTGACACTTTATCGGGAACAAGGCGAACTATCGGCATTTTTGTGGTGAATCATAATAAATTTGATAAATTTTGCATTCGCTTGTCACTTGTCAGTCGATGCTTAAGCTGCAATTCGTAAATTTATAGACCTGTTTTCTACTTCAACAATATCGTGTAATATCAGATGATACTGAGGGAATGTTTACGTCCTTTCTGTGCGTAATTTCGTTAAGGAAGGATTAATCAATTTGGGTAACGGAAATGGTCGACGCTTATCCAAATTTTATTAACAAACTTACGTCTATATTTATCTATTTAACTAATTTATTGGCTTGAAGAGAAGGACGCCGTACGATGTGAGGGCAAGGGAAGGCGAATTATATGGAACATATGATCTATGTTCAAGTTTGGGTACAGATAAAATTGAGAATGATGAAATTTGGACTACCTAAATTGATGGTCCAATTTCATCTGTCCAAACCTAAAATTGCGCATAGTGTAAATGGGGTTTAATTTACAACTGGAGGTTAAAATCAAAATTTTTCTTTAGCTCATTTCATAACGGTACCGTTCATCGTTTTGTATTACAAAAATGAGTGCTAACTATGCAAACCAGAAATATTAATGCAGTCCATATAGCCTATACCCTCACTTTGACGAACCATAGTGGCGGACAGATAACATTTAACAAGGAATTAATTTAATTCCCTTGCATGTTTACAATAATGAAATTTCTTTGGCATTTTAGCGGGCTTCGAAGTTACGTGTTTGTATAAATTCTTCATGTATTTTGGAGGGTCATATACCCTACCACGCTACCACATGTACGCTATCAAGTAATTTATATTGCGAGTAAAAGTTAAGTCTGTCACCTTGGTTTTGGCGCAAAATATCCCAGCGAATTTATCATTCTTGTAAAGAAGTATCCAGTTTAACGCAATATGAATACCACATAATGAAAATCGAAATCAAACTTGCCCGATTGAAGAAGGCAAAACGAAGCAAATTTTAATTCATTATCCGCCAGATTGTCTCATTAATTCCCAGCATGAAGGGATATGGTTCGACCAACAATTTTTAACACACGATGATTATTGTTAGAAAGCTAAATAACTCCTCTTTCGGGCTATGTAAAAGTAAATCGTCAATATTTAATGCATTAAAAGTGGCGGTTTCGTTTTCTTTGAGACACCTGTGAAAGGCCGACGCTGTCTTCCAAGACTGTGTTTGCAAAATATCCGGAGTCAGTGAAGTGGTCAAACTTTGCTCAACTGCTCTCCATTAGGTCTTAAAATCAATTCCCCTCGATTTTCCATTGACCAAAAACCTTCCGATAGTTATATGACTTATATATATCTCGGGCAGAATGCCCAAATTATGAATTTTATAGTTATACCTATAACACTTACCTTGTAACACAAGTAAACAGAAGGCAATTAAAATCCAAAGCAGAAAACCGTTTACCATGTTGAACTGATTACAAACATACATGCATGAATAAAGGACAGTCAGCAGAAAATATTGATGTCTGATCGTAGATATTTTAAAGGGAAATGTTTCTTCAACACCGAAGGCGAAGTATTATTTGCGCTTTTACTCCTTAATTAATAGCTGTTGAGTGTTGTAAGCATACGACGTCCAGTAATTACACGGACACTGCATGTATAATCCTTTTTTTTAAAAAATTTGAAATATTTTGTTTCGTTTAGTCACCCTATTATCAATGTTGTATTGTTATTATTGGTGTATAACTGATTTTATGCAAGAATAAGCACACCAAATCACCAACAGAGCCAATTCTTTGTGTCTATGATTTTATAAGTATCATTGAAATGATTTTAAACTTTTACGTGCGAACTTCTGTGCACGGACGAGATCTCGCTCGAAAGCGGGATGAAAAGTTTTCATATAAACACTAGAAGACAAGGTTGCAAAGATTTTTCACTGTTTTAAAAGACAAATTAGCCGCAAACTTATGGCTAGAATTTGACAATTCCCATGTGTACAATCAACAGGACGTGGTAATTAATGCGTTAGAATGCATTTTAACTCCAAAAGGGAACAAACTTTATGTTTTAGGTAATTAATGATTCACTTATTTGATATGCTTCGTATACCCATGAGATATTTTAGGCAACTTCTGTCACATTACAGCCGGCTATGCGGCTAATTACAGCCGCTATGCGGCTAATTTGAATTACAAGTGCCTGTTTTTTTTACTCACCCTGCAGAGATACATTCCAATATGTACGTCGTATGTTATGTGATATATGCAAGGATGGATTATGTGATATATCCAAGGATGGATTATGTGGTATATCCAAGGATGGATTATGTGATATATCCAAAGATGATTCAATTCAAAAGAAAATTGTAAATATATTTCGCTAGCGAACAATTTCTCTGAGTAGAATGGAAAATCTGCAATTTTCCTTTGAATTGAGAACAGTCATGTTGAACTAATTTATTTGTACATGCTGTTAAAATTCAAAAGAGAATATGCAAATATTTCACGAGCGAACTATTTTTTTGTAAGTGGAGACCAGCCAAAGACGCTAGTATATTTAATATGTGTATTTATGTGTGTTATTTGTGCGTTTGTAATTTAATTTTTCTTTTGTCAAACCGAAATAAATAAATCTAAAATCACGCAGTAGCTAGGACCGTGGTAAACTGTCAGGAATAGAACCTGAAGACGTGTTGCGTATCTTTCAGAATGTGAAACAATGTGAATCTTGGCCAATCAGAAATCAGAATGCAGGAAAATCAATAGTCACCTCGAAATTTATACTAAAATTATACTATAATATATAACAACTATTCGCCAGCAATTATTTGGTGGTCCTAGCTCTGGTCTCTGGACGAACCTTCGTGAATTTAGCCTTCTCATTAAAAGCTTAATATTCCTTTTTTATCATAAAGAAGTGATGTTCAAACCTAAATAAACTTGCTATCGCAGCTGTTACATTATTCCGGACCTTTTTGCTTTAATTTTCTTTTATGTGGAGCGATGATGATGCATGTTGTTTACAATTTCTTAATGTAACGCCAGTCTCTGCTCCCATTCACAATTAGGCTAGTCACTTTCATCTTCGTCACTTTCGGCAATTACCTTTATTCGTTTCTTTTTCACTGGTTCCTCAAAGCTGTGTCTACGTTGTCTCGTAGAATCAGTTTCAGATATCCCTGTAGTCTTGTCTGCAGAATTCTCAGCACTGTCGTCATCACTTTCCAGTCCCCCAGAAATGCCCTCTTCCTCGCTTTCTTGGTCCGAGTAGACATCGCCAAGACGACCTGTAAAAACATTTTATCAATATGATTTTCTACGAGTGTATTAATCCAATGTTCAGAACTGACAGTTGTAAAAATCGAATTAGCTAATATTGCATCTTTTTGAGGCAAACAAAACACAAAAAACACACGATAGCAAATATAGTCGTGACCAAAGTGACTATTTTGAAATTCCACAACCAAATTTCATGCAATCTTTCAAAATTATTAATTTCAAAGATTACAACTATGGCTATTGACAACCGTATGTAATTTTTGGGGAGGGCCTGTTACAAGGGTAAATTTTAATACTTTAAGTCTTTAATGTACAAACTGAAAGTGTAATATATATATGCATATATACACGTTTCATGATCGAAATTGTAGCACATACTGAATACATACTTTTGGCTAATCCCTTCTTGTAATGTTTTTTCATTGCCAAAAGACTCTGTTCCAGCGCTTCCTCGTCATCATCATAACGATCTGGCTCTAAGTAACTCGCGGTTAGACCACGTGCATTGCTTCGTTCACGCATGCGTCGCTGCTGATTCTCCCGTCGCAATTGAGCGCGTAACTTTTCTTCCTCTTTCTGAAAATACAGATAAAGGAAAAAAATTTATATTTCGGTTCATTCAAGGCCACAAGAGCTCTAAGTCAATCGGAACTTAATGCACAAACTTTTCAATAGCTGGAAATAGCCTAACAGCATCTACTCATGCACGCTACTGTATTTCAGGCACCTCACACTTTGTGACGTTTCAGTATGATGAAAACTTTACCTTAATAAGCTCGCCCTTCTGTGATTCTGGATCTTTGCCAACAACAGGAAGAATCTTAATTTTTCCAGCCTTTGAAACACGATCTGCTATAGACAACGTCATTTTACGATGGGTTTGACTGTTGGTAGAATGGGGTCTAAATGTTAACTTTTCACGGAAGATTGCCTGTGCCTGGAGACCTGTACCCTATTGAAAAAAAATGAAATAGCTAGTTAGTTACAGTATGTTAGAAAACCTATACTTATGTAGCTATGAATGTCTTCTTGAGATACAGGTAACCCAACCTTCTATGTTATTGTGAATCATTCCACATTATGGTGGACCATTATAGTGGTCTCATAACTAACTATCAAGCGAGATAACCTTGTTTGAAAAGAAAGGAGAATACTTCTACTCTAAAGTTGAATCATTATAACACCTGTTGAACGAACAAATGATTGTGCTCTCCATCAATTTTCGTCTTGTGAATATCAAAAACTTCAGCTCCAAGAAGAAGAGACATTGTGCCATCGCTCCATCTAACAACTCGTGCATTACTTTCTTTAATAGCGTTGCCTTCATCATCTTTAGCATTACGCCATCGAATTGTATTCTCAACCTTAAAACAGAATAAAAATTTTCACTCTCGATTGAGCTCTTGGTATTGATCATTGGTTTTTATTGAGTGTTTGTTACAAAATTTGACCTATTGACCTTGTGCCATCCATTAAACTTGTTAAAGGTTATATTTATTTAAATGACTGCCTCAGTTAATCAACTAATCAACTCAATTACACAACTATTGGAGTCATGATTCATGGTCTGACAAATTGTAAATTTTATACTTTTCAAAACTATTCAGATCCATAGCCCAAGAATCAGTTTATGATCAACATAAAACAACTGACTAGCGATTGACATAGAGAATAGTCTTACTCTTAGTTTAAGTCTGGATCTTCCCTCATCATCCATAACTTCATCCTCCTCAAATTCATCCTCATAAGTTGCTAGATCAAAGGGTTTTGTCTCAACACTCAAAAAGTTAGGTAATTTCACAAAATCCATTTCTGAGCCCAAGCTAAATTTGCAATAGGGAATTTCAACATCGATCTGAGTTTCTTCAGGTTGTTCATCATCTTGTTCTTCATCAGAACCGGCATCTTGCTGCTGAAAACTATCAGCTGTAATTTCTTCATCTTGTGTTGTTGTGTCCTGTTCCTTTTCAACCTGAGAAGTCATTAGCAGTCTTAAAAATATGCTGTATAGCTACAATGATGATGTTTCAGGACAAAAGATTAAATTATGTTATTCACTACCAGCATTATCATGAAATCAATGTAAAAAAAATTCTACCTCATCTTCATCATCCTCAGAAGAGACATCTTCGCCAAACAAGTCCATTGAGGAAACATTCTGATTATTACCAGTGGGCTTTTCATCCTAGCATATGTAAGTATATAAGTTGAACACAAGTTCATATCATTGGGGTAAATCATCATGTATAGTAGTAGCTCTTTTTAAAACTTAATTTTGTTTGTTTGTGGTATAACCAGATGCTCAATGGCTATATTCACCAAATGAAACATGAAAATTCGATATGAATTGGGTAACTTATGCCTAATTACTATTTAAGGAAGATAAGTCCAGGCATGAGAAATGTATGGGTTTATCACTCATATGAATAAATCATATATTGCATCAATGTGTCACAGTTAATAAAATAAGCTAAACCTACTTCATCACTTAGTTGTCCCACTTTTTCACTTGGTTTAGCTTCCTCTTCTTCAGAGCTTCTCTCATTTTCAGAATCATTTTTGTTGTCAACCTTTTCATCCTGTTCATCTTCCATTTCACTCTTCTCATCTTCAGATTCTTCATCTTCTACCACCTAAAAATGAGAGCCATTTGTAAAAGTTAGCTCATTATATAAATATGCTATATAGATACTCTATTGCTGCTGTAAACTCCTCTTTAGGGTACATTTAATCATTTGTCACAACACAATACAGTTATTACGCATATACATGTACAGTAACAGAGGACATAAGTGTGACAGAGATGAAAGGAACAAGACTTGCGTCCCAATTGACACCTGACCCCAACATTATAACTAGACTGTGCGACTTGTTGCCCACCAAGCTACCGCAATGATAACTTTCATATGATTTCGTGACAAAAGTACTGCAGAAATTAGGAATCATAGTAGTAGTAGTATAAAGGGTATTATATCATAGAAGTAATAGTATAAAGGGTATTTAGAACTTCAGCAGAGACCACACATAAAATGAACCCTGGCTAAAGTCAGAAATCATACCTGTGGGTTTGATTCCCCCTCTTCATTTTCATCATTTTCATCATCATCATCTTCATCATCATCCTCATCATCATCGTCGTCCTCCTCCTTATTATCTAACTCTTCTCCAGACTGTTCATCACTAGACTGTTCCGAATGACCATTTTCTCTCCCGACTTCTTTCATATTTGTAATATTTTCATCATCACTTTCCTCAACATCGCTGCCTTCATCACTACCAAACAGATCCGTCATCGACATTGTATATACTGTCGAATATGAAACGCCAAAAAGCCCAAATTTTACTTATACCGAAATTTTGTCTACGTAGTATTGAATGGTTCTATCAAACGATTTCTAGTATTGTTGTTTCAGTGGTTCTGTTCTGTTTTATTCCGTTCACTGGCTTAGCATTTCAGTTCTATTTTTTCCGCCATTTTAGCTTTTGGTGACGTCAGAGGTTGGTCAACGCAAGGGCTCACTGTTCGACGCATGCGTAGGCATAGGTTGACGACCGCATGGTTTCTTTTGCCCATAATTTTGCCCATATTATAAAATATTATTATTGGTATTTTAAAATATTTATCACAGACCTGGTAGAATTCTGAGCCGACTGCAAGATCCCCTTGGTAAGTGGTAAGGGATATTCCGGGTTTTCACAACTTGTTAAACTTATTTGCATATGGTTGTCCTCATAGGGGGATAGCAATGACAAAAAAGAGAATCAAAGAACTTTTGAAAAGAATGCATAATATATCCTATTAACACAGATCCCTCCCCCCTTGTGGTTGTCAATTGCAAGGAAATTTCCTTGTTGGCTTGTGGAAACCCTGGCCGGATATTTTACACAGAGTAAAGAACAGATTCACTGAGACTAGAACCATTGAAGTAAATACAACAAGACTGAATAAGTAACGATACAGCTTTTGGTATAGCTGTTAGCTGTAAACTATACATTTTTCAAAAAACTATAAAAACTAGCAGATTAGCCGATTGACACCGTTTAATATCAGTATTGCAAATCATCTATTCTTTTTCATTTATATTTAATAAAACACACGGATGCTAAGAGGAGACTAACAAGTTAGTAACTTGGTTAACTAACAAAATCTTGAAAATATAGCGTAGACTAGTCTGGTCAGCTGATTCTGAAATGGATATCTGATATGGGATGCATATTAATTAAAGTGCTCTCAGATGAACAAACTTTGCCTGGTTTCCAAATAATATTTTACACATTTTACAATATTTTACAAAATAATACTTCACAAATATCGTTCACTAGTTATTACAAATTTGCATTACTAAATATATATATATACTAACAAAACTAAATAATAATCGACACTGTCGCTCCCGAAAGTCCAGCTTTCTCAACTGACCATATAGTGGAAAAGTAAGACATTGATGGGAGCCTTCGCAACCATGAAAGCAAACAAAGCGGTGCAATTCAAACGTATTTTAATTACTTATACCAGGTTTCAACAAAGCAAAGTTGGCCGGCCTAAACAGGTCGTTTTTTGTTTTTTTTTCTGAACACGAATCGTTCGTCTTATTCTGTCTATCGAAATTCAAGTGTTAGACTTTCAAAGTATCCCAGTGCTCTCTTTTGTTGTACAAACCTGTACTGACACAAACCACAGAAAAAACAAAATGCCGAAATATCAGAAAATTTCAAGAGCAAATTCACTATGAATATATCCCATCTTTAATGACTGTATGCCTATGCCTTTTTGTGTATGACTGCTACGCTTGCTACGACTGATACGCTTGCTACGCTTGCTACGCTTGCTACGACTGTTACGCTTGCTACGCTTGCTACGACTGCTACGCTTGCTAGGCTTGCTACGACTGCTACGCTTGCTACGCTTGAAAAGCTTGCTACGACTGCTACGCTTGCTACGACTGCTACGCTTGCTACGCTTGCTACGACTGCTACGCTTGTTACGCTTGCTACGCTTGCTACGCTTGCTACGCTGGCTACGACTGCTACGACTGCTACGCTTGATACGCTTGCTACGCTTGCTACGCTTGCTACGACTGCTACGCTTGCTACGCTGGCTACGCTTGCTACGCTGGCTACGCTTGCTACGCTTGCTACGCTGGCTACGCTTGCTATGCTTGCTACGCTTGCTACGCTTGCTACGCTTGCTACGACTGCTACGCTTGCTACGCTTGCTACGACTGCTACGACTGCTACGCTTGCTAGGCTTGCTACGACTGCTACGCTTGCTACGCTTGCTACGACTGCTACGCTTGCTACGACTGCTACGCTTGCTACGACTGCTACGCTTGCTACGACTGCTACGCTTGCTACGACTGCTACGCTTGCTACGACTGCTACGCTTGCTACGACTGCTACGCTTGCTACGACTGCTACGCTTGCTACGACTGCTACGCTTGCTACGACTGCTACGCTTGCTACGACTGCTACGCTTGCTACGACTGCTACGCTTGCTACAACTGCTACGCTTGCTACGACTGCTACGCTTGCTGCGACTGCTACGCTTGCTATGACTGCTACGCTTGCTACGACTGCTACGCTTGCTACGACTGCTACGCTTGCTACGACTGCTACGCTTGCTACGACTGCTACGCTTGCTAAGCTTGCTACGCTTGCTACGCTTGCTACGCTTGCTAGGCTTGCTAGGATTGCTACGCTTGCTACGACTGCTATGCTTGGTACGCTTGCTACGACTGCTACGCTTGCTACGCTTGCTACGACTGCTACGCTTGCTACGACTGCTACGCTTGCTGCGACTGCTACGCTTGCTATGACTGCTACGCTTGCTACGACTGCTACTCTTGCTACGACTGCTACGCTTGCTACGACTGCTACGCTTGCTGCGCTTGCTACGACTGATACGCTTGCTAGGCTTGCTACGACTGCTACGCGTGCTACGCTTGCTACGACTGCTACGCTTGCTACGACTGCTACGCTTGCTACGACTGCTACGCTTGCTACGACTGCTACGCTTGCTACGACTGCTACGCTTGCTACGACTGCTACGCTTGCTACGCTTGCTACGACTGCTACGCTTGCTACGCTTGCTACGCTTGCTACGACTGCTACGCTTAATACGCTTGCTACGCTTTTTGCTACGCTTGCTACGCTTGCTACGACTGCTACGCTTGCTACGCTTGCTACGACTGCTACGCTTGCTACGCTTGCTACGCTTGCTACGCTTGCTACGCTTGCTACGCTTGCTACGCTTGCTACGCTTGCTACGCTTGCTACGCTTGCTACGCTTGCTACGCTTGCTACGCTTGCTACGCTTGCTACGCTTTCTACGCTTGCTACGCTTTCTACGACTGTTACGCTTGCTACGCTTGCTACGACTGCTACGCTTGCTAGGCTTGCTACGACTGCTACGCTTGCTACGCTTGAAAAGCTTGCTACGCTTGCAACGCTTGCTACGACTGCTACGCTTGCTAAACTCGCTATGTTAGTGCTGTAAAAACATTTACGCCTATCTTATAGTATTTAAAACCCGGCAATAAACAAGTGTGACAAAACAGTCTGACAAAATATTTGCAGCGAAGATTCATTTTGAACGACCTCTTGTATAATTCAATTTTTCATAATTAGCATCTATTAATTATTAACAAGTGTTAGACCAATCACGAAAGACTTTCTGAGCACTGCGAGCTGACTCGTGGTTGGACACGCCCACTTAATCTAATCATGACGTCACATCCAGTTGGCGGGGCTTATTTCGCTACCTCCTTACCCTTTGACTTTCAACTTCTGATTTTTTGTGGGCGTGGTCGGAAACGCCCACTGAATGTAACTATGACGTCACTTCTGGTAGGTGGGGCTTATTTCGCTACTTCCTTATGCTTTAACTTTCAACTTCGATTTTTTTTGGGCATAGTCAGACACGCCCACTTAACCTAATTATGACTTCACTTTTGGTAGGCGGAGCTTAATTCGCTACTTCCTTACGCTTTGACTTTCACCTTCCGATTTTTTGTGGGCTTGGTTAGACACACCCACTGAATCTAAATATGACGTCACTTCCCGTAGTGTCAGGGCTTATTTCGCTACTTCCTTACGCTTTGACTTTCAACTTCCGATTTTTTGTGGCCGTGATCAGACACGCCCACTGAATCCAATTATGACGTCACTTCCAGTAGGCGGGGCTTATTTCGCTACTTTTTTACGCTTTTCAGTTTTTTTCTCCACATTCAGATTCAGAATCACTTTTTTCCAGAGATTCATTCTTGGAAGGATTCACTTTTTTCTCGAGATTCATTTTGGATTCAGTTTTTTTCTCCACATTTAGATTCAGAATCACTTTTTTCTGGAGATTCATTCTTGGAAGGATTCACTTTTTTTCTCTAGATTCATTTTTGGATTCACTTTTTTCTCAAGATTCAAATTGGGATTGGAAATTTTTCTCGAGATTCATTTTGGATTCAGTTATTTTCTCCAAATTCAGATTCGGAATCACTTTTTTCTCGAGATTCATTCTCGGAAGGACTCACTTTTTTCTCGAGATTCATTTTTGGATTCACTTTTTTCTCGAGATTCATTTTTGGATTCACTTTTTTCTCAAGATTCAAATTGGGATTGGAAATTTTTCTTGAGATTCATTTTGGATTCAGTTATTTTCTCCACATTCAGATTCGGAATCACTTTTTTCTCGAGATTCATTCTCGGAAGGATTCACTTTTTTCTCGAGATTCATTTCTGGATTAACTTTTTTCTCCAGATTCAAATTGGGATTCAATTTTTTCTCGAGATTCATTTTCGGTTTCACTTTTTTCTCCAGATTCATTTTCAGATTCGAATTTTTTCTCGAGATTCATTTTGGATTCAGTTTTTTTCTCCGATTCATTTTTGGATTCACTTTTTTCTCAAGATTCATTTTTGGATTCACTTTTTTCTCGAGATTCATTTTTGGATTCACTTTTTTCTCAAGATTCATTTTTGGATTCACTTTTTTCTCGAGATTCATTTTTGGATTCACTTTTTTCTCAAGATTCAAATTGGGATTGGAAATTTTTCTCAAGATTCATTTTTGGATTCACTTTTTTCTCAAGATTCAAATTGGGATTGGAAATTTTTCTCAAGATTCAAATTGGGATTGGAAATTTTTCTTGAGATTCATTTTGGATTCAGTTATTTTCTCCACATTCAGATTCGGAATCACTTTTTTCTCGAGATTCATTCTCGGAAGGATTCACTTTTTTCTCGAGATTCATTTCTGGATTAACTTTTTTCTCCAGATTCAAATTGGGATTCAATTTTTTCTCGAGATTCATTTTCGGTTTCACTTTTTTCTCCAGATTCATTTTCAGATTCGAATTTTTTCTCGAGATTCATTTTGGATTCAGTTTTTTTCTCCAATTCAGATTCAGAATCACTTTTTTCTCGAGATTCATTCTCGGAAGGATTCACTTTTTTCTCGAGATTCATTTTTGGATTCACTTTTTTCT